AGTAAACAGTTTATTGTTATCTCATTCACCTGATCATTAGGTACCCTTGCCCCTAAAGCGTGGCCGGTACCTCTCTCTGCTCTAAAGTCCCGCCGTTGCAACCGCCCAACTCTCGACACCCTCCAGGTACCCCCGGCTGCCGCTTCACTAAATTTACGGATAGGTACCATTCTTTTCTCACCAACCTGTCGTTGCCTGCTTTTCCTCTCGTCCATCGCCTGATCACTCTGTGCTACTCACCTACTTGTATCTCCCACTAATCATTAAACATACCATCAGGTTCCATCATTCCCTCTCTTATCTCTCCTTCCGCTTCTCCGTCCTCCACCTCATTCCCTCCTCGCCCGCCCCAGTTTCTTGTCAGCCTGGCCGACTTCAGACCCCAGCCAGGGGAATATACGGTCAGCAGTTCTGCCTGGCTTCACCCTCCCACGCCCAAGCGCCCAAATCGGGACCGCACAATCATACTTTTCTCTCTCTTCTCACTTATTCTCGCTATACGGATATTATAGCATCTGCCTCACCATTGCATCCCGCATCTTGTCTTCATGGAAATTTTGCGCCGCCCCATCGAGTCATTGCTTAACTTTTCGCGTTGCTGACTCCTTTGCCATTGTCTTTCCTCGCTACCCCTGTTTGCCTCGCAGAGATATAACTCATCATTGTTCACATGCGGAAAACAGCCCATTAATCACGCCGTCGTTGTTCCCGTGAACCAATAACGGCTTTGATTCCTCACGGTATCGCTGCAACTGCGTGCTTGCTGCCTCATCGCCTGGCTTACCTGGTCGTCACAAGCCGTCTTCCGTCGCAGTCACAGCCATGGAGGCCCAACCTGATCATGACTCCCAGGCAGCCTCCGTATATCATCCTGACCAGGCCATGCTGCATCTTCTCCGGGCTAGCTATCCCGACTATTCACCACAGCATCCTGTGCCGCCTTCGCTATCGTCGCAGCCTTCGCCCAACGCCCAAAAGTACACGCCGCCCACCACTCACAGCGACGTTCCCTCAACTCATCGCAGCCCCATCGGTTTTGCTCCGCTTCCAAACCAAGACCACATTCGCAGACCTGCCAGAGAGGTAGTTCCCGGCTTGCCAAGAACACAAACCTTGAAGCGCCAGCTGTCGGAGCGCAGAGAGCATCTTACACCCGTAGAGATGCCCCCGGAGGAGCGCCGTGCTGTCTCATCCGATATCAAATCTCCATTCAGTATTCTCACCGGTCGCGACCATGCCTCGTTTGCCACTCCAAGCGCCTTCGACTCTGCATTTGACGCATACAGCGACCTTGCCTTTTCCGCTACATCATCTCCTCGCCTCCTCGAAGAGGAGGAGCTCCAAAATTCCGAAGATGACGAGGAGCCCCCAAGAAAAGCGCCCATGCATGTGCCTCCCCCGACGCTTCAACCCGGAGTCACTCTGATACCAGGCACCAATTTGCCCGATACCACCAACATGTCTCGTGAGAAGTTTGACGCTCTCATTCAAAGTGAGCTCGAAAATGTCTGGATCCTAAATTTGAGCATGCACTTTCGCGACCGCTCCAAGAGAGAGAAATTCTTCCTCACGTACCGCGAAAGGGAAACTATATGGCGCAGAGTCACCATCTCCCTCGACTATCGCGAAGCTCCGCCGGATTCGCTAGAGGGGGAACTTGCCGAAATGAAGCTTCAAAGAGACAAGAGTGCCAAAATATATGAAGCCCTACGCGACAGCTTACCAGATATTCACTTTTATGACACCACCACGAATCTCACGCTCAAGACCAGCGAAGGTCGCTTGCATGTACACGTAGTTGAAGATGCCAACGTGAGTATCCCAATACACTCATGCGCAATACTTTCACTAATCGTTGCAGGAAAAAATCGAGTATCCTCGTGTTGAAACACTCAGGCATCTCAATTGCTTGATGGTCAAGGAATGCGATATTGTCTTTGATTCGCACATGTCCGGCTTCGTCTACAAAATCCGTGTTGGAGACCAAGTCATGGTGAAGAAAGAAGTTCCAGGGGCCGAAACAGTCGAGGAGTTTCTTTATGAAATACATGCGCTCCACAGTTTGCAAGATTCCGATCATGTAATTCGCTTCAGAGGACTCGTCACCGACGACGACGACGAAATTGTCAAGGCTTTGCTTCTCGATTATTGCCCCGGGGGCACCCTCATGGACAAGATTTACGACGACTGCAAGACGACATATCTGGGTATCCCTTGGCGAAAGCGTGAACGCTGGGCTCGTCAAGTGATCCACGGTGTCGCCGATCTTCACGAATCCGGCTTTGTTCAGGGTGATTTGACCCTTGCCAACGTTGTTCTGGACGACAAGGAAGATGCCAGAATTATTGACGTGAACCGCCGCGGCTGTCCTGTTGGTTGGGAACCTCCCGAGGCCAAGCCGCTTGTGGACACAAATCAGCGCCTCTCACTCTATATTGGCGTCAAATCAGATCTTTTCCAGCTTGGCATGCTCCTTTGGGCATTGGCCATGGAAGAAGATGAGCCCGAAATACAGGGCAGGCCGCTACTTCTTGGTCCTGAAGTCAACATTCCAGATTGGTACAGACAAATCACCGAGATCTGCTTGAGTCACGATCCACGATCTCGGCTCATGGCGTCTCAGCTACTCACTATGATTCCGGACCAATTCTTTACTCCAGCCTACAGCCGCATCGCTTCTCGACCGGCCGTGGACCATCGTCATTCTCCTCGCGAACTATCCGAAGAGAGTGCTCTTAACACTGCTCCCACCAGCGAGATCAAGAATGAACAATTAACCTTCCCTCAGCGCGGCCGGTCTCCTCCAAGCCCTATACCTAGTGATTCCTCGCGGCAGCGTCAGACCGGTTGGGCTGCCAATATCCCCGTGGCAGCTTCTTATGACGACATGGCCGCGAAAGCTAAAAGGTATCAGGAAGCGAGTCGTAACAGAAACTCAATGCCAACACCAGATTCTGAGAACCGCACGCAACAGCAGCAGCCTCAGCCTCAGTCTCAGCAGCATCAATCCTCGCAGCATCAATCCTCGCAGCATCAACCTGCTCCTCCTCTGCCCCAACCGCAGCAGCACCAACCGCAGCAGCAGCAACCTTCTCCTCCTCAACATAAACAGCAATTCAAACCGCCGCAACCTCAATCGCAGCATTCTCCTCCACAGCCGCAGCAGCAGTATCCTCAGCAGCAGCATCCTCCTCAGCAGCAGCAGCACCCTCCGCAGCAGCAGCATCCTCCTCCTCAGCAGCAGCATCCTCTTCCTCAGCAGCAGCATCCTCCTCCTCAGCAGCAGCATCCTCCTTCTCAGCAGCAGCAGCATCCCAGCAGCAGCAGCCTCAACTGCAAAACGAGCAGCATCGACATCAACTGCTGTATCAGCCCCAACCGGAGTCGCCTCAGCAGCAGCAGCAGCAGCAGCAGTCTGAACCGGAGCAGCCGCAACTGGTGTCTCTTCAACCTCAGCAGCACCAACCCCAGCAGAATCAGCAGCGCCATTGGCAGCATGAGCTCCAGCCGGAGCACCATCAACCGCAGTATCATCACCAACCGGAGCAGCACCAGTTGCAATATCAGCAGCATCAGACGCAGCATCAGTCTCAGCACCGCCAGCCGCAGTATCAACCGGCGTCGATTCCACTGCCGCAGCTTCAGCACCATTACCGTCCTCAATACCAACAATACCAGCATCAGCAGCCAACGGATCTGGCACCTGCTCGTTCGCAAGATAGAGAACGCAGCTTTCTTGGTGATGCCAGCAACGATTCCGCAACTCCTCCCGCCTCGTTTGCAGCTATGCTACCTCCCAAGCAACCGTCCCCTTCAAAGCGTCTAACCCCCCCGAAGCAACCAACACCTCCGACACAAACATCTACGTACTTGGACACCGTCGACAGCGACATCTCAATGTGGTCTCCCAGCGAAGAAACTGTCGCCTACCATAGTAGTACCTCCCCGCCCCACGACCTTGTCACAAAAATCCATGACGAATTGCTTGAAGATTTGGAACGCAACGGAGCAGCTCGGTCGGCTCTGCAGGCCATTTTCGGGCGAAACAACGATGAATACGCCCCTGCTGCCCAGAATACTGCGCAGTTGCACAACGACTCTACCGTCTCAAAATACCCTACGCAGCGGGCCGACGAGTCTATCAACATCCCCCAAATCCCTGCACGATCGGACAATACCTCTAGTACTCACCAGATTACTATGCAACTGGATAAAAGTGCTTCTGAAATCCCACAAGCCACCATGCAGCGAGCTGACGACAGCTTTAACCCCCCCGCCACCGCGCAGCTGGAAAATGCCTCGGATTCTCGTCCTTCTATTTCAAAACTTGCCCAACAAGATCACGCAAGCCTGCAAACGAATGTGCCGTTAGAAAAAGGCTTGACAGATTATTCAACCACTGCAAAGAAGGACAGCGATGCCTCGACCGTTCGCCAACTTACCACACAGTGGCCTGACGATGCCGTGACAATCCCCCAAACCACTCCGCAGCGGATTGATCATGGCTCATACGCCCCCGAAACTACGACACAACGCAGCAACAATGTAGCCACCAATCGCAATTCCAGTACGCAGTGGACTCACGATACCGCACTTGACCCCCAGATAAGCCCGAAGCGAGTTGGTATCCAACGGGACGAAAGTGCGTCGATGAATACCAAAACCACTGCAGAGCAGGGTGAGAATGGTTCCAACGTACCTCGAGCAAATTGCCAGCGCGACGATAATGCCTCTATCAAAGACCAATCTTCATTTCAGCGGGAACACAACGCCACTGTCACTCTGCAAACCACTGCCGAGCGGGAACAGAATACCAAGATGGCCTCGCAGATGGCTGCCCAATGGGAACGGAACACCACTGTCGCTTCGCAGACGGCTACGCAGCTGGAAAATAGCTCTACCATTCCGCAGACTACCGATCAACTGGACGATAATGTGAGCGTTGCTTCCTGTATATCGCGCACGTCCAGTCCCGACGGCGACCTTGAAGGCGGCGCTCAGCTAAGCAGAAGCGACACTGCATTTAGTGTCGTTAATACGCACTTTCAACGACCCGAATACACAACAACGTCAAAAGTTTCTCTGGAGACCATCATTGACACTCCGCTCACGGTTTTTGACCAGCACTCGATGGATAAGCCCAATGGAGCCCTGCCTAGCCTTGGACACGGACAGGGTATTACCGCCCCTCTTCACACCGACCTGAAGACGGATATCCGTTTTGATAGCTCACTGTGGCCCGATACCACGCGACGCTTTATGACTGACACAAAGTCGTGAAACCTCTTCCTTTTCTCTTTACTGCCCGCAGCCTCCTTTCGATATCGACGGCGTTTTGGTTCTTTTGAAATGATGGGAAACCAGCAAGTGTACAACTAATCTTTGCGACTGGCGCATTGTACAGGTAGAATGATACTACGCTTCTGGCAGGCAACTGCCAAGCTAATGACTCTGTTCGTCTTTGGATATCTAACGAAATGACTTGAATGAGTGGGAATCGGAATTGTTAGCATTTCTCTTTCTCGTGTGCACCTGTGATTTCTTATCTGGACTATACCATATTTTTAGCCATTGATTCTATATTACTGTTGCAATCTACTTTCTTTTGAAGTAAAAAACTGTTGCGTGACAGGCTACGATGTTGAACCTTCTGCACAGAGCTACAGTCGGCGAGGGGGAGATGGATGGTTTGAAAGATATATTTCTGTTGTGAATACCTGGTACTGTACGTGCTTGAGACGTCGTGATCCCGCGCAGTGAGTATGCGTGGCTTATATAGGTACCGGTGGCGTCAACATTCCGCCTTTTCAACGGCAATGTAACCCAGCAGCAGCAGCAGCAGCAGCAGCAGCAGCTCGACCCCTTCATGATGGATTGTGCATATGATTTTGTGCCTGAATGATGGCCGTCTTTTGGAGAAGATTGCTCGAGTTCAATCTCTTCAAGAAAGTTTGCTGGCAATAATGTCCTGCCGTTGGTCGGGCAAAGGACTGGGATGTGGCTCATCGTCGAGATCCGTCTGCGTCTCCTTGGGGCGAGGCGGGAAGCGCCGCTCCATGATTGGCATAATGATGCCGCACCAGACAATGGCGGCAAAGACAATCCAGACGATTCCAAAGATGAAGCCATGGGTTGGACGAAATTTCGGGGCCTGCGAGACGGGAAACATGGTTTGCTGTGCTGCTGTACCGAGACCACTATGAGAAGGGTTAGAAAAAAAGAAGAGTTTTAGAATTCGAGGCAGAGAGTCTGGCGTGTGAAATAGGAAGAGAGAGAAGGAAGGGGAGGGGGGGGGGGGGGGGGGGGGCGGGGTATCTTGGCTGTTACTTACAATCCTACTGAAGATGTCAGGCCGGAAGTGAATGCCCGCAAGGTTCTGTCGCCGCCGCAGGACGAGTTGAGCCAGGAGCCGATGAGGGGGCCAATGGCGCCATAGGCACTGCAAATGTAAAAGGCGGCCATGATGAAGTCATTGTTGTTAGGCCAGACGGCAAAGACAATGTAGCAAAAGAGCTGCACCGTGCCCAGGGCGACAATGACGATGGAAGGGTTTCGGTAATAGTCGGACGTCCAGGAGGCAATGAGCATCCACACGAGTTGCTGCGCAAAAAGGTCATCCATCATTCGTCAGTCAATTGTCCTGCCGACTGTTGGAAATGTAATAGCACATCTCATGTTTTCTTCATTACTTACCGCGCCGCCAATACCGACTGGCATAAAGTTGACTTCTGGCACACTGTACTTTTTGTGTCCGTCCACCTTGACCGAGGAAAGCCAGAGTACCATCCATCGCTGCAGACTGACACCGCAGGTAAGTTCCAAAGTTCTGTGACTTTTGGTTAGCTGTCGTCCTTGTTGTTGTTGCAAGCTATTTACAAGATATATCGCCGAAAGAGAAAAAGAAAATTGAAAAAAAAAAAAAAGAAAAAGAAAAAAAGAAACGAGAATTTAGAGAAAAAAATGTTACGTACCCCCAGGCGATGCAAAAAGCGTACAACTGCCAGGATTTGAGTACAGTTTTGACGGCTTCTAGGTTCCAAGAGACTGTTCCTGGATCACGATCGTCTTCCTTGATGCGTTGAATACATCGCTGCCGCTCCTTTTCCGACATCCACCAGATGCGCTTCGCTTTCGGCTCATCTATATAGTGTCAGTCTTTTGTTTTTTCTCTTTTTTTCTCTTTTTTTTTCTTACCTGGGCACACGCAAAGCCCCATGAGTGCAATGGGCATGCTAATGACAAAATCAATGATGAAAAGCCATCGCCAAGAGGCAAGCCCCTTGTGACCCTTTAGGCTTCGGTAGCTGCGTGAATGGGAAGACGGGGTTGTTTAGTTTGCAAAAGTCGGTATAGGGGTTGGAACAGAACGTTTGGGGTTGGGGCAACTCACATTCCGCCTTGGATGATGCCCGATAGCATTTGACCGCCCGTAGCTGAAAAGTAGAATAAGCTCGTCCGGCGGCCAATTTCCGACTTTTTATACCAGCTTCCAATCTAGAAACAGGGTCAACACTAAGAACTGGGACACACAAAAAGAAAAAAAAAGGAAGAAGGTAGACTTACAATGTACCAGGCCCCGGGTAAGACGCCCGACTCGGCCATACCACAGAAAAATCTGAGAGTTTGTAGTCAGTACGGCAAGTCGTATCGTATTTAAAATGATTCATTCTGAATTCGTACCTCAAAATGTAAATTGTTCTGACATGAGTGGCCTTGTACATGAAGAGTACGAGCAATGACCATATGGTCGTGCAGCTTGGGAGCCACCACCGTGGGTTAATCCGTGTGAGGGCCAGCGTGGAGGCTGGTGCTCCAAGAATGACGCCGATATTGAACCAGGTTGTCATCCAATTCAATTCATTCCCCTCTGTGTATCAAACGAGTCAGCCACGTCTTTTTTCTGTCACGTTGTGGCAAAGATGTGTGTGTGTGCGCGCGCGCGCCGAGGTTGACTCAACTCATATTCAGGTCATTCTTCATCCCGGCGGCGAATGCATTTGTGACGTTTGTTTGATCTAGGTACTTGACGAAAAAGGTCTGCATATCGGCATCCAAAGGTAGTTTTGTTAGCAGCGGCAAGGCTTTTGGCTGTTTGTGGGCAAGAAGACGCACAAGGCATAGATATGTAAGAATGTTCAAGTCGAGCTTGAAGATTAGCCATTTCTCTTCCTTTGTGGTGCCTGGCTCGTGCCAGTGGTACCAACGTCGGGCAGCGACGGGTTTTCTGTCCAATTCCATGGTTGATTGCTCTCTCTCTCTCTCTCTCTCTTAGGACGAACGGTGAGAGATGTTCAAGTTTGACAGATTGGGCAACAAGTCAGCAATGGTGAGAGAGAGAGAGTGGCATATGCTTTACTTTTACGAATGCAGTCTTTTTCCTAAAGCAAAGCATGACCTGTATTCTGGAAGACAGGTGCCAAGCCAATAAAGACCATCATCAATCGATTTGATTGGGCATGCAGACTTTTTTTCTTCCTGCGGAATAAGCATCAAGGTTGTTGCTGATCCCACCGGCCCTTGTCTTTGTCTGATTGAGACGTCAGGGTGCTGCCACCAAAACAACAATACTATTTGCAAAAGTGCGGCCAGAAAAAGGCCTTTGCTCGGAGCAACATGTTGCATTGCTCCGCCACGCGGACCGAAGGGCCTATTCCTGTACGACAGTGGAGAGAATGGCTTTTTCATATACCCACCTATGCATGTCAAGCCTTCACGTCCAGTGGCACAGTGGTTCTTCTGCGCAATCTTTCCCTATTGTGCGATTTCTCCGCCAACTAGTTTTCCCGTGCTAGTTGACTTAGATCCATGCGCTGACAGAGTTGGAGTGGGCAAGTGCCGTAAAACCTGCAGGCGGCGAATGCGAACCCTGCAGCGACATTGCCGTGCTTGTGGCAATATTGACAGTGGTCTTGAGGTCTTGAGGTCTTGACTCGTTAAAAAAGAATTAAAAAAAAATTGAAATGGCATCAATCCGTTTACTTGTTCGGATCACGGTGGTTTAGCCGACCGGCAAAGTATTCCCCGTTGATCGGGGGGGCATGGCGACCGGCCCAACGAGCCGGCCGTTGCGAATTCAACGCCACGCCCCGCTGTCAATGAGTGGTTTGTGCTGCAAGACCCGAGTGATTCCGATTCGGTGAAGAGAATACGGAGTAATAAAGCCGCCAATGAACTGAAAGAAAGCCTTGCTTAATCACTCTTGACTCTCATTTTTTGCATCTTTAACTGACATTAAACTTTTCGTCATATACATGTTGCATTATGAACTCGCCTTCTCCATAGCAAAGCATATTCTTTCTCAACAGTCCAACTTGGTCCTTTTCCTGTTCCCCGATGGGCCCCTTGCCCCCAACCCCCTCACCAAAGATGACAGAGGACCCATGCCAGACCAGACCAGACAAGATCCTTCCGCGAACCCTGAAAGGTTGTTTGAAAGTGGGGGACAAGATGGGTCCCTAGTACATACATTGACACAGAAGACTACTTTAACAAACAGCAATCATCATCTTACTGAAACCGTCGTCATCTTGATGCAAGGGGTATATAACTATGATGAGATGGCTGAAGAGCTTGACTATGTTCATCTTGGACGTTTGGATTCAAATTGTCAATTCTCGAGTCGGAAACATATTATTTTGTGTATCCAAAGTGTCATGACCAACTTGAACGACGTTGTTAGCGTTGTGGCTTTCGTGGCGCGGAACAAGCGGCACATGTTCGAACAAGGGCTATCTTTGCTATCCTACTTGCCTACCCACTGCCAAACCTCCTCCACCTTCTCAGTGTTGCTCTTCAGACCTCTAACTAGCCTGAAGCCTGATTACGGCTTTCCACAATCAACCACACCATTAGCCTTTTCTGGGAAATCGCCGCAAGTTGCTTATGGACCCCATCCAAAGCATCACCCGACTGATAATGGCTACGCTGCTCTGTATCAGCAAACTTGATCAGATACTCAGATACTCAAGTTTTCCAATCCATGTTCCATGACCCTTTTCATCCTTTTTTACGGGTTCCATGTATACTCTTGACAAAGTCAAGAACAGAATCGACAAGTCAATCTTGGCTTGTAGCAGCGTGGCCAAAAAAAAAAAAAAAAAAAAAAAAAAAAAACGTACGCGAGACTACCATGCTGGATCGTGCTTGGCTGCTGCTGGATGAGTAAAATCAGGTAGCAATGCTACCTAGACGTCCGAGTGCTGCATCTGCAGTGTAAACATATAATGGAGAGCTAAACGAAGCAGCTGACTTTTGTTACCCACCTCACCTTGCCACCTTTGCTGCAATACATGCGCCCAAATGGTGCAGGCATTGCTGCAACAAACAATTGAAGATGCAAAATCATCATCCATGCGAGCGGTGCTTTTTCTTTGGTGGAAGCATGTCGAGAGGGCGCAGTCCCAACTTTTTCCCTCTTGATGACCAGAAAGCCTTTTCTAAAAGCCTGTATTGTACCGGAAAAAGTTTGGAGAAAAACTGGTCGCAGACGAGAAGAAAGGCCATGAACCATGAGATGAACTTGAGTAATTCGTCCTTGCGCAGAGGATACATTTCGACGTGTTGCCAGGCGAAGCGATGAAGAGAATGTGCCCGTTCTTGACAACCATTTAAAAACAGCCCCCCTATGAAGAATGGCACAGTTTTGGAGCGGGCAACAAAAAGTTCTTGGAACGACTGTAAATTGGAGTGAGAATATGCTGCTTTTATTGGAGATGGTCGCCTTTCATCGAAACAATCCATGGCGCTGAGCACGAGAGGTATCCCCCGGCGAAAGAAACGCGAAAGGTAGACCTGCCATCCTGGAATCGAGGGAACGGCCCAACTTTCAGCCCAGCTACCGATCGAGACGCTGACCGTATATTCTCATTGGCAATCGGGTTGATGGCACCAGAGCTTGGCTGACCTCTCAACTTGAGCAACAGTGCTCCTTCCTTGACAAGGGTGGTCGAGTAGGCATTGTCGACGGTCTCGAGAACCATGTGACGCTGCTGAGGATGAGAATAGACGGACTCGACCTCACCGTCAGGCGCGCTGAAGAACTGGGCATCGGAGATGGGTATAGTGTCCTTCAGTCACATGCAATAGAATGAGTGTTTGACCGTGACTAGGATCGAGGGACCTCTAAAGAGTCTGTTCAAAGTATGGCTAGATTCAGGCTTAATTGGCGTAGAGGAAACTACATATGAGACCTTGTCGATAAGCCCGCCGTCCCAAACGGCTAAGAAGGGTCCAACATCGGGGATTTTGGCTCTATTTGATGGATATCGGCAAGACGCTACTACGCAGGCAGGTATCACGGCGATATTGGTAGTGCTACCGTCGACTAGTATTAGTGTGGTTGTTTTTTGCTTTTCCTTGCTTTAGTTTTGATTTGTGACCTGTTGTTTCTTTTCTTTCTTTTTTTTACCTTAATATTCTTCATTATTCAAAGCCCTTTTTTTAGTCATCATATTCTTCCTGAATAGTTCTAATGGTACAATGGATTGTATTCCGCCCCCAGAATGAAAGATGCCTCGCTGCTCCGAAATTATACCCAAAACTACTACTTCTTATTATTAGTCTTGTTGTCTTTCTCTGGAGCGCGTTTATCCTCGGAACCCCAGGCTGTCGGCGCTTGTCCCTTTACCTCCGGTCGGGACGCCTTGTGCGGTGGTTTCGATTTTTTGTCGTCACTTGCATGTGTCGTTAGCTCGATTGAAAAAAATTGAAAATCATGTCGATTTCCTGTTGAAATTGTGCGATTCGCAAAAGGAGACATTACGTTGGTTCATGAGAAGATTGCGACGCCGTCACGGCCTTGAACTGGCCCTCTTCGCCGCTCTTGGAGGTTTTGGAGCGGCTTTGCACAGATAGGCGCATCGCTGGCGCTGGACGCAGACAAAGGCGCGACGGTGAGGCGCGGACTATATTGAGAGCGGCTCGCATATTTATGTGTTCCAAAAAAGAAAAAAAAAAGATATTTTGGGTTGTAGGTGTCAAGTTCAAAAGTTGAAACCAAATTCAATCCATCGTCGTGGTAGCCGAGCATCAACTACATGACGTCAACGTGACCTCGACATTACAACGCTTCAGAGCTACAGCGAACCAAGGGCCCAATCCGTCGTAGCTTTGAGACCTAATTTGATGATACATTTCGGGTGTCTCCCGATTTTGTGCTCTAGCGTTTTGTACATCTTCTAGCTATCTGTGATGCTGTTCTGGCGCAAGGCGGGCACGATGGGGTCCTGAGAACAGAGAATCTCCTGTAAAGTTGTGATTCACAAAGCATCGTTTATCCGGCCAAGTTTACTAGTTATATTTAGAGGTGGTACTGATCTCAATATAGAAAACTACATGTTAATCAAATCATCTGCAGAAAATGATGTTTTTTTACCTGCTCCCACCGCGACGCCGCCGCCGTCGCTAATATCACCGACGCGTCTCCGCCTGCGTACCTGCCAAAGCAAGGTGTACAAGTGCAGATATTCACAATGTCCTGCCTGACCAAAATACCCTTATAAGAACCGAATTTCCAAGAGTGTGTCTCTGAAAACACTCGGAGTTACTTGCCAACGCGTACAATTTAGTAAGAACCTACTTCGAGCCCTGTAGTGTATTAAATCAGTCTTAATCCTTACGTAGTGTAGTCCATGTCTTGTGTAATTAGAGACAGGGAGAAAAATAGAAGAATTGCGGGAATAATTATATTATTAGCCAAGAAACTTTGAAATGCACGTGTCTCATGATAAGATAAAACTTATATATACGTCTCCATGATAAGGTGGACGGATGGTAGATCAAAATATCATTTGTGATTCCGCTTTGCCGAACAAAGTGCCGTTGAAAAGACCGCACTCAAAGTTAAAACGTGCTCTACACCCGTTGCAACATCATGTTTTGCGGTTGATTAGACCCAGGCCAGGTCCCGTATCTCGAGGTAGAAGCCCAATGTCGCGTTTGAATCGCTCCAGCCAGTCTGGGAGATCTGCCGCCGTCTGGTTCCACGGATCGCCCCTGAAAGAGTAAATTGATTAGCTTCGTATCAATCCGGCGCGATAAATACACTCACTCTCCATATTCAAGCCACCGAGCTTGCTGTTGAATCTCCTCGTCACTTGGTATATGCTTGTTCGGGTTGCAGTCCGACATGGACGACGCAACAAAGCGGGCCAGACCTCGAGCGAGACGGCGGTAGCCATTGGCATCGTTGAGATCGTAGAACCCTCTTCGGCTTGCCGTAGCCGCTTTATGGCGTTCTTTGGTCGGGTCTTGCTGCGTCGAGTCAAGAGACATTGGAGATTCCACACCAAGAGCTTTGGGGTCGAGTGTCGTCGCATCGCCGGCTGGTGGGCTGATCTCGCTCACTTTTTCCCCTTGTTCCACCGCCTCGAAAAGTCGCCTTCTGAAATCTACCAGCCAATCGGTAGAGTTGTACGTAAGCCTGAGTAGCCAATTCAGAACGTTGTCCTTGTTCGAGTTGGATAATTGCTGAGCTCGTCGCAAAACGCGATCCGCCTCTACTTGCAGTTCCCAATTAGCCACCTCTTTGCCATTCTGTGGCAGCGAGAGTGTGAATTGCCGCAATTCACTTTCGAAAGCACAGTCTTGAAAGATATTATCTTTGCCATTAATTCGTAGTGTCGACATGCGATTCTCTTCTTGGCCGCGGACAGATTGAAACATGGCGTCGCGGGCAATTTCTTTACAGGACATGACGAGGTCTCGCAGCCAGGATCCGCAGGCAGCAGTAGGGTCGGTAGACAGGATATCAGCGCTGCGAATGATGCGACATGCTTCAAGTTGGATTTCGGTGTCGGTCGGCGGACTCCCAGTATCATCTGTGTGGTTCGCAATCCAGTATTCCAACTCCATATTAAGCAATTCGTAGGGGCTATTGGGTGTCCATGGCGAGGCGCTACTTGCCAAATATGGCAGTGGTGATATTTTTTCCAAATGAATCAAGTCTTGCATAATATATTAGAGATGAAGGCAAGAATAATCCATGTAAACACTTACATGGTGGTACAGAGTTCTCTACTGTCCGTAGAACAGCTTCGGTAAAGCCCCAATCGCCTGTCCAGTGCTCCATCGAAGCTCCATTTTTGAAGTGAAGTGCAAGGTGATCGACTCGTGCACTCCAACTATGCAGAGTAGTATTACAGAACCCGCAGCGCGACCGAATCTCGGGCGAGGCTGCCTTCCAAGTCTCAAGCGTCTCTTTCGGGACCTTGGCGTGGTGGCCGAGCCGCAAATGTTGCGTCAGATGGTCTTTACGGTAAAAAGTACGTTCCGTGAGAGTCCGACTGCTGCAGAGAGAAAAGTTGTGCGATTCAAAGTGCGCCGCGTCTGGATTCGGCTGCATGCAAAACACGCACGTTAGGGAACCAGTGACGGGGTCGACTGAAAGAGGGCCAGTTGGGGCGCAAACCCAACGATCGATGGAGAGATGCCACGTCTTTTCATGTCTCTGCCAGTCATACTTTGTCTGAAAGTCTTCGGCACAAAAAGTGCATTGAAATGCGCCGCGTATGGGAGTAGGGTATGCTGTGTGAGTGGGTAAACCGGCACGCTTCCGACGGCGTCTGCGCCTTGCCGAGCTGTCTGGGAAGGGAGACAAGGAGACGCCGCCTTGGGATGACCGGGCGGACCTCACGGAGCCCTCGCTAGAGGGCGCATCGTATCTCCCAAAGGAAGAGCCATTGCTGAAGCCGACGCTAGAGCTGTCGTCCGAGTACCGCGATGCTGGCGTGAGACAGGAGCGGTCACTAGGGGAGGCAGCAATGCGAGCTGCATTGACAGCACCGAGAATCGCCGCGACATCAGCAGGCTCGTTATCTGGAGGCGAGTTTTCCCAGCGCTGCATGGGGTTCAGGCCTTCCAAGATGCCGGGGGTGGCGCGTCGCGCAGGGATATCCATGGGCGCCATCGATTCCGTAGTGGAAGCGGGTGCGCGCAATGGCGCAGACATCTTGGCGCGCCTTCTCGCATTGGCGAACCAATTGATTATTTGCGTCTGACTGAGGCCTGTCATGGTGCTGAGCATTTCCTTGTCCTCGCGCGTGGGGTACGGGTAGTGGCTGTTGGCCGTCATCCACTGGCGAAGGAGCCTCACGGCGCTTTGCGGGAAGCCAGGCCGGGCTCCAGCTGTGTCTGATGGTGTAGTCACTGGCGGACTCGGGAAATACGGTGTTGAAGCAGTTTGCGACATTGGCGTCGTCTCTGGTGTATCATTGTTCTGGATGGGAACTGGATCGACTGGCGCTTCCTCGGCCTGGGTGTGCTGCTCCCCAAGTTGCTGTCCAAGAAGTGTAAACTCATTCAAGACGTCCCAGTCCTGGAAGATGTCGTATTGAAGGCTGTCATTGTCGATGGCAGAGACATCATGGCCGAAGCCAGGCAGGGCCAAGTCGAAGGAATCCATGTTGGCGGACGGTGTGTACGTTACGGAGTGTCTGAGGTGACTGCATGCCGACTCCCGAGTTGGGCAGGTGAGACTGTATCCACACACACACACAAGCGTTACAAGAAAAGGTGTATATTCCAAGTTGCATGCAATATCGATATTCGTGTTTGAAAAATGGAAATAGCAAAGACGAGGTTCCCCGGATTTCTGTTCCGGTTCCACCACATGTTAGCGGTGGGGCTCTGCTGCGTTTGTTAGGGCGTGTCGGCCGTTGAACGGAGCCGTGATGCGTCGGACGGCTTGGTTCATCGTGAATATGACTAGGACGATGTATTTTGTGTCCGATCGTGGCCAGTAATTCCTCTGTTTGTTGCAGATGTAAAGGATGAGAATGCCTGCTAACAGGTAGGCTCGCCTGCTCTGCTACTGCAGCCGTGCATCGGGCAAACTCTGCCTCCGCCAGCGGCCAGTGAGTGAGTGGGGTTTGCTGTGGGCGCCGTTCAATGCCATGTCTGCACCGCGACGAACCAGAGCGGTATTTTTCAATAGGACGATGATAGTTAAATCAACGCTCCTCTTCCACCTCCTCGTTGGTCCTGGACCGCTGCTCCATCATCAACATCTCGCTCTCTGAAGAACACCTGTGTAAACGCCACTCAAGAGTACTGCACTCGCTAGCGCCATGTCAACTACTGTTGCCCCTCCGAAGCCGGAGCTGTCGGAGCTCTTTGCAGAGATTGAGACGAGATTCAAAGCAACGCAGCTCGGCCATGACAGATGGTACATTCTCGCCTTGTCTTGCATTGCTACCGGTCCAGAGCCCGAATTCGCCGCACAACTCTACCAATACCTCATCGCCAAGCCCGAGCTCCAGAGCAGCGAGTCCCGCCAGCGCCTGGTGCGTCGTCTACGCGAGGCGCTGTTCAAGTCCATCTGCCTGATAGGCGTATGCAAGCCCATCGAATCCATCTTGGCAATTGCGGCGATTGAACGTCCCGAGGATCGTGATTTGTCATCCTCGCGCGAGGAATGGCAGGCTGATGCAGACAACGAGCGGCGCGCCCGCGAATGGTTCCTCAAGGTGTACACGCGCAACGCCAAGGACACCATTGGCCTCTTTGATGCCCATAAAGACTTTTCCTGGACGTCGATTCACATCACCTACGGCCTGTATTTGTCGGATAGGCAGATCTTGGATGATGTAGAGACGCAGCTAGTGGTTCTGCCCTGCATCATGAGCCAGAATCTCAAGTCAGAAACACACTGGCACATTCGCGGCACACGCCGTATTGGCGTATCAAAGGAGGACACTCAAGTGATTTGGGACTCGGTGCAGTGGTTTGCTGCATTTTTTGGAATCAAGTTGAACAAAGTCCCGACAGTGGACGAGATTGAACCGGACGTGTAGACTTTGGATACGCCAATAGCTAGCTGCCCCTCGCACTGGTAGTCTCGAATTCATCAGCTATCCCAGCTTCATCATTTGTATAAAAATATGCAGCCATGGTCCGCCGCCCCGCCAGCCACACATATACGCCTTCCAAGTTGGTCCAGGTAAGGCTCTAGAACGCCCATGGCAGTCTTGGCAAGAGAACGAGGGCCATTACAGTGTGTAGCATCTGGTGGTGTCGAGCTTGTCGCCTGGGATGTCTTGATTTTGTACTTTGTATATTGTCTACTCAAATCATTCTAAATTATGTTGACATTCAGTCATGGCAAACTGCTGGCGCCAATACTCCAAAAGCGAACAGTATTGAAAAGTCTTTGTCGCTCCGTTCCAGAAAAACAGTAATGCTTCTAGCGCTGTAGTAAGCGCCAATTTTGTCAAACACCGGTGCCTGGGCGAGATGCCCGGTGTTGTTATGTTGTAGTGATAACTTCCAGGAACAGAATCTTCTCCCATTGGGGATCGTGAATGAAGATAGGTCGTCACGATGCTGGCATCTTCAAGGGCCGGAAGAGTTGAGTCGCTGAAATCCGCTCATATCAAGAGTTTAGTGAGAGCTAGTCTCGGAGGCAGAAGAGGAGGAGGAGGTGACGGAGTCGGTAGAACCAGTACGGGCGGTCTTGGTGCGCTCACTGCAAGACAAAGTTAGAAATGAGCTTCCGCCACATGTACCGCGTAGCCTTGAGAGCTTTCTCGAAAGACATGGCGGAATTCCAGTCTAGCAAACATACTAGTGAGAGCGGTCCTGGAGGGTGCAAGCCCATTTGCTGGTGCCGGCCTTGATATGAAACTTGATGCCACGGTTCTCGCCAAAGTTGTTGACGGGCGCGCCAGCCGCGGGAGCAGCAGCGGTGGTAGCAGCCGAGGTAGGTCGGGAAGATGCTTCAGGCATGTTGACGGTGTTGTGATTGGTTGAGGTGGTGTATATGTTGGGGACGTGTATCAGTTTGCGGATGTGACAGACTCCTCCAAAACAACAGTTGAGTAGATATGTATATAGAATCAAGGTGAGAGAAAATAGACCAGACTTTCGAAGAAAATGCCGAGATACAAAAGGGCAGATAGGGACTTTATAACATTCCCACCCTCACCCGCAATATCAGCTAGGTCCCCATTATACGGAGCGCACTGTATGGGGGGTGTGCTAGGAGTGCCATTTCGGCACCGAGACAGGGTCGCCAAATGGCGTCTGGCGTATTACTCGCAGGTCAGCCAGCCAACCAACTTACAGCTAAGACGGAGGGGAGGGCAAGTGGCCGGCCGGACGAAACGGCAAAGGCGGCGGGACCCATCCCATGACTGACCGGAGACTCCACGGAGGGCTTGAGACGGGTTTCAGGCACTTGAGCCAGACACTAGCGAGGCAAAACGAGGGTAAATGCAGCGACGACAAATTTCATGCGTGTTGACAGCTGCATTGGCGTAGATCTTCGAGTTGTCAGCAACTCTAAGCTTCATGACCGATCATCTTGGTCCGTAACAGTACTATCTGAGCCCCCCTTGATGATGATGCCGCTTTTAATGTGTAAAAAGTCGAGACAACCGTGGTCACAGACAAAGTGAGCCATTTTCTGACTGGGCTTTTGCTGCTCGATTTACTAAGACGAGTAAGATGGTACACACCATGATAATCAGAACGGTTTGGACGGCAAGACGCGCAGCGAGAAAAAAGAAGCAAGCCACTCGACCTGAACAAAGTATAGCGCTGTGGAGCAAGAGAAACAATTTGTATTCTGTTTTGAGAAGAAGGCCCATGGGGAATACGGAGCATGAGAAAGCCGCGAGGACGCGAATGCATAGACTAATCACCTTGTCCACTAATAAAAGCGTAGCCTTTGGTGGTGACCAAGCACATCAAGTAAGTTGCCTAGTAATACGTTAACCTTTTTCAATGCTCCCTTCCCACTTTTTGCCTGCCAGTTGGAAAACCCCGGCCATCTTGCCACGATGTGAAATCAACCGCGGAGAATAACCAACTAACTACTTGGTAGTTTAGCATGCCATGCAAAATTGCGCAAGTGTGGCTGGAGCCCAATCCGACGCACTTGGTAAGGCAATCCGGCTCCTCCGCACACCCACCCACCCTTTTTGTTAGCACAAGGATGGTGGTGTTTTGCGAAAGAGGCATGTTGCGACTTGGCACTTGTAGGGCGAGTTGACGTGTAACAAATGGCAGGCGAGGCAGAGCAACTTGAAAGAATGACTTGAAAGTCGGAGCAAGCCAAGCAGCGTGCAACTGACTGGGAGCTTGTGGAATAGTTGTCGCCCGATGCGACGTTTGCGTGACGCTTGGCGTTGATCTTGACTACTTGTAATGCCTTGGTATTGCCAATGCGTAAATCCCGGTAATTCCACGTCTCACGGCGATCCAACACAAGTGAGAGAGTCCGACGATCATTCACTGGTGCGTCCAACCCTTAATCTCTCATAGCGCCGTCTCCAGTGCTCAGCTGGGCGAGCGCCAGAAGCCAGAGAAGCAAAAGTCGAAGCCAGACAGGGGAAAAAAGAATGTTCGTGCGGCAAAGGCTACCTAGGTAGGTACACAGTGCCAGGTACACAGTGCCATGTCCAAGCAACCCCAGAAAGCGTGCCGTGGACGTTGGCAGGATTCACCATTTCAGTACCCAAGCCCTTCTAGAAGAAAATGCGACCCGCCGCTAACAGCGCCTCTGCAGGTGGCGTATTCTAGAAATGCTGTTTCCTTTATTAATTTGTTTTCCAAATTGCCTTTTTTTTTTTTTTGGCTGCTCTTTTGGCTTCCGGATCTGCCGGCCGACACGCATCATGGCGACGCTGATATCAATCCTTGTTTGCCGTTGAAAGAGCAGCAGCCACAAATACAGAGCGCGGCGCGCACATGGCCAACTCACAGTGCGGGAAAATGACGATCAGCAGAACAAGCTTTTTTTGTGGCTGCGGAAGACACAAGCCCTTGTTCTCGTGGAATGACTTGGCACTTCCACCAACCCCCGCACATGCTGCTCCATTGGCTTCACCCAAGTGGTGGCGTCTGCTAAAGTCTTGCTCGCTACGTATTGGGTAATGTATCCGTTGAACGAGGCAGCAATGTCATGTTCCCCCGTCTTTATTTGGTTTGACCTCTTTTTTCGCTCCTGCTCCCTCAGTCAGCTCTTTGACCCAACCGCCCACAAGTAACGTGTCCAGTCTGTCTCGATATATGCGGTGCCCGGCATCTTTCGAAGACTCGAAAACGCAACAATGAGCAAAATCAAGCGAGACACGCAGTACACTATACCAGTGCTGTACAAAATGAACTCGTTCAATGCGAGCGGGCACACCGTCTTCCTTGGCCACATGTCCGTTCTAGCTTCCTCATTGAGTTTCTTTCCGGCGGAACCGTGGATCGCCCTAACAAGGCGACGAAAGTTGCCAACAAATTGCTTGTCCATGTGTAACTCCAACACCACTGCATCTTGCCTAGCTCGGTGTTGGTCCTCTTGTCCCTCACCCACCTGATTTTGCGATTTTCCGTACGAGTATTGATACGGCTCCCTCAAGCATACAAAGTTCTCAAGATCCAGCAGAAAGTGACTGATCTCTTTCGGCTCTACCAAGAAGATTTTGGAGTACGCCGCATCGGACGGAGAGGCTCCTCCATCAAGACGGAGTAACCCTTTCAAGCCGTGCTCCAGGTTTCTGATTACCTCGTTGATGGGGTACTTTTTTGAACAGTGCCATCGATACTCGCGCAACAGTCTCAGACACTTGCCCAGGAATAACTCAGGCTCCCCCGCAGGTTTTGTGATCTGCGTCATCGGAATGGCCAGTAGACCAAGAATAGGGCTCACAGCAGAGATGCCAGTCGCGATCCGCCAAAGCAGCTTTTCTTCCTTTGTAGGAAACTCAAAATACCACGCAATAGCATGAATCATCCCAAACAGGGCCGAGGCGAGCGCCAGAAAATATACGACTGGATGAACAGCATGGTTGCCATTATCAAAAGGGATACTGTCATTCGGGATTCGTAGATCTTTTTCGCGGCTCGATTTGCTCTTCTCGCTCGCGACCTCGTTCTGGTTGCGCATGATTGCCCATAGACTATCGTAAGCCTTGACGAAAACAAGGGAAGCCTTTCCATCAGCCTCTTTTAGTTCTGGTAACTCGAATTCTGAGGCTCTGTCGACATTCTGAGGCTTGTGTATGTTTGTAATGTAAATTGCGACACCGCAAATGGCAAAGGATAGCGTCACCGCTTCTAGCTGCGAGAGCTTCAAGTCTTGGATGTAGCGTGTGATGACTGAAAGAACCAGTTGCATAATCTGCAAGCCAGCCAAGGTTTTTGCCATCCAGTCCTGCTTGGACTTATCTTGAAGATCCTCTTTGAGTATCTCTGGTCGTTTGTGGCAGTCGAGTAAAGACATGGCCAGCTCTCCCGCCGTGAGGCAAATCTTGATCTCCTTGCTAGCATCAACATATACGAAGCCGCCCATGTTGGCATAGTAGCAGTGCGTCAGAGTCCACTTATGTGCATCATCTGGACCTGTCTCTGCGTGCTCGCCCTTTTCCTCATCGCCTGTTTTGATGTTGCCGCCAAACTTCCGCTGCAGCCACTTCCATGGGTTTCCATACCACCAGGGCCACTCGACCGACTTTTGCTTCGCCTCCATTGCCTCGAGTGCTTTTAATGCCATGCGGAGTTGCAATGCAGCCTGTATCAAGATGAGCTCTGGGAATAATACGGTTATGACCATCCACTTCAGTTTCCGCCCAATCCTTGTTTTGGCGTCATCCGTCTTGTCTGGGATATTGAGGTGCTGGACCGTCCATGTGCAAGCGATGATGGTTGTCAGACAGCTGCTGATAATTGACCAAGTGCCGCGGTAGCAGGACCCGGTCTGCCAGCCAACTGCTTCATCGGTATAAGCTTGAACAGAACAGTTGCGAGCTATTGCCAGTGTTGGCAGGGCCGTCACCAGCCACAGATACTTGAGCATTGAGTAAGGAGTCCCCTTTGTATAAAGAATAGGTCGAAAATTTTTCTGCTTAGTTGGATCAGAGGATAACTTGCACTGGGCTCGGAGCGGTATGAACTTGACTGATACCTCGTGGAGAAGGGGGCGGCAACTAGAGGGTGGGCGCTTACTGCGTCTCCTGCAGACTTGAGTCATGAGCTGAGCTACGAGGCGAAGACTTGGCTGGTATTGCTAACCCCCGGATAATGTGACAGTCAGTTGTCAAGGAGCAAGCTGGTTGGCTGACTACTGGTTACACACGCACCTCGCGTTTCTAAGATAAGCGAATTATCGACAACTTATTTCGTCTGCTGAATCATGCATATTGTCGCTACAACTGCCTAAGAATTATTTTTCAGAGTGTTTCTCCGCAGCATAATCCGAGTGCATATGTGGCTACCATCAGGCGGTTCTAGGCAGTGGCTGATTGGGCGCCGGACCACGGCAGCCTCAGCCCGGGCCAAGTATAAGCATGGACTAGGAGAGCAGGCTGATTGATATCCTATCATCCTATCCAAGATTTGCACTTTCGTCACCTTGTCTCAATCACCTTGGAACCATCTTGCACCGCTTCTCAATTCTATCGAATTTCTCCCCAAGTTTCGCTTCTAGAGGTGCGATGAGATATCTTTGGAAACGCAATCAACGCAGCCAAACTGCCACAGACAGCCTGCGCCAGCTTGCCAGCGCCGGAAATTACGACTGCGTGGTAGAGCATATCAGCAGTGACGGCGGCAATCTCAATAATACCGACAAATATGGCAGGACAATCCTACACTGGGCTGTCATCGAAGGAAAATTCGAGCTGGTGACATCGCTGCTTGAAAGGCAAGATATCGAGATAGGAACGACCGATTGGTTAGGAAAACCAGCGATATACTATGCGGTTATTTGCGAGGACAAGGAAATGGTGCAGCTCTTCTTGAATAAAAAACATGGCAAAAAAGGAGAGAACCCGCCGCGAGACAAAGATGGCCGGACTGCTCTTCATGACGCTTTGGATTCGGGCAGCAATGGAATGGCAGAGCTGTGCTTGGAGCAAGAACTTATCTCCTTGCCTGACTCCTGTGGACGAACACCACTGATCCATGCGGCAAGGACCGGGAATACGTCAATGCTACAACATCTTCATAGTCACGGCGCCAGCATCGACTCAAGCGACGAGGAGAAGGGCCGAACGGCGTTACACTGGGCTGCTTATTGCGGGAGCGAAGAAATGGTGAAGGAGCTCGTTCTTATGGGCGCTGATGTTACGGCAAAGGACCATGACGGTCACACAGCTTTACATATGGCGGCGGCGAATGGGCACCTTTTAGCGGCAACGCTTCTCCTCGAGAACAAGAAACTCCAACATGAGCATGCCGCCATGTCTAAACTGTTGATTGAATCCATGTCAAACATCGAAGAGAGAGATGCAAAGGGCAATACGCTGCTGCACTGGGCTGCACTAAAGAGCAATGCGACAGTTGTTGAAGTCATGTTGCACTCTCTGGGTGAGAGGGATGCGGCCATTTTAGCAATGCAAGGTGAATACGATGAGACACCGCTACACGTGGCAACGTTTCACAACGATACGGCGATGATCAAGGTGATGATGAAGCATCTCGGAGAGAAATCAGATGCAATACTGATGAAACAAGATGGAGGGAAACGTACGGCGCTACATTTGGCGGCGCAGCGCGATATTGCGGCGCCGGTCAAGGTCAGTACGCTGCTGGAATGCCTCAAAGAGAATGCTGGTGCAATGATGATGATTCCGGATCGGTGGGGATGGACGCCGCTACACCATGCGGCGAAATGTGGCAACACGGGGGCCTTTGAGGTGATGTTGGAGTGTCTGAAGGAGAAAGCTAGTACAGTGATGGTGATGCTAGATTTGGATAACAGGACGCCGCTGCACTGGGCGGCATCGAGGTGCGATGCAGGGACGGTAAAGATGATACTGGAGTGTCTCGAGACCGAGGTTGCTTGCCCCCTGATGGCTATGGAGGACATTCACAATCGCACGCCACTACACTTGGCGGCAAAGGGCGGCCATACGGCGACGGTCAAGGTGATGCTGGAGTATCTCGGTGAGGATGCTAGTGCAATCATCATACTTCGGGATGATCAGGGAAACACGCCGCTGCACTGGGCGGCGGCGGAGAATGATAATGAGGCGACAGTAGTGGCGATACTGGAGTATCTCGCGGACACTTCAATTGCTGGCAACGCCATGGATATAATGGACCATAAGAAATGCACGCCTCTGCACCTGGCGGCGAGGCGGGGAAAGGTGCCAATGATCAAGGCGATGCTAAGATATCTCAACAAGACGGAGGGTGCCTCGTGCCTAACAATGATGGATGATGATGGAATGCTGCCGCTGGAGTATCCCGTGGCAAAGAAACTTGTCCAGGAGACGGAATTTATAATCGAGACGGGGCCCAAGCAAGAGACAGACAACATAAACAGGTAAAAAAAAAATGACCAACAGGTTAAAAGGGTTCAAACATTGCTACTCTGTAGCACCTCTCTCACGAAGTGCTTGTATCACCGGACCATGGCCCAACGCCTCTGCCCGACCGAGTGCCGTCAGTCCCGCCGCCCTCGCGTTCAAATCGACTCCGGCATCAAGAATCAGTCCAAGCTTGTCCCCGGCATCAGATCGATAGCCCAGATACGAATGCTCCGGGTCTCCCGCCGCCAGATGCAGCGCCGTCTCGCCGGCGGCCGTGAGCGCCTTGACATTGGCGCCCGCATCTTGAAGAAGCCGGAGCTGCTCCACGCTTCCGTGCGCGGCTGCGTAGAGAAAGGGTGTCGCGCCGTCATTGTTGACCGCCTCCAAGTCGTCGGGGGTTGCCGTGGCGAGCAGGGCGCGGAGAAGATGGGCAGAGCTTTGGGCGGCGCGGTGCAGCAGCGTGTTGCCCTCATCATCACGGTGGGCCTTGTTGGATGCAATGGCGCCGTGGTCGAGGAGGATTTTGATGGAGTCCGGACCGTCGGCCAGTGCAACTTCCAATAGTGTGTCTCCGTTGCTGTCCGTGGCATTGGCATCGGCACCGGCGTCGAGCAGCAGCTGGGCGACCGTCAGGGACTCGGCGCGAACAGCCTCGTAGAGAGGTGACCGCCCGTCGTGGTCCTTGGCTTGCACATCGGCGCCGGCATCGAGGAGGAGCTTTGCAATCTTGGGCTGCCAAAACATGGCCGCGGCGTGCAGAGGCGTCCCTCCATTCTCGTTGCGGACACTGACATTGGCATCGGCGTCAATCAACTCTTGAACTATGGTATAGTGCCCGTTGGCGGCAGCCGTGTGCAGTGGCGCGACGCCGTCGCTCGTTTGCGCCGACACGTTGGCCCCTGCATCGATGAGGGCTTTGACAGTCTTGCGGCTGCCCGACTCGACTGCGTAATGAAGCGCCGTCAAGTCCCTCTGCGATGCGTCTGCCGCGCAAACGTCAGCTCCGGCGCGAATCAACTGTTGCAGTTGCTCGACGTCCCCGTCGAGGGCTGCCTGAGATAAAGTCGCGGCCTCGTGGCACGGCTGATCCGAGTCTGTCCGGCCGCAACAGGCACAGCTAAGGGCTGCTTCCTCGATGTCGCCAGCCATTTTGAGTGATGTGTCGGGTAAGATGGTGCCCAAATCGTTCATGCAGCAGTATGCGAGCGCTGCAAAGAGGTAATAACAATTGAAAGCAGTTGTGCGCATCGTCTGAACGATGTTGAGGGGTCGAACCGTACGACTATATACTTCGTTCGGTCCAGGTAGTTATTCATCGACCCATAGTAAACGCACGAACACCAGTATTGATTGATGATTTTGACCACCGACATACTATAACCTCTGCTGCCTTGAGCCCCATAGTTAGCGATCCATGTGGAATACAACTCGTCAGGTTGCCGTCCAAGCAGCCTGTGCCGACCAACCACCACGATAATGTCATCGTTCTACACCATTCGTATTCGAGCCCTTGTAAATGCAGTCCTATATAAACCAAAGCGAAGAGCGTGAATCGTTCACGCTGCTCCACTATGAGCACCAACAGCACGTAGATGACCGCCTTTGGCTGGGGCTGCTAGGGGCTAGCAGTGGAACTTTTGACAGCAGCCCTCATCAGGACTGTGGCTCATCAACTATGCATGCTGTTCAATGACATGTTTGTTTATCGTTTTATGGGTGTAAGAAGCCGGTAGTAAAGACTCCTTTCAGATGCCTGTCGCCTGTTGGAGTTGTGGTTGTACGAACGCGGGACGTGTTACATATGTTGTCTGACCTCTCTATAACGGAAAATCCTCGGATCGGACCTTTACTTGTGGCTTCAAGTCGCTGACTAAGTCTGAAGCTTGGCAGCTTCCAACCAGCCATAGCCTTGAATATGGTGGGGCTGGTTGACGCTCATTGGCCACTCATGCTAGGCCGCCTCTACCTTTCACTGACGCACGCTGCCACTGCCAGGCTGCTGCCACGCCTGACCATCTCTCGCAACGTCAACACTCGTCTCTCAAGCCTCCTCTCCGTCTTTGTCTGAATCTCGCCAAACCACCACCTCAACCGCCGCCCGCCGCCCATCTCGTCGAGCGCCGCACGCAGTCTCCTACGCCCACCTACCAACGGCCACCTTCATTTTTCTCTCCTTCCGCCGTCGACCGTCACAATGAACCCTGAGTAGTACGTCTAGGCTCCACCGCTCCGTGCGCTTATCCCCTGAAACCCCAACACATGCTGATAATCCACTGCAGAGTGCCCAACGACGTTGATGGCTCAAAGATTCCCGCGATGCAGGCGCTCCTTTGGAGCTCTCTCACGCATACTACTTGCAACCCGATGAAATGACAAACGCGCCCGATGGAACCATGCGACACCACATATGTGCAGAGCAAACTTGTGGCTAACGAATCTTGGCCCCCAGATACGACTACCTCTTCAAGCTCCTCCTCATCGGTGACTCTGGTGTAGGAAAGTCGTGCTTGCTACTTCGTTTCGCCGATGACACATACACCGAGTCCTACATTTCCACCATCGGTGTTGATTTTGTGCGTCCCAGCCAGCCAACCCCTCGGGCCGAGGAATTTCGAGTATTCTAACAACCGCGACAGAAAATCCGCACCATCGAGCTCGATGGAAAGACTGTCAAACTTCAGATTGTACGTGGCCGATGCTCTCGGCATAGTTCCTCTATTGGAAGATGCTAACCGAAGCAGTGGGATACCGCCGGCCAAGAACGCTTCCGCACCATTACCTCTTCCTACTACCGTGGTGCCCACGGCATCTGCGTTGTCTACGATGTGACCGACATGGACTCGTTCAACAACGTCAAGCAATGGCTTCAGGAGATTGACCGCTACGCCACCGAGGGCGTCAACAAGCTCCTAGTCGGCAACAAGAGCGACATGTCTGATAAGAAGGTTGTCGAATACACTGTCGCCAAGGTACGATTCGCTACCCCCAGGCCGACGAAACTCGGCTGCTCATTAGCTTCTCACTGACAACCGCAGGAATTTGCCGACTCGCTCGGAATCCCTTTTCTCGAGACGTCTGCCAAGAACGCCAGCAACGTTGAGCAGGCTTTCCTCACCATGGCCCGCCAGATCAAAGAGCGCATGGGCACCACAGCAGCCAACAACACCAAGCCCAGCGTACAGGTTGGCCAGGGCCAGGGCGTTGGCAACAACTCGAGCAGCAGCTGCTGCTAGACGAATGTATTTTATGAAGACCAGAAGAAGCCCTCACGGCGACAAGACATGGTTGACGAATATCTGACGGCAAGAGGCAGAGAGGAGAAGATTAGTTGCGCAAGGTTGTGGATAATGTGGACAGACTTGTCATGACTTTTCATAGTTTCCGGGTTTCCTTTTTTTTTTCCTGTTTCAGCTCATTGGTTCCCCTTCATTTTGTTGTTTTTCCAGAGCCCAATCTTCCCGCTGCGATGCGTATAGAAATTACATCACTTGCCTCTCAAATCTGTGCCAAAGCAATCGGAGCAACGTGGGTCAAAGGGCTGCGCGGAAAGCAAGTGGAGGATAATGATAGTTGAAACCAGCTAGATTTCGACAAGAAGTTCCGAGAAGAAACGGATGTAGGAAAGAATACGACTGCCATTTTTCAAGAGTCTGGTATATATGAGCTGGCCTTTGGTGACGTAAAGACGAGCTTAATCACAGGGTCAAGGCGGCTCAGCTCGGTACTGAGCAACGTCATAAATGCAGGGCTTCTGCGTAGACGAGATGCCAACGACATGTGTTTATGAATAAGCATGGGATCCGCGAAAAGCCAAAAACATATTGCCAGGATCTGCTGCGGCTGAACGATTCAGCTAAGCGAAAACCGTTTGTGTTGAACAGCTCATGCCGCGGGAGGGAGAAGGTGGGCAAGGCAAAAAGGCATAGTCCGTGTCCCGTCTGTTCTCCGTTTCAGCCCGGCGGCGCAGCCATGGCACCCCCCCAGCTAGGCCCTTGTGCCGGAAAGGAAATTTTCACGTCTAATTATAGTTCATAAGGCGACTGGGCGTACATAGTTGCTTTGTAGAATGGAGATTGGAGGAAGTGAGAATAGAGTTTGTGGTCGGGGCGCTTGTTTCAGGTACTCATGCAAGGGCTGAAATCTCTCTTCGCTTCTGATTTTCGTCAATCATGCTCACGCGAGAATTGTTTTACGCATTTGGGGGTTCAGAATTAACTTTGCAATTTCTCTAACCGACTTTTACAAGTCCTTTGCGTCTAAACTGGTATTTCTAACAAATAAGGAAAAAATAAAGTAAAAAGTGCCCTAATCAAACGCTAGCAATCGCCGTGTAAATGATTCCCATCAGTCTTTGCAGAAGAGGGCAAAAGGAGTGACAAAGAAAAAAAAAAGAGAGGAACAAGAAAATATTCCAAGAGTAAAATTGTTTTACATGCGATTAGTGATTACCCCATAATTACCTCCGCCATTACCTCATTTTTTTTTCTCAAGCCATCATGCCTAGGACCTTGAGTGCCTTTTGCGTGCCTGGCTTCTTGCGCGAGCGTTTCTTGCCGAAAAACGGCATGAGCCGCCGCTCCTCCTGGTCGTAGTCGCTGTCATCATCAGGATTAAACGTCATGATGGACGCGGCGTATTCGCTGCGGTTGTCCGGCAACATGACGGGGCTGTTGTTGAGCGTAGAGCCGCCGTACGGCGTATCGAGGAACCGCGGAGCGGGCGGCATCAGTGACACCGATGATGCATGCTGCTGCTGGTACTGCAGTGTCGAAAGGCTGCTGGTAGTGCTGCTGCCGTGGCTGGTGTAGGGGCGGCTTTGCGTACCCGGCGCGGGCATCTTGCGCATGTAAGCAATGTGAGGCGTCGAGGCCCGCGACATGCTCGAGACGCCGCTGTTGGTCGTGCGCATGGTGCTGCTGCTTAGGCGCCGGCGGATGAGCAGAGTGCTGCCACCGCTGCTGCTGCTGTTGTTGCTGCTGACGACGACGGGCCCGCCGCCCACGGCGCTGGTGCGCGGCGCGGTGTGCTTTGAATGTCTGCTGTAGGTCGCGCAGTCGGAGTTGGAGTTGGAGTCGGGGGGGCTGGGCGACCGCGACGGCGCGGTCGTCGTGTAGTAGTCCTCGACGGCAAGGGAAGGCTTGCTGGAGGTGGGAGGCGTCATGGAGAAGGAAGAGGAGGGCGGCGGCGGCGGCGCGAGCACGGACTTCATGTGGGCGGCGGCAGAAAGCGGGCTCTGAGGACCCGTCAGTTTGGGAAACGCGGACAGAGCGTTCACGCGTAACGGTGAGGGCTTGATCTTGCGCGTCTTGGGTGATGTAGCCTTTGGCGTGGACGGCGTGACCATGGGGTCTGGTGACGGCTGCGCCTGCAGTAGCGACGGCGGCGGCGAATGCTCGTCATCGGTGTTGTGTGCAGCATCGGCAGTAATCATCATTCCCGTCTTCTCCGGCGGCGTCGGCGGCAGCGGACGGTCCTCCGCGACGGGCAGGTCCCAGACGGCGGCGACAAAGTCGGCTACATCCCTGCCCGACGCCGACGACGTCAGGAGGAAATTGGCCTTGGTCCTGCTGACGTCGGATGTTATGGAACGGCTGGTGGTGGTGAGTGACGAGGAGCGCCGCGAGTAGACGGACGAGGCCGAAGCGGACACGCTGCTGGTGCTGTCGACGGAGCCCTCGCGGACGTGGCGGAAAGGCAGCCGGTCCTTGCTGCGGGCGTCAACAATCTGCGCAATCTTGACAAGGTCCACGCCGGCGAGCTTCTGCATGGCAATGACGGTGGCCAGATGCTCAGCCGGGTACTCGAGAATTAGGAAGCGAACGTCGGCGTGCACAGCCAGGTACGTCTCGAGGTGCGGCAGAATGAGCGTCGCCAGCAGCTCCGGGTTGCCAAACGGGTTCTCGGCCATTGTCTGAGAGCCAAACGACCGCGAGGTGAATGCTTGCATTGTGTTGGCGAGCAGATATCTGAGTCAAAGTTGATGTGCATGTCAGCAAGCCGATTTCGCACAAGAATTGATGGGATCAAAGGAACTGGGGAGAAAGGGTCACTTACCGAAAGTCGAGCCGCGCGCAGCGAGCGGAACCAGTCGGCTCCGTGCCAAACTTTTCAATCTGGCTAATAACACGTGCCGCGTACTCGCGGTTGATGCCGTTTTGCAGGCCCACGGCCAGAATCTGCTTGAGCTGGTGGCCATGATGGCCGATGGGGGCGGACAGACTGTTGCTCACCCCGCAGCCCGGGAAGATGGACCGCCACGGGTCGTTTGCGTTCGGAAGCAGCTGCAGCGGAAACTGAAATTGCGGCGCGTACATATTGGATGGGAACGGGTATTGCTGGTGAAGAACGGATCGGATGGCGTTTTGCACGGCGATTGGGGCCTGCATGGGCTCGACATCGAGTTCGTGAATAATGCTTCTGTCAATCTCCTCGACTACCTCCTTTTCCGAGACGATTTCCTCTTGGTTCTGTACCGGCTGCTCTGGTGGGACGATTTCTGTCGAGTCGGCCTCGAAAACCTCCTGAGGCGGCGGCGTCTGTGCCGGCGTGGGAGGACGCAGGATGGTGACGCTCGGCTTCTTTGACACAGTGCTGGGCTGCGCCGAACCGTAGGCGGGATTGATGTAGGCAAAAGGGTCGTAGTCGTCCATGCTGGGCAGTGCCTGGGCTGTCATGTTGACAGCCGTCGTCGGCGTTTCTTGTTTGTCGTCGGCGTCGAGCTCTTCTGTGCCCGACGTCTCCGGCGAGGTGAGATCTGCGGTGCCGTCGTCGGTCTGTGACTTGAACGACTCGGTGCTTGCCGTGCTGGCCTTTGAGCTGGGCGACTCCGACAGGCAGGCTGACTTGCGCATGTATTCTTCGCGCATGGCATTGAGGGCCGACTCAAGTAAAGGCTGCGGCGTCAGCTCCGACCGTAGATACAGAACAAGATCCTCCATGCGGGGGAAGACGGGCTCAAAATCGGATGCTGACTCGGACGGCGGCGGGGCCCCGGCCAGATCGACATCATCGTCAATATAGGTTGATTTGCCTTGTTGCCAGCGACGCTTCTTGCCGTTGGGCACAGGCTGCAGCTTGATGACGGGCCGTGTCCGCTTGACGGAAACTGTTCTTGGACTGTCCGTCGTCGTCGTAGTCTTCGAAGACGACAACGACGGCACACGCATAATGGGGTGCGCAGACATGGTGCTGGTGCTGGTGCTGCCAGTCGACAGTGATGGCTGGGTGGCCGGCACCGTTTGACCACGGGGGCGGGCCGGCATGATATTAATATTATATACAGGTAGCCCTGTTTCAGCAATGATGTGCTCGTTGAGCTTGGGCTTATGCGTGGCGGTGCCTCGGCGCACCGCTTTGACGCCCATGACCGCATCGCCGCGCACAGACGTCCGCATGTCCAGTAAGGAGGCATGCCCGTACTCCACGTTGCCGATGGAGCGCATGCTAAACGCGTCGGACATGGGGGATATGGGCTCACTGGTCGAGCGGCGTTGCGGGTGTTGCTGTTGTTGTTGTTGTTGATGATGATGCAGCTGCTGCTGTCCGGTGCTCAATCTTTTGGGTGTACTGTCGCCATCCACCACGGTCGACACAAAAGATTTGGCTGTGGGAAAATCGTCAAAACCAAAAACAGACGGCATGTCTTCGTTTTCATTGTAATGCACGACGGAAAATCGCTTCGTCTCGCACACCGTCGGCAACTTGGCCCGCCGCTGCTCCGTCACGGGCGTGCCGCCGTCGTCGTCGTCGAGCGCCGACGACTGCCCAAAGACGGGAAACGGCGCCGTGTCGCCAGACGTCGTGTCGGCGTGACCAAAGACGGGCATGTTCGACGAGCGCGAGAGGCTGTGGATGGTGAGATCAAGCTCGTTGGAGATTTGCAGGCTGGCCGTTTGGCGATCCAGCGCGTCGGCCGCTCGCATCGCTCTCGTGCTTGGATCGGACGACTCCTCCTCGTCGTCGTCGGCTGGGTAGCTTGCAGAGTAGATAACAGGTGCAGAATGAGCGCGTTCCCTTTCAGCCTGCGCGAGGTTTGCCATGTCGCCGCCGCCACTCCCAACAAGGCGGCTGAGCATCGCTTCCGCGGCCTCGCGGTCACCCGCCGTTTCGTGCTGCATCAAAGCTCTGAGACAGAGCGCATGGGCGCTGGCAGCACCTCCCTCTAGAAACACCAAACGACGGCCGCCGCCCTCTTTGCCGCTGCCGCCGCTGCCCTGCAGAAACGTTTGCGCGTCGCGGTGCCGTCGTTTCATGGCGGCATTGACCTGCCGGAGGTATTGCACGGGGTCGAAGACATCGAGATACGACGCCGGCATCGGAATGTATGTCTCCAGCGCGGGAAGAATTAAGATTTGGGGATTTGACGGGAGGAGCCGCAGCTGTGTAGTGACGATTGTCTTGGGGCCTTCAATAGCCACAACGGCCCGCTCCCACGATGTTTCCTCCGCCATGGCCACGCCGCTGATTTTTTCGGACTCCATGGTTGATAACGGTAGAGAAGTCGTAATGTCGGCGTATAAAAGGTTGTGGTAGGCACGCAGTAGGCACGTAGTCTTTGGTCTCTTCGATTTCGTGGCACCAAATGTCTGACTCTCACAGTCAATAGCACAGCTATGACATGGCGTATCCCCTCGTCGACGCGCCGCAAGCCGTGAAGTAGGCACAACAGTCGATTCGGCTGCTCACAAGCGCCGCCGTGTAAGTGCGCCGAGCCCTGATGAGAAGCTCAAGTGGAGGCTGGTTGTCGAGAGTCGCGCTGTTGGTAAGACAAGACAAACGGAGATAGCCGCGACAAGAGCAAGGAAACAACGGAAATCTGCCAGAGACTAAAAACGAAGCACCCGACCGTTTGTACGGAGTAATGAGCAGGGGAAAAAAAAAAGTCAAAAAAGTAAATATAAAAAAGAGACAAAGCTACAGAAGGGGTAAAGAGATGACGACGACGGGCGGTGCTAGCACATATTATCATAAATGAACCTCTGTGCCTCTCTCCGTTAGCACAAAGTTGATGGCCGATCACTTTGTATCCACAAGGTTGCAAGGAAGGGCTCCGTCGCACTGATCAGCCCAACAGCCAACATTGGGCAAAAGCTTCGACCGGCTGAGCAGTCTGGGAGTGAAGAGGTGACAAGGTGAATAGGGTCATCAGCAGGGGAGGCAGAGAGGGGTGTGGCAGCAAAGCCGTCGTGCATGTCGGCTTCGTGAATGGCGCGCTCTCATTGGCAACTAGCACAAGGTAAGGTAGTTATGCAGCTAGAGACGGCTTCTTCACGCTGCTGCAGAGTCAATTTCTTGTTTAAAAAAAGGTACACGCTATCCAGGATCCCCTACTGGAATAAGCGCACGGTGTTTCTGCACTCTACTAGGGCTTGTAGGGGATATGGCCCATGGCCATGGGACACACTGGTAAGGTAGTGATTACCACAAGCCGCCATTCCGCGAGGCTTGTTCTTCAAGGGTGTAATGAACGGTTCAAGGGACCCTTGACGGAATTCTTTCTTCTTCTCTATTCGTACCCTCACCTCACTTACTCTCTTGAAATTGGCCTCTCATTGCATCGGACAAGCAGATTGTTATTTGCCTGGTCGTTGCGAGGCAGGGCGCTGCAGGGAACAACGCATTACATCGTGTGCGGGCGTGCGTTTTGCGCCCGGCCAAAGACCAAACTGCAGATACCTCCGTAACTACCTCGGGCGGGTTCTTGATGGTGCATTGTCCTTGCCATGCTTTGTCCTTGCCGTGCTTGCTTACTGATAGAGCAACCCAACCCATCCTCCACATCGCTGCGCACACGCTGTGACACACATACACATACGACGTACGTAACACTGGCTGCTGCATGGTCATCTTGCAGTGCTGCTTCAGTTATGGCCGGGCAGAAACCAAGACGTTCCGACATGATGCCAGGCGCTTACTGCTGTAGCTCACAATGCAGCCGGGTCAACTGCAAGATCGCGGAGCCTCCGCCTTTTCGGTCAATCCTCGCATCTCAGGGGCATTTGGAATTGGGAAGCCTAGGCTATAGCTGAATAGCATTGATGTGATTGTCGGCTGGGATAAATGCACTTCACAAGGGGGGGGTGCAGAAAACCGACATGGGGTCGGGCGCCCTTTACGAACATGACCCAAGCATCCCAGCGATGCTCATTTCCACATGTACAATGGCATTCTTTCGAACCAACATGAATTCTTGAAGAGTTGCGACCGTTGCGGGCCTCATAATATCAGGCATCTGTCTTCATAATTGTCATTGTTGCAGAGACATGTACTTTTACTGTGTTTTCTTTATTCTGTCGCATCGCTTGCTTTTAGGCCTGTGCTTCCGGCCACCACTCTCGTCAGCGTAAGTTTGCGCGCGACTACACTTTGTTTCGGCTCGTTCAGCACCGCGGAGGTGTATTTACTGGCTGACAGCAAAGAACAAGTTTAAAAAAAATTCGATAGAGATCAAAAAATTATGAAACCAAAAGTTGAGCTAGGCGGCGGGTACTTGTGGGCACAAGAATCTAGATTTCGGGCCTAATATATTCGTAATATTCCTGTTTCTCTCACCCTCTTTTTTTTCTTTTTTTTTTTTCTTGTTGTCCAGGAGGGCGCTCACCTTGTTCAAGATGTCGGCGAACAATTGGGTTTCTTCGTGTGACGTTGGTTTCTCATGCCTCATGCGGCTGATGTTGGATGCTGCATGTTGGACATGTGAATCTTCAACGCTTACGTCTTCTAACAAGGCAAACGAACAATGTGGACAAAGGAGCTAACCGGGGGCTCCAATTACCCCATGAATCTACACAGCCAAAAACAGGTGTTTGCTCGCCATGCATCCAATTAATCTATCGTGCAAGCCGGGGAACGAGTAATTAGTCAAGCGACCGCCACCACGAGGCTACGGTCCTAAGGACAACTACTGGAGAGCTCGCTTGCGTTCTTCATTATTCATTCCTTCTTTTTGGGGGCCAAAGTCGGCAGCTGTCCCGCCTCAGTGGTCGACAGCGGGCATTATTTTTCAAGGATAGGGTCACATTGAGATACTATATCTGCTACAATGCAGGGAACCTTGTGTCTTGGACATCAAGACATGTCAACGTCGTTGGCTGACCGAAGAGGCTGCTGGGGCAAAATCATGGCTGGGAAGCCAATCAACAACTAGGAGATACCAGCCTCGATTATGCCGCTTTGGCTGGATTCTTTGTGCGTGATGATTCTAGCTAACGAAAAAGGTATAAGAAAAATTCCGCAACTAAGACGCTTTGATGTTCCTCTTGGCTCTTACAGATTATCCACATTTTTCTAGGTGACATGTCGCTCTTGACAGGCACCAGGGTGCGAGGGTGGAGAGCAATTGGTGGTTCTTTCAATTACATACGGATTAATCCGTAGATGCCTCGAGTTTCTTTATGAAAAACGGCAGATCCATCCATGTCCTTTCCGCCCAGGACGTGGCGTCTAAAAAGGGTGGCTTCCTCTTGTCCACTTTCCTCGTCCACGATGATCGACATCAAACTAAATAGAGGGGAGCAATAAGCACAGGAAAAAAAAAAGAGCGCAGACTTGTTAACTAGTATTCTACCCACACGAGGGCAAGCGAGAACAAGGTGCCAAGCTCCGGCAAGTCTCAGTAAAAAACCCAGACCTTGTCTCTCCTTTATTTCTTATTCCCGGCTAGCTGCCTCGGCTTGCTACATGCAGAAAGCGTTTCGCTGCCAGTCACCCGTTTAATACAGTATTACTGGCTTGTATATTTTTAGAGACGAGGCCCGAAACTGAGTCAAGCTGTTGCGACAACGGCATCTGCAACAACGGCCTGCCTGTCTTCCTTCCTTTACCCTGCATGGCTGCCACGGTATATATGCCAACAACGAAACGCGCATGGAAGTAGATGCAACCTTAAATCTCAACTCACTGCTTGAATGCAGTGGCGTGATCCAATGGTGTATAACAAGGCTGACGCGGCAGCTCGGCAGCTGCAAATGAGGAAGAAAAAAAAACTCAATAAACAGTTGCTCGTTTCAAACCTCTGCCCGGGAACCCGGTAACAGGGCAAGGCCCCCCAGCTTGAACTAGGTAGTTACTACTGGTAGATACGAATATCAAGTTGCAATAACGACTCGACAACCAAGTAAAGTTTAAACAAGCTACCCAACAAGTTTCCAACCTACCACTACCAACAACCGACAGCCTGCAGTCAACTAAAACCACGGGGCTAGCATTTAGGTAATTCACCGCGGCCCGCAGGCTTCGAGACCACGGGCAGCGCGCTTCCTAGTTGGTACTTCAACCTCGTCCGCACGTCCCTCTTTCGCGGGTTCCATTGACTCAAGTTACCCCAGCGCACGGCACGGGCTAAAGCTCCCCGAGCCCCAAAATTCAACGGCGGGGACTTTAGAGTTGCCTTGAAGCGCGGAAAGTGGGATGCCGCGGCCCGGCCGCGATTTGTCGACAGAGGAAGGAGGCGATGAAAGACGGCAATGACGCCCAACATGGAAATGAATGAGCCTTTGAAATCGATTCCGTCCTTATGGGACAACTGTGCCAAGGACCGACAGAGGGGTCCCCCTCCTCCCTCCCTTGGACAATCACATTCGGCAGTTGTGCACGTCGTTGCGGGAAGTTTTGTGGGAAAAGTGACGAATTCTTTTTTTTTTTTTAAAAAAAAAAAATTCTATTCACGGCAGCTTTGATGTGACTTTGATAACAAAACTGACTCGTGGTCTTCGCTTTTCCGATGCTTTCCGGCACACCTGCGACTCTGTTCTTTTTATTTTTCTATTCTTTTTTTTTTGTCTTCTTTTTTTTCTCGCTCCTTGGTGCATGGGGATAACAAAAATTCTTCTATTCTCTTTTCTCTTTTCTTTTCTTTTCCTTTCTTTTCCTTTCTTTTCCTTTCTTATTTGTTCAAAAGCGCATAAAAACTTTGTTGCCTTCCATGAAACGTCGGATATGGAGACTTGGGATGCACGGAGGGGATGACTTGCATTGTCTTCCCGTTGGCTCCCATCCGGTGAAAGTGACATCGGTAAACAACTTCCCCCCCCCCCCGGCCAACGGCAGAACAAATTGCAGGCATTGAATAGAGCATTACATATGATTACGGACGAGACGACCTTTTCCGAACTTGATGTCGCACGAACTGAAAGCCTGCAGTGTACTTGGTTGTTTCCTAGAAGTATGTATAAAATGTGAAATCTGCCACGTCCCAACCGCTGCGAGGTTCCAGTGCATCGCTCCAAGAACTTGGACAAGACGCCAGTGAAGTCCTTCAATCAAGATGTGCTACGGATTTCTTTATCACAAGATAAATTGATTCATCTGTCAGGAAGCAATCGTGTTTCAGATGGTTGTGATCGGCCACTTTTATTCATGCTTCTGCAGCCACAAGTAGGGATGATCCCGTGAGACGCGGGACCATGGCCATATCCACGTAGGTTTTCTTTTGTACCCCTTGCGTCTTGTAAAACCAACGGTAAAAGAACCATTGTCGCTGTACCAGTAAGCCTAGATCCCATGCACACGAGAGCACGAGCCGCCTGCGCCGACCTGGGCCAAATGCTCATCACCACTTGCTTTGTTGCTGTCTGAGCAGTCAATCTCGTTTTCCGAGGAACCCACTCCATTGACTCGCATCGCGCATGCCAATCCACATTTCGGCCGACGTGCAAGATCCTTCTTAATCATCCATGAGCTCCGCCAGCTCCGCTTCCTCCTCTGCCGTGAGCATGCCCTCGCCCGCCTCTTCTTCCTTGTCCACGTCTGCCTGACCGGCTGACGGCTTCTCCGCGGTTTCTTTTATCCTGCGGACCGTCTCGGCAAGCTCCGCCTGTATCAGTGGCCACGTGCGAATCGTGCCATCAATGCCCACGCTACACACGCGTGTGGGAGGCGCGCCCAGAAGCACCAGGTCGGTAATCTCGTCAAAGTGACCCTCGAGGGTGGCGTGCAGCGCGCCCGACGTGCGGTCCCAGACCTTGACGTCCTCGTCGCGGCCGGCCGTCACAGCCCAGCGGCTCGTCACGACGACGGCGCGCACGTAATCGCCGTGCGCGAGCGAATCCTCCGTCTCGAAGCCCCGCACGCGCGCCAGACACTTGGCCGTCCCGTCGGCGCTCGCCGTCCACAGGTCGACGTCATCGTCGCCGGCCGTGTCAAATACGAGCCGGTAGACGCTCGTCTCGTGCTCCTGCACCGTCAGCCGCTCGGCGTCGGGACGGCCGTGGTACGCCTCGACGAGCTGCTCGGTGCCGGTCAGCGTGATGCGCCACCGGCGGATGCTGGGGTCGCTGCTGGCGCTGACGAGAACCAGAGCATCGGGAGTGCTGAGGACGGGGTCGACGGCGAGATGCTGCACTGCGAGCATGGTCGTGGCGGGGTCCTGCAACGTGTGTATCCGGCGACCGCTCTCGGCGTCCCAGACCATGATCTTCTTGTCGGCGCCGCCGCTGATAACGACGGGCTTGCCTGATAAAGTGGCGCAAATGACAGTCTTGACAAAGTCGCTGTGGCCGCTCAACTTGCGTTGCGGCTGCGCCGTATCGAGATCCCATGACCAAATGTTCTTGTCCCAGCAGCCGGCATACAGCGTCTTGTTATTGAGACCGCCAATGGCCAGACACGTCACCGGGGCTTTGGGGCCTCTGTACGTCGTTTTAGTTTTAGTAGTCTGGAAATATCAGTATTGCCCCTGTCTGAGCAACGTAGTGAAGCTCACTTCTAGATTGATGCGTCTGCAAAAACCTGCAGACTCGGCGATGAATATCGAGCCATTAGGGTCACCAGGATCTGGGACGGCTGCCAGGATCTTTGACTTCATAAATATAGGACTGCCATTTTTGTTTCCAGACTTGGCCGCCTTGCGCGCACGATTAGCGTTGGCCGCGCTTGGGCATTGTCAGTTGGGAGTGATGATGGAGGGGCTTTGGGGATGAAACTCACTCGGATTGAAAGTAGAAGTCTGGATTGGCGGTTTGCATGCTGAACTTGTCAAGGTCCTTCCGTCGCAGTTGAATGGAAAGACGCGACGGTATCAACTCGTTGCCTCAGTACCCCTTTTAAGCTTGTAATTTGAAGGATGCCTATTTAGTTCGCCAGGCTTCCATCTTCGATACCGCTGGGATTGGGCGCCTGTGGCGGGGTGGCGGGGCGGCTTCAGCGCTGTGGGCCTGGCATGTGGTGAAGTGCTTCCCTTGAAGATATTACGAACTGAACTGTAACACAGTGAAACTTGGAACTTGCCATGGACTACCTACCTTACCTTGACTATTTTGGCTCTCAGCTCCCTTCTTTTCGGTCTTAGTTTTGCACGAAAGAAAGTGCCAAGGTCTGCCACACTGTACATGAATAGCTGATCAAGCTACCTTTTCATGATAGATGCCGATATATGCAGTCGGGAAAATAAAATTGCATAAGTAAACCTATGAGAGTGATTACTGACTACTGAGCCTTGAGAATTATTTCTGGCGTCGTCTTCTCTGACAGTGTACACGAGGCAGCACTTAACGTTCTGTTGTGGCGCAAATTCACCAGCCACCGTGGCGGGGTCGCACCAAGTGGCTCAACTGCTATGACCCGTTTGGGCAGCCATTTTAATTGAGACGCGTCTGCGGCGCGTCTTCCGTGTAGAGCCTACACCACTTTTCCAGGACACCCTGATATTGTCTGTTCAAACAACAACCACCAACGTTGGCCTCTTTTAAATTGATGCGACACGCTCTTTTTCGAATCACATCAAGAGTCAATCATGGACTCCACGCTGGCCCCGCGGCCGCGGCCACGCCCAGCACACACCCAAGGAACCACACGCTGTGCCTATACCCCCGACGGCACGCGGCTCGTCACCGTCGGCTCCAACAACACGATCCGCCTCTACACGACGGGCTCCGACGGCGAGCCCACCAACATTGACGACTGCCAGGAGCAAAACATTGCCGTCGCCGCCAGCAAAACCTCCTTTGTCGTCGGCTCCGAGGACGGCACCGTCAGCCTTTTTTCCCTAGAGACGGCCTCGTTTGAGAAATTCCTGCTGCGCACGTCGCTGCCGGTCCGCGACGTCGCCCTCACACCTGGCGCGGGGACATGGTGCGCCGTGACGAGCGACGAGCTGACGGTTAAGATTGTGAATACACAGGACATATCGCAGGTGCGGCACCTACGCGAGCACGGGCGGCCGGCGCGGCACGTCGCGTTTGATCCAAAAGCCAGCCTCGTTGCAGTGTCGGGCACAGACGGCATCGTGTACATATACTCGTTGACGGCGGAGGAGCCGGAGCTGATTCGCAAGATTGACGGCGTGATTGGCGCGCTCGAGAGCGACGGCACGGCGAGCTCCAAGGCGGCGTGGCACCCGGACGGCAGGGCGTTTGCGGTGCCGACGCCAACGCGGGATATCCAGGTCATTTCAAAAAATGACTGGGAAAAGCAGCGCTGCTTCGAAAACGGCCACATGGGCGACATCACGGCGCTCGCGTGGTCGCCCAACGGCGCCATGCTTGCGTCGGCGGCCAAAGACGGCAAGATTCTCGTGTGGGACACCAAGACACAGGCTGTGCTTCAGCGCTACAACTTTTCCAACGTCATCGACCTGTGCTGGCACCCGAGAAAGAACATTCTCTCCTTTACGACAACAGATGGCGAGGTGTACATTTACCCCGACTTTCTCAGCGACCAGTTTGCGCCGCTTCTCAAGCTCAACCCGCAGCCCGCGCCTTTTATTCACGATCCGCTATCCGAGATTTCCGGCAACAGGCAGGCACTGCCCGTTTTCAACGGTCAAAAGGCTCATGATTTGCCTACGCGCCGCCGGCGCGACTCCTTGGGCAGCTTGGACTCGTTTCTCCGTGCCGGTGACGGCTTCGGCAACGCAGACGACGACGACTTTGTAGTCGACGACGACAATGCGGGCTACGCGCCGGGCTTCCTCAAGCGAGGCCGCGAGGGTGACGACGACACGTACAACGGCCGCTCGCGCAAGCGCAGACACCTGCCCGAGCCCACCTATCACGAGTCCTTCCAGCCGGGCTCTACGCCGTGGCAGGGCAACCGCAAATACCTGTGCCTGAACCTGGTCGGCTTCGTTTGGACGATTGACCAGGATGCGCACCACACCGTCACTGTCGAGTTCTACGACCACGAGCTGCAGCGGGATTTCCACTTCACCGACACGTTTCGCTACGACAAGGCGTGCCTCAACGACCGCGGGTCGCTCTTTGCGTGCCCGCCGCGCGGCGACGACCAGCCCGCATGCATCTACTACCGGCCGCACGAGAGCTGGACCCAGCGCCTGGACTGGCGCACCGAGCTGCCGCGCGGCGAGACCATCACGGCCATGTCGCTGAGCGACTCGTTCGTCACGGTGACGACCGACGCCAGCTACGTGCGCGTGTACACGCTGTTTGGCGTGCCGTACCGCGTGTACCGTCCCAAGAGCACGCCGACGGTGACGTGCGCCAGCTGGCGCGATTACGTGCTGACGGTAGGCAACGGGCCGATCGGGCCGGACGGGGCGGCGCGGCTGCTGTACACGATTGAAAATGTCAAGCGCGACGAAATCTGTCAGAATGAAGACACGCTCGCGCTGCCACCCGGCGCGACATTGAAGAGCGTCTTTTTCTCCGACAATGGCGTACGTATATTCCCGTCGCTTCCTCACATAGATGTTGCCTTACTGACAGTGGCCTAGGACCCCTGTATATATGACTCTACGGGCACGCTGCTGACGCTGCTGCACTGGCGCCAGCCCTCTCGCGCCTGCTGGGTGCCTCTCCTTGACACGCGGCTGCTGCCTCGCCTTGCCTCTGGCCGCAAGCATGAGACGTATTTTCCCATTGCCGTGGCCGACGACAAATTCCACTGCATCATCCTCAAGGGCGGCGACAAGTACCCATACTTTCCCCGTCCGCTACTGTCCGAGTTTGACTTTTCCATTCCTCTGACCTCGCCGCCCAAGATCAAGGAAGCCAAGTCCAAAAAGAAGAAGAAGCAGCTCCACGAAGACGGTGAGGATCTCGGCATTGAGGTGGAAGAAGATGCTTCAGACGAAGAAATGCAAGAAGGCGACGACAACAACAACAATGACGACGATGGTGACGAGGATGTTGTGGAGGAATTGTCAGAGACCAAGAAGCTCGAGCAGGCGTTTGTGCTACGGGGCGTGCAGGCCGCGCAAGCGCAGGACGTGTTGGACGCGACAACGGGCGGGCACGCGCAGCGCAGCGTGCTGGCGCGGCTGGAGCTGGAGATGGACAAGACGCTGCTGCAGCTGCTGGCGGTCGAGTGCCGCGAGGGCGAAGAGCGGGGAATGCGGGCGCTGGAGATTGTGCGGCTGATGCGCGACCGCACTGGGCGCATGGTCGAGGCGGCGGGCAAGGTGGCGGAGCGGTACGGGCGCGCGATCCTGGGGGACAAGATTCGCGAGGTGGGCGAGAGGAGGGTGGCAGGGGAGGACGACGACTTCTTCTAAGGGTTGCGCTTACATGCATCTGATATTACGTGTACTGGGGATTTTAATGCCATCGATGGGTTTGCATAGGTGATTTGATAGAAGCTCAGGCGTCCAAGTCGTCTCTGCATTTGTTATGCGCGCAACATGAATTATGACAAAGTCTCTATTCAGTCGATGCGTCCGTTGGTTCATTGCGATAATGCCTTGGCGCGGATGGTTGCAGGTACTACTTGGTAGGGTTCAACATGTGCGCTTTCTGGGTTTTGTACGAATAGTTCTCGCTTCGCCGTGCCAAGGATTGCTTAGCTCCGTCGCTGTACTTCGTAGTACACGCAGCACAGCGGGGAGCTTCTTTCAGCTGGCATTTTGCACTTGCGAACCCCGCACGGCCAAGGCACACGCTTGTTGTGCGAGTTGACTCTGCTCCGGCATACCCAAACATGAAAAGATTGGTGCCGAGAAATTACCTCGCGCGTATTTGCGAGCGGCGGTGTGCGCGCAAAAGCCGGGCATGTTCATGCAGAAGGGTCATGTAAAACGTCGCCCTGCCGTGTTACGGGCAGGTCAACGAATGGGTGTGGGGAGAGCCATGGCCAACGGGCCGCGGCCGGCTCAAAGGAGTCTTGAACACGGCTGCTCGAAACAAGAGGTGACCCAGGGATATGATGCACTGAAGCTGGGTCGGTCTGGCACGTTGCTCATCTGTAGCAAACTTGTGCCTGCAGATGGAAACTGGGCCCACGGAGTCGTTTGTGTTTGGGCTTGATGGGAATCTGTAGCATCTTGAGTGTTTTGGTGGGCGTTGCAGATTAGCCGTCGGTAAGCAGAGCGCCTCAGCTTGTTGTGAGTGAGCATTTCACGTGTTACTGCATGAGCGAGGGGCATCCCTTGGCTCGGCTGGGCTCGAAAAGGAGCGCGTCTGCGTGAGCCGACTGTGTGGCAGGGCGGAGAGTTTGGACGGGCTGACAGATCTTGGCCTAATAAGCTGATTGCGGGCATGGTCGCGCGCATCGCAAGCTGCATGGCGCAGATCTAGTCTGTTCTAGCGGCATGGCGCAGTGCACCCAAAGTCATCCCCTGCGGCATGGCAAAATATTAAGTGAGGCTGCCAGGCAGCGAGGTAGCGTCAAGGCGGATGAGTAGGTAGCTTCGAGCCTATAAAAACTGTACATGAGCAAGTGGGCGTCATGTCCGTTTCTGCGGACTTGGGATGCTGATTGAAGCTGGCTGGCCATTGCAGTCACTGGACAAAGCAGCGATGCAGCAGCGCAAAGCACGGCCTGACCAATGCGAAGGACAGCGCAAAGCGAAAATCTAGGGACGGCAAGGGTACGGGCAAACACGACGTGGTGACATCAGTGTCACATTCATGTGCTAGTGTCACATGCATGTGCTCTGCAATTTCCACTCGTCGTTTGGCTGTAAGTATATTGAAGGCCGAGACAAGTTGTACGGTGAAGTGCGGGAAGCAGCCTTCCATTTTCGTCGGGTGACGCAGACGAGACAAGTGGGGGACAAGAACCAGTTCAACGTCGCAAAGTGAATCGGCCGGAGGTGAGCCATGAAGAGTCCAGCAAGTATCCGTATTTGGTAGGTAGTCAGTGAGCGGCAGCGTGTTTCGTAGTCTCCACCGAGAAATACCTAGGTCCACGAATTGTTTCGTTGGTGGGCATTATTTCGCTGTGCCTTGATGTGCAGGAAAAGAAACGGTTACGACGCAATGCTTCGAAGGGGTTAAGCAGTGTGGGTTCTTTCAGCCGAGCAAATGTAACCGTCGAGGCGTTGAAGATGCGAGATGGTGCGGCACGTGCGAGTGCCAATGGCTATTGACCTTGTATGTGTGCAAGCGTCATGGGATCGACAACGGGAAGCGATTCGAAAAAGCCGTGGAACAAAGGTTGGTCGTCTTAGTGAAGGGGGTTAGTATTTGGGGGGTTGGCGGGGATGGCGGTGGGTGTTCGCGGTTTGCGATGGAGCAAGTAATAAAGAGGATATAAGGACGAAAAAGTAGTTAGTAGGTGTTGGTCAAGACGTCCGATGGATCATGTGTCAAATAAAACACAAGGTCGGATAGGCGGTGTTTCAGATGATGGTTGATTGATGCTATATGCTCGGTGATGGTGATGATGATGTGAATGCCGTTGTTCGTAGGTAGTTGCTGCAAAGAAGGCCCAGATTTGCACGCATCATCCATCAGTCAGCAGAAGCAGATGCCGGAAGGGGGGGGGGGGGTTGCAGGGGCCGGTTGGCAGTAACCGAACATGAGACACTGCGTGTACCTAGGGGAGAGAACAGATTTGGACTTGTACGCTTACGGGTGCCTCTTTTTCCATGTACCAGTAGTTTTGAATGCCAAAAAAAGTGATGCTTCATATTAGTATTCTAGATTATTTGGAAGCTATTTATCAAAAACCATCTCTGGTAAGGTCCGAAAGTGCTTGTCCGGCCTGAGTAGTGATGGCATGGGATGGTATGGGTACCTGCAGTTCCCACAGCACATGGACAAGGGTACCTATGTACCTTGAGGCGCTACGGGGACAAGGGAAAGGAGACTCGGGAAGACGAACCAGAACTGAGAACAGAACTACTTAGGAAAGAGGCTAGAGGCAGGGTTCCGCGAGACATTGGTGCCGGTGCAGAGATTGGAAAAGTCTATGCGTTGATGCGCAAGGGTGCATTCGGACATTTAAGGGCTGCGATGGTAACTACCTAGGAGTCGGCGTGTTGAATGTCAGACATGCATCTGATGTTTGTGCGTGTACCTGCACTAATAAAGCATGAGGTTGTGAAGGGGCGGCTTCGCACGTTTTAATCTTGGCTTTTTTCCTTTTTTTTTTTTTTTTTTCGTTTTCCTTTTTTACCTTTTTTTGCTTCCTTCTTTCGCGACGGCTAGCCGAGCAGGGGTGACTGGCAAAAGCCGAAAAATGGCTACTTGGTGGTAGATTGTAGCACAGACGGGACAGCTCGCAGAGACGGCGAGGCCTGGGCGCCGGAATTGCCAGTAGGGGGATCCCCGCCCGGCCACAGACGACCGAGTGAGCCCCGTCGAGGCGTTCTTGGGATATCCCTTGACGGAACAGTGGCCTGGTTAATCCGTACGTTGGCTCATAATAAGTAGGTTCAAAAGGTTTTGCTGGTTCCGCGCCACAGCGCACAGGCTATACAGTAGGGAGTGCCGTCCGTGGTAGAAGCCGCAAAGGGTATCGAGCCGGTTCAGGGACCTCGGCGTATGCTCTACAGTCTGAGTTAGCACTACGAATACGGCTCAGCCCTCCCAGACAGCCCAGACAGCCCAGACAACTCTATCGCCCTCGGAACCAATCGCCCCGTGTTGATCTCAAAAGCAGATGGGGGCAGCTGGCCATCGGTAACGGATGCTGCAGTCACGGCTCACTCATTACTTAGTACCTAGCTGCTGGCCAGTACTGCAGATCGACATTCAGACTAATCATTAAGAAAAACACTTGGCTAGTATAGGAAAAGGAAATGTTTGGCGGCTCGAACCACATTCAGCTCCCTTGTTGCTCAAGTTGCTTACAAGAAGCTAAGTACCTAGTCACCACGTTGTCTGAGTACTTGGCTCCAAAGTTCAAACAGCCGAACCTTCAGCTCGCATTGCCTGCAGCAGTCGCGTTTGTCTAGGTAGTGAGGTAGGCAAATAGCTGGACAGTTGCCTCAGACAGCCAAACAGCAAACAAAGGTACCTACCTACCTTTGGGTCCCTTTTTGCCTGCTTGCTTGCTTGCTTGCCAGTGCCACTTTAAACTAGCTGCAACCTTCATGTACTCCGTAAGGTACCGACACATACACACAAAAAGATTTACAGTAGATACGTAGGTACATGCACATGTACCTTACTCGCCTGCTCTACCTACCTAGGTAGGTAGGTATCACTTGCCACGGTACCTACCAAACCTCTTCCACCAGTCACCACCCACTTCAACCTGCCATCCTTCATTCTCGCGCAAACCGCTCCAACGCCCACCGAGCCTTTTGCCTTTTGCCTCCGGCCTGCACATCCACCATCTTCGCCTTTCAACATCTTTATTTACCATCCTTTACCAACCCACCATACGCCGCTCTCCAACTCGCTCACTCATCTCCCCGGACCCGCCGTCGTCGCCTCTCGGTTACTCTTGCGCGCATCTCGCTCACCCCGTCGTCGCTCGTCGCAAGCGACATGAGGTTAGTGCAAACACCACGCCTCACCATCACCGCCCATCGCGCGCACACATCTCCGTCCTCCACCCTCCCGCAACCGCATCTCCATTTCTGCCTCGGACGAGTGTTCCCTTTTTTTTCTCCTTCTGGTTCCTGCATCGCGGCCCTCGTCCGCGCCCCTGCCGCCGGCCCCCCTTCCCCGCTGCCAATGCTTGTCGTCTCCGTAAGCTGACACTTGACCATTTTTTCTCTCTCCAGTGCCAATGGCCACGGCAACTGAAGGCCACTACACTTCGTCTTTACCGCCAGACCGGCCTCGCGATCGCCTTGTCTCTCGAGTTATTCCACTTCCACCCTCGTCCGCCGCCATGCCTTCCTCCTCCGGCGACGCCATGGACGTTTCACCCGCCCATACGCCGCCTGCCACCAATACCTCGCCTTCAAGCCACAATGACTACGACTCCAAGCTAAATGGTCGCGCCAACCACTCTCCTCCCCACGACGCCTCGTCCTCTTCCGCTTCCATGCCTGCTCCTCCGCCGTCAGCCGCAGGCGCCGCCCAGCAGCCCAAAATTGTTCAGACAGCCTTTATTCATAAGCTCTACAAGTATGCTCCCTTTCTCCCTCTGCCCTGCTCACCCGTCTACCCCCGCGTTCTGTCAACCCACTAACCTCTGCAGCATGCTCGAGGACTCGCAGATCCAGCATCTAATATCATGGTCCGCCACCGCCGAAAGCTTCGTCATGTCACCCACTGCCGACTTTTCCAAAGTTCTCTCGTAAGAACCCCTTCAGCCAGCTTCCAGTGCCACTGCAGCTTCGCGACCTCTCGTCTAACCTGTCTTAGCCAATACTTTAAGCACACCAATATCTCATCTTTTGTGCGCCAACTAAACATGTATGGCTTCCACAAAGGTATGACACAATCCCGCAATCGTCTCGTCCCCCACCACAATCCTAATCCAGAACAGAGCGAGACGTTTTCCACACTGGGAATCCCGATACTACACTCTGGGAATTCAAGCACGGCAATGGCAACTTCAAGCGCGGCGACATTGCCGGCTTGCGCGAGATTAAGCGTCGCGCCAGCAAGCAGCTCGGTCCCAAAGAAAACACATACGTCAAGGCCACTTCCTCGCAGCCAGGCACCCCGGCCGAACCTGTTCAACTGCCTCCCGAGAGCACAGACGCCAGGCTTGCCCATCTCGAGCATAGCATCTATGACATGAGTAACAGGTTACACAGAAGCGAGGAGCAGTCGCATTATCTGCAGCTCCGCAATCAAGCTTCATTGGATACTTTATCTCGCCTGTTGCAGTTTAATCAGGACATATCGCGCATTTTACTATCCTTGATTCCAGCCGACAGTCCTACTCACCGCGATGGTATGTTTAAATGTAACCACTATAAATTATGCGATCTTGTCGCAGCCTCTGCCTCGCACTTCCGACACTGACAAACTGAAAATAGTGGTGGCTCTACAATCTGATTTGCAACGGCAGGCCGAATTTGTGCGCACCTTTGAAGAGCCGCCCGAGCCGCCCTATTCTGTACCCAGATCCTATCTCGGCAATGTGGACAATGCACCAGTCTCGCCGAGACAATTGCCACAAGACGACAGCCGTCGTACCGCACCAGGCATAACCCAGTTGCGAGCCCAACCATCCTACCGCCCACTAGTCTCGTCCAATCTCACAACCAGCAGTCGCCGTTTCGGATCCATTGGAGGCAGCAGCCCTAATCAGTCTTCACCGCTTCGCAATGCAGCGCCGCCGCCACCGCCCGCACCTCATCTACTCTCTGTCAACGATCCACCCGGTATGGGCATGGGCCGTCGACATACAGCCGCCGATATTCGCGCCCACGGGTGGCAGACTGGTGCAGCGCCTTACCCCTCGTCCAACCCGCCTTCTGCACCCTGGCCCTCGTCGCCCAATCGAGTTCCTGTCGAGGACCAGCGCATTCGTGAGTCGCTGTCGGCCTACTCTTTGCAAGGTGCCTCGCACGCGCACCCACGCTCACGTCCCACGACTCCTCCCCCGCCCTCTGCCAATGGCGTAAGTAACGGCCACGACGCATTCGCTGGTTGGGGATGGAACTCCACCAGCAGTCGTGACGGCAGGGGACCACCATTTAAGGACTCGTCAGCACCCGCTACCAGACGAGGCAGTATGGCGCACATTCTTAACCCTAGCAATACCGAGAATAGATCCGACGAAGATGACGACATGCGCCTCGACGAAGATCGAAAACGAAAGCGCATGCAGTAACGCACTCGTCGCACAACTAAGTCATCTTTTCGATGTAATCGCATCATCATTTTACACGTGTGCAACATGTCGATTCTGTTTCGCAATCATAATTGGGGAGTTTTATTGCATCTAACACATCCCGATGCATCTGTCATCTCGTACATCGAAGCACGTTCATATGCAATTGTCAATGTCGAACACTAAAGCATATCCCTGTGCGACTAGTAATGTCGACTATACTGAAGCATGAACAGGATAGCTTTGATTGACAGAACCCGACTGCAAAGGGCTTAATCTTGTGGAATATTCATTCGCTCGACGCGGGCGGCGAATCATTTTATACACCTGAGAGCCAGATTCGGCTGAACTGGCCTGATCCTACCTTGAAATTATTGTTATTCCTTAGCCTGGAGCCGGCATGGCGCGCGATCTTGATCATTTTCTATTTTACATTGTTCGGGTTACCGAAAAGGAGTAGGTCCAACGAGGATTTTCTCGAACTGCGGGCATAGGAGCCTGCCACGAGACATGTTGGCGGTCTGTTTGTTGCATTTTTATACAGGTATTGATATTGCACAGTACTGAGAGACGACATGATGCCGGAAGCTTGCAGGCGCATTTTTGATTGCAGGCGAATTGTTGGCTGGAGTTACGGGGGCGAATAGGCGAATTACGTGCGACAAGTCACTTGGAACGCAAACTATTGTGGTTGGAAACCATGTACACCAATATTCTGTTTTTCTTTCTTCAATCTTACAACTGCTACTATTTACAGGAGCTGCGCTGGATGAGCTCTGTGTTGCTCTGTTTCTCGATGGAATATACCCAGCCTCAAATGAACTAATTACCTTATGACACGTCTCTTTTAAATCAACACATCAATACGATCAATCTCTTGCTCTATTATCATGGTTGGGTATCAACTTGCTTGTGTTTTGCTATTGTTCTTTTTCTTCTTATTCCTCTTTCGCTTCTTCGTCGTACCCGCTGGCTGTGGCGCTTCCTCCACCACCGCCTGCGTCTCTGCCTCTACCTCTGCCTCTGCCTTCGCCACCAGCACATCATCATCCCCTCCCTTCTCCTCTTTCACCTTGCTCTCCTCCTTTTCCTCCTCCTCCTCCCGCTTTTTCTCCTCCCCCCGCCGCCGTTTCCTCTTTCCCAGCGCGCTCCTCCCCAGCTCCTCCTCATCCTCGCTCTCCTCCTCCATCTTCTTCTTCTTCTTCCTCGCCCACTTTTCCCTCTCTGCCGCCGCGGCGCTTTGCTGGGCCCTGCTGCCGAGCATGCGTCCTCGTAGCTCCCGATCCGCCTTCGTCTCGGCGGTGTTGGCTGCAGGGGCCACGTAGCCGACGCCCTCGTTGATTAGAGGGTGCTTGTTTGCAAAGAGCGCGTCGTCGTCGAGTTCGGCTTGTGTCTTTTGGTGGACTGAGGTGGTGGTGGCGCTGGGTTTTGATGAGATTGGGCGTTTAGAAGACGGTGTGTTGAGGGTTTTTAGGATAGAGGATTGGCTGGCGAAGAGCATCGAGATGCGGTTAGACACGGCGCTGTAGCTGGCGGCCGAGGGAAGGGCGTCGGGTGCCATGGTTCGTTCGTGTGCCGGCGGGAGGGGGGATGCGCTCGGATGCGCGGGGCTCTAGGGGTCCAAATGCGGCCAATTATTATGTTGAAATTGATTAAAGATCGTAATGCAGAATATGGGCGGCACAAAGCGATGAATATGTGAGAAGAGTGGCACTTTGGAGACGAAGAAGGAAAGAGTTGAAGTCACGGGTTGGAGAAGTGGAAAAAAAGTTGGAGATGTGCAAGGGTGGGCTAATAAGCGGCCATTCGTAAGCGCCCTTTGACGTCACAAAGACCCCATCTATTCAATATGAGATTGTATATTGCCCATATAAAAGGGAATTCACTGTTTTCCATGCAAAACCATATCGCATGCATTTTAGTACCATTCGAACGGGGCAGAAGTCACAGTATGGTCATATTCATAATGCTTCATTGCTGCAGGGTAGAACATGCTGGCTTCACTTGCCAAGGACTTTTCTTGGAATGGGGCCTACGAAGTCTTTCCTGTCTGTAAAAACGTTTCTTCCAAATTTTTTTTCAAACAATGGCTACTTGAAACACAGTTCATTTGACTTGCTTACAATGATTTAAGATTGCTTCACTGTTCTGCATGACCTCTACAGACGCTACATGCGAAAAAGATATCATCTTCCAATCCTCAAGATATTTTATGCAACCCTATAGCTCTAGAGACAATGCACACAACGCTCTTGGCAGCGAAACTCTGCAACACGTCTATTGACACTCCTTCTCGCTGCCAAGTCACAAGAAGCGGACGGTCCGTGGCGCAATGCTCACGGTTATGCTTGCTGCATCGCAAAACAAAGTCTGAGAGAATAGTGCGGCTGGCAACAGCACGCCATGAAGCAATGTTGATATATATACCCAAATTATACACTATATATCATGCAACTCGTTCAAAAATATGCACACTTTTCGTTCCCTGTAATGTACAATGTCGTGTAATCCGTGCTGCTTAGAAAAACCAGTCAAGGTTCCCCAAGCAATGCCGGCTGTGTTTAGTATTATCATATTATCAAGTTTCCGGTTCCGGTTCCGGTTCCGGTTCCGTTACTGATCCATGGTCGGGCGCAGCGACAACACGTATGGCAGCGCCGACGCATCCTCCCTCGTCGCCAGCCGGATCACCGATTGGGAGCTCTCCGAAACACTCGACCGCAGACTCGTACTCGAGCGCTGTTGCGTTAGCAGCGGACCCTGCTTCAGCCTTTTCGACGTGCCGTGCCCCGTCGTCGTGGCGACACTGCTGCTGCTGCTGCTGCTCGTGCGCCGGAGCACTCCGCTCTCGGCCCCTGTGCGGCGACTCCCCGGCGTATTGGGCGCCGTGGCGTACTGGCTCCAGGCATGAAACGACGAGTTTCGCCGAAATAGGGGTAGCCGTCCTCCCCCGCCGGCGCCGGGCGCCACCATGCCGCTGCTGGCGTCGCTGCGAATCGACCGGGACGTACTGCGGCTGCGTGGTGGCGTCGTCGTCGGGCGCGACCCGAGCGGCGCGTCGCTGTCGTGGGCGCTCTCAGGTGGCCGTCTTTGGGCGGTGGGCGTGGCGTCGCCGAGGTTGGGGGCGCGCATTGTGCGCAAGAGCTCGGCAAAGAGGTGCATAAGGCTGCGGAACTCGCTGTTGGTCAGCGGCCGCGTCGAGAAGCGCGCGTATTCGTATTGTGTGAGAAAGTCGGTCGTCTGCTCATCCGTGTCGAGCACGCCGAGCTCCGCGAGGGTATCCAGGTAGGTTCGCAAGCTCATGGTCGGGTCGCGCTGTAGCAGCGCCACCATGTCCTGATCCAGCGCCGGCTGTTGCTCTGCGCCCAGCATCGCCCTCGGCGCCAACGTGAGTGCCTTGGCCTCAATCAAATTCGGCAGCTCCGCCAGCACGGTGCTGTACTGCAGGTTAGGCAGGTCCGGCGAGTTGGGCGACGACCACCCAGGCTGCTCAATATCCGCCCAGTTGGTGCCTCTGGCCGGCAGCACGACCCCGAGCTCGAGGCCGACCGTCCTCGCCGTCTTGATCGGCAAGGTCGGCTGAGCAAAGAGATTCTCGCGCGACGACGTCTCGTCGGCCAGCGACCTGTCCCTCGGCCTCGACAAGAACGCCACGGCTGCGCTGCGGTTCAGCCCCGCGCATATCATCTTATACACGCGCTCTTTAACGTCGCCTCTATCAATTGGGATCCACAATTTCGGAATGGCGGCGAGCGCCGTTTTATTCATGTAGAGGCGAGTGGCGTAGACAAAGCCGACGATGAGCAGCGTCGCGGCGTAGACGAGCGCCAGGACGATGATGTTGTACCGCTCGTGGTTGCCGACAGAGCGTTGGATGACGTCTCCGGGTGTGATGAGAAGTAGTCCGATGAGGATAAGGTAGAAGAGGATGTAGACGGAGCGGTACAGGATCCGCTGGAAGATGCGCCGTCGCTGCATGGCGGGCAGGCTGCTGTGAAGAGGAGCTAAGATGATTGGATGCGCGCACTCGTTGATTCCTAGCTCGCGGCGGGTAATGTCGCTGGTGGCCGCATAGCGAAGCTAGTTGGCAACTTGGTCGTCTAACAAAGACAAAAAAAGAATGCAAGAAGAGTATAAACGCATCGAACTGCGTGTGTGGTGACAGTCCGTGACGGGGGGGGCGTTGTGAGCGAAGCCTAATTAAAGGCAGGCCAGCCAGCAGCTGAGGTGGTTGAACATAGTGGGCCTCGGCCTGGCCCGTGTCTCTGGTGTAATTAGCAGCACGCTTGCGGCCTCTGGTCCTTCTAAGGGGATGAAGCTACTTGGGGCATGTGCAAGACATCTATGTCTTTGAGGAATGACAAAAAATGGGGGAAAAAAGGACAATGAAGGAAAGGGCAAGCTCAAAAGCTTGGTGCGATCGCTGGTCTATCGTAGTTCCCTGTCACCCCGTGCACTCACAAGCAAATTGCTGATTTGGGCTAGTAACGTCAATTATACCAAGCTGCTATTAATACACCCATACACCAAACCCTTATTCCGGTATCATTCATGCATCTAACTAGATTTTACATTGTTCTTTCGTGTTCATCTCCACTGTACGCAGACGCCTCACCGAGCCTGCTGCATTTCCGGTCTGCGTTGATCTAATCGTTGCCTGACTGCCGGCTCTGCCTTTTTTTGCGTAATCGGCCTCGACTTGGACAAGTCTGTCCGCTTCGCGCGCGCATCTTTAGATTCCTTGGTCTCTTTGACAGCTTCTGGCTCTGAGGCTGGCTGCGACTTCGTCATGGCCTCCTTAGCAAGACGAAGATCCGTCAGAGTGAGTCTGAGGTCGCCACTAAAGGGTTCAAACTTGGCGACGACCTGCTCCAGACCAAGGCGCATGGCGTCGAGGACCTGATCAACTTCGGGGCTCTCTCGGCATCTTGATGAGTCTGTCCAGTGAATGGGAAACTGTGTCTTGAGGGCTTCCACCTTCTTGATGATGGCCGTCAGCGTGCGGATGATGCTCGGTACATCACGGTGAACGTTGCCATATTGGTCCTCTGCCAGACTGTGAATAGCAAGCTGGCACAGGGCTTGCGTGGCGTGAATATATACCGTAGGCTCCGCATATGGCTGACCCAGGACAACAGCAGCAAATTCTGTGCCGAAATCTCGACGAAAAATGCTGCTGATCCACTCCAGCTTGAGCAAGCGAGAGGCGGCCTGGTCAATGTATGATTGTATACTCTCTTTTGAGACAGCCTCCTGCTGCTCTTTGGTAAGCATGCGGTCGCGTGTCTGCCTCCAAGTCTTTTTGGCGATTGGGCTAAGCTCAGCTATAGGTGAAGAGCCAGGCGAGCGCGCAAACTGATCCCATGCCTTATCGACACCACCGCGGGATACATTGCCTTTTGTGAAAATTTCATCCTGCCTGAGGGGTGCAGAACCGCGCTGCTTTGACACTTCTGGTGCAGTGACAGGTACAGCAGGAAGTATAGGTTTGCCGTACGCATCAACACGCTCTTCGATACTCCTTATCACTGTCATGCAAATCAAATAGACTTGTGACCACATGGGGCCGTCTTTGCGGTCGATGTCAGCGTAAATGGCCTTTCGTTGGGCATCAAAATCGCGCGCAATAATTGCAAGCTCCCACATGGCGAAGCACTATGGCAGTCAGTACTGTCGTTACTCATAGCTTATTAGCGCATACCTGTATGGAGTCTTTCTTGCTCTTTAGTCCGTTTAGAAGGCTGCCATTCGGATCCTTGGATTCTGTGGTGAAAGGCTTTCCATTTTTGAGAGGAGCTTTGGCCATGAGGATGGAGAACCCAGTGTTGCCTGCAGCCCAGATGGCATTGAGAAGTGCACCGGCCCAGACACATCGAACCATGAGGAACAAATCAGTAGGCCAGCTGTTGGGTACAATATTGGTGCGAGGCAGGTTGTAGAAGGGACGGAACAGCATCAGGGCCCAAGACCAGGTGAACGACCGGAATAGCGCATAGTACAAGACAATGGCCATGACAAGCGAGAATGTCGCCTGCTTGATGCATCCTGCAAACAAAGTAGGAAACTGCTGCATAATCTTCTTGGGCGATCCAGTGAGAAATCCACTAGTCTTAGGCTTGACATCTTCCGCTTTGGGCTCCGACGCCACAACTAGCCTATCGATGTCGGATTGATAGTGTACAATCGTTTGCATCACGGCGCAGGTGCCGAAATAGCAAGCAAGGAAGATGGGTCGCTCGTTGAGTCGCGCGCGGTCGCCGCTGAAGTAGGTAATCCATCGCAGGCCCGCGCTGTCGTTGAGAGACCAAAGATAGACCGGGCAAAAAAGTGTGCTAGATATGGCGTACCAGAAGAAAGTCTCGTAGGTTTGAAGTCGAAAAAGCAAAGCCTTGAGGGTCTGCGCGCCCGACTCGGTCCTGACGCCAACATGATAGTGAGCGATGCGCAGGACAAGAATCGCAAGTCCGCTGGTGAAAATGATGGCAGTACGAATGCCGGTGGGACCTAGAGGAAACCAAGACCAAAGAACTAGAGAATAGTTAGACCGGTGTTTGGGTGTTTGATGTGATGTGTGCCGCACAGGAAGTCCAGGAAGCTAGGGCGAGAGCTTCGATATAGGCCACAGCAAGCAGCAGCGTCGCCGTCGCAGCAAATCGTCTATGAAGAGCTGGCTGTAATGTGTCCTTGTAAGGAGCTCGTCGGACCACAGCGGCTGCCATTTCCACGTCGCATCGCCTGATAGGCTGGAAATGTGCAATGGGTGCAGAAGTCAGGATGGCAAACAGCGAACTTCTTGAACGCCAAAAGTCAACAAGACACTAACAAAAAGTTGGTGGTAACCAGAGACGCGCTAAGCTCCAAGACCAGACAGCAAGGATCACGTGCTGATAGCGTTCGATGGTGGCTCTGGAGCATTTAGTGGGGGCAGACCCAGTCCTCATTGGCTCTTGGCAGCTGGTGTTACGTAGTGACCCTTCGGCGTCATCCAGGCACCACTTTGAAACCTACATCTACAGACCCTGGATTCTACTGATTTTCTGCACGCACAATACCCCAATATCGAGGAGTTGGTTTCGAATTGAGAAATGTCGTACGATCGCCTTTCAAGCATGGAGGCCGGCAGGTCTGGCGGCTACAGCGATGACCCTGCATTCCGAGATCTGCAGTCGGAGCTCAAGGGCAAGCTCCAAACGCTGCTCACCAATAATCGCAAGCTCTCAAATGACTTGACTGTTCTCGGCACGAAGAAGGACACACCGCGCTTGCGGGAGCGTGTGCACAACACGATGGAGAAAACGCGCGAAATATGCCGCGACATTGGCGAAGGCGTCAAGAAGTTTCAGTCCTGGGAGGACCTCTCGGTACGTCGACTCGCACTGGTGTGCTGACCAAACCAACATTACTGACTATTCGTCCAGAAGCAGCAAAAATACGAACAGACCAAAATATCGAGCGACTTCCAGGCGGCCCTACAGGAATTCCAGGGTCTGCAGCGCAAAGCGCTCGACAAGGAACGGGCCTCGGTCTCGGCGGCTAGGGCCGTGCAGGACGGCGGTGAGGCTGCCGGCGACGACGGTGCCCCTCTGGAGCAGCTACAGCGCCAAGAGTTCATCGAGGTGGCGGACCAGGATGAGGTGGATTTCCAGGAGGCGCTGATCATCGAGCGCGAAGAGGAGATTCGCAACATTGAGCAGGGCGTGGGCGACTTGAACGTGCTTTTTCGGCAGGTGGCGCACATTGTCAGCGAGCAGGGCGAGTCGCTCAACACGATTGTGGACAATGTTGAAAACGTCCGCGACGACACTCGACAGGCGGACATTGAGAACCGTCAGGCGGCGCGATACCAAAAGGCGGCCCGTAACAAGAGCTTCTGTCTGTTGCTGATTCTCGGCGTCATTTTGACCATTGTCCTACTGGCTATCTTCCTGGGTTGATAACGAAAACCAGAGCATTGTATGAGATATATCGGATATCGGGGTGTGTAATGCATGTTGCTATTTGCGTGCGCTGGAGTTTGGAGTCTTGGTATCATTTCCGACTGCCAGTCAGTCAGAGTCTATCTAATTATACATTTTTTTTTTACTATACACGGTCTTTTCGAGATGCATCGAGACGCGGTCTTCTGACGTATGAGATGATCTTGGGTCGAATGGGTTTCCAGTTTAAAAGCTTGTCTTTTTCTGGAAGTATCTTCCTTACCAAGTTGACGTTGACGAGCTGGAAAGCAAAATTCGAAGCCCAGTAAAGAAAAACTGATGCAGGTAGGTGTGTTACGCAAAGCGGAAAGAGTGGCAAGAAAACGCTTATTCGTACTAGGCCCCTCAATAGCCGTTGCGTGGAGGTTTCGTGCGACGGCCGATCGATGAGTACGTTTCTCCATTGCTCGACAGTCATACGGCTGAGGAGATTGGCGGCCAGAAGACCAGAGCAGATGAGCGGCAGGCCTAGAACAGCATCGGCGGCCACGAGATCCGTAAACCATAAGCAGCCGCCGGTGTGCAGGGACAGATCCACGACGGTCCCCGGCGCGTTGACAACGGCCTCGCTGGCGCCCACCGCCGCGGCCGAGTTGAACATGGAGACACCGGACAGCCGCCGCAGCGCCTCGGAGACGACGACAAACGGCAGCATCGACGATAGCGGGATGAACTGCTTCCACAGCGGCACGCCCCAGGCTTTATACAGCCGCTTCCTCGACTTTTCCGTCTGCCGCGCGACGTACACACTCTTGCGGTCCGGCGGGCCACTCCACGGGGCGCTAGCGTGGCGATTGGACCAGGCGATGAGCAGGGGCTTGATGGCGTTGCGGCGGCGGTCAAGCGACTGCATGTACAGCTGCATGGGCAGGCGCACGGCGACGTTGATGCCGAGCGCGACGAGCGGGATCGTCAGGTACCAGGGCACACCAGCGGCGTGGATCGAGGTGAAAACATGGGCGGTGGAGTCGACGAGGGGCGTGAGGGCCTCGTTGACAATGGTGCGGCGATGCGGCTGCCGACACGGAGATGACGATAAGATGGAGGGACGGAGACGGCAGGTGACGAGGCGGGGTGACAAAAGACCGCTAAAGGGACGCCGGATGTGTGACATGGTGAGCCATTCCCGTGATACCGACGTGAAGAGAGTTGACGTTGCTCACGGGGTTGTGGGGAGATGAGTCTGGTGGTTGTCGCAAACTTTCACCTGATGGTGTTGATGAAGGTCGGTTGTTTTTTGTTACAGCGGGTTAGCAGTCGGCGCTACCGGGCCAGCCGCCTCAGCCACAAGCGCCGGCCAGAGCTTAGCTACCTAGATTTGGGCGTGCGTAGGCTGAATTCGCGGTCTGAAGTAGACTCGCCTCAACCAACACCACTTGAGAATTCCGAATCTATCACTTCCTCTCATCCTCATCTACCATGAAGGAATATGCAATAAATTATTTGGCACACATAGCAGGCATATGTATCCTTCATCATGCGGACAGCTCGGTACCTGCAGCTGCCTGCACCTCGAGGCCTGGAACACACCAAGAAGCCGCCAAAAGCCCCTGTACGATCCGCATTGTGGCGCTGCAGGCTGCCATCTAGGTACGCAGTGGGGCGCACGACCCTTTTTAACACCTGATAATGACCACAATGTCCGAGTTGCCAAGTTTCGAGCTCATCTGAACAGCTTTACCAGCTTGCACGCTTTCATTTTACCTTCCTATTGTCAGACGATGGTTCCCAGCATTCCACTTAACTCGTTTTTTTTCTCTGCTGCTTTTCCAGTAAGCTCCGATTTCCGTCCTTGCTCCTACGAATCCTCAATCAATTTCCGCTCCGAACTCGACCGTTAATCGTCATCTTCCTCCTGCGCCGTTCGCCCCGCGCCTTCCTAACCGCATGCGCCGTTCGTGACTAGCATACACAACATGTCTTCCCGCGAACCACGCGGTCGCGAGTCGACCTTGGGCTGGAACGGCGTTGTGGTCACCGTCATCATCAGCATGCTTCCTTGGTTCCTGTACCTTGGTCCGCCCATCGCCTGGCGTCTGCTCGGCCGCTTCGTGGGCTTCTTGTTGCGCAAAAAGACGGAGGGTCGAAGATCGGTCCTTGTATCGACAATGGACGAGGAGAATGACAAATTTGCATCAGACAATGTGGAAAGCAAGAGTAGCTCCGGCGACGAGTGGGAAAAAGTGTCGGGCGGTGCCGAGCACGCCTCGGCGAACAAGCTTGACAAGCTCAAGGACAGAATCAAGGACTGGGATGGCATTATTGGGTTCTTTCACCCATTCTGGTAGGTCGAGCTCGCGTCTTCACGCTCTGTTCCAATGAGACCTAACGTGAGTAGTAATGCAGGAGGAGGTGGTGAGCGAGTCCTATGGGCCGCTATCCGCGCGACGCAGCTCCGCTGGCCCAAAGCCAAGTGTGTCGTCTATACCGGCGACCACGAGGTAACCAAGGCCGACATAATTGCTCGAGTCAAGGTGCGATCCTGCGAGAAATGTTTAAACTCTCGGTCTGCTAACATTGATCCAGAGCCGCTTCAATATTGAGCTGCACCCGCCCACCGTCCAGTTTCTCTACCTAAGTAAACGACACTGGGTCCTCTCCGCCACCTGGCCGCGCTTTACCCTCGCCGGCCAGTCTTTTGGCTCTCTCGTCCTCGGCCTTGACGCTTTTTCACTCCTAGTTCCCGACATCTTCATTGACACCATGGGCTTCGCCTTTGTCCTCGGCCTGTGCAAGTTCCTCTTCCCCCACGTGCCTACCGCCGCCTATGTCCACTATCCAACCATCTCGACCGACATGCTCGAGTCGCTCGACCCTGACTCGCCGCTAGGCTCGCGCGGCGTCAACGGCGGCCAGGGCAGCGGTCTGCGCGGCCTCGCCAAGAAGCTTTACTGGCACCTGTTTGCCCGCGTCTACTGCTGGTTTGGCGCCTCGGTCGACGTCGTCATGACCAACTCGACCTGGACCCAGGCCCACGTCAAATCCCTCTGGGGGCCCTATCGCAAAGAAAAGGACGCCCGAAACCCGACGACAGCTGTGTTCCCGCCCGTCGCCGTCGAGGAGCTCGAGGCGGCTGTCGACGTCTCCGAGGAGAGCGAGAAGAGTGTCCGGGAAAACATTATCCTCTACATTGCGCAGTTTCGCCCCGAAAAGGACCATCGTCTGATTGTGCAGTCGTTTTACGAGTTCCTCAAGCTGCACAGCAAGCCTTCGGAGACGTCTCGACTCGTGCTCGTGGGTAGCGTCCGCGACGACAGCGACGCCAAGAGGGTATACGAGCTGCGCCTCATGTGCAACGAACTTGGCATAAAAGACCGCGTCGAGTTCCACCTCGACGCCTCGTGGCCCGAGATCCTCCAGTGGCTGCGCAGGGCCTCGATAGGCGTCAACGGCATGTGGAACGAGCACTTTGGCATCGGCGTCGTCGAGTATCAAGCCGCCGGTCTGATTTCCGTTGTCCACGACAGCGGCGGCCCCAAGCTCGACATTGTCGTTCCCATCGATGGGCTAGCGACTGGTAAGCTGACCCCAAACCTGGACAAAGACGATTCAGTGTTTTACTAAACGTAAAAGGCTTCCATGCTTCTACTTCGCGAGAGTTTGCCGAGAGCTACGACCGCGTGTTCATGATCCCGGACAAGGTGCCGACAAGACTGCGCGCACGCAAGTCGGCCAAACGCTTCACAGAGGCTGAGTTTGCCAAGAAGTGGATAGACCAGACGGAGCGACTCGTCGCCATGACTAAGTAAATGTTATCAGACACGTTAGCATAAAACGCTGAATCAGGCATTATGACTGTAATATAGATTTTGCGATACCCTTTTTGACCTGCATATCTCTCACAAATGAATCTCTGTATGATCCTGTTCACTATATACTTTGTTGGTCAAAGATGCTCGCCTACGTCATGTAGATGTGCTGCGACCTGGCACGCAGAAGCACACCATGGCCATTAGACGCTATATCCTGCACTATTCGCCTGTCGGGGCTCGCCCACCGCCTCAAACGACCCGTCCTCCAATCTTTTGATTGCCTGCACCGAGCTCAGCCCCGGCTTCACGACTTCCACTTTATGTCCCCTGGCCTGCATAGCCGCCACCGTGGCATTCAAGTCGGGGAAGAGATTTTCGAGCGTAAGCCGGTTGGGCAGGAGCTGGTCGTGCAGGCGGCCGACGCCGAGAGCCTCGCGCATGGTCATGCCGTGCTCGACGGCGTGCCAAAGGCACTGGGCGGTAGCGGTGCTGATTCGCGAGCCGCCGGCGGCGCCGATGACGGCGTAGAGCGTGCCGTTGGGAAAGGTGGCGATGAAGGGCGTGATGGACGACAGCGGGCGCTTGCCCGGACGGATAAAGTTGGCGGGCGCGGGTGGGAAGCCGAACTCGTTGTCGATGCCGGGGATAGAAAAGTCATTCATCTCGTCATTGCTGCAGAGAGGTTAGCTGTTATTCTTTTATATATTTTTTGAGGTGTAGTGTGTATGTATGGCATGGCGGGGGGAGCCGACATACAGGATGATACCAGAGTGCGGCTCCATGATTTGCGCGCCAAAGTTCAGGTTGAGGGTCGTCGTTAGCGACACGGCCATGCCCGACTTATCCGCCGTCGAAATGTGCGAGGTGCCATGGCTCTCCGGCATGGCTGTCACGTCGCCCTCGCTCGGAAAGTACTCTTTTGGCTCCTTTGTTCTCGTATCGCTCATCTCATTGTGAATACGCTCCACCGTCTTGTCAGAGAGAAGAGCCCGCTCGTACGCGAGCATGTCGCGCTTGACAAACGCCGGATCCCCGAGGCTGGCGCGGTACGCAAAGGCGAAGCGCTGCGTCTCGGCGAGTCGGTGCACGGTGAGGTTGCGGTCGTCGTGCCAGCCGGACGCGGGGAAGTCCTCGAGTACGCGGAGCATCTGCAGGGCGACGGAGCCGCTGGTGGGCGAGGACATGCCGTAAACATCGAGGCCGCGGTAGCTGATGTTGTGGACCGTACGGGGGGCGACGGCGTAGTTTTCGAGGTCGGCGAGGGTGAGGATGCCCTTGCGGGACTGCACGAAGCGGACGAGGTTTTCGGCTGCAGCGTGTTGGTGGAAGCAATGCGGAGGGGGGCAGGTAACGTACCAATCTCGCCGCGGTAAAAGGCATCAGAGCCTTCGTTGGCGATTCTCTCGAGGGTTCTGCGGGTGGTTAGACGATAGCACAAAAGGTACGCAATGTGGTAACATACTTGGCAAGATTCTTGCGGGTCATGACCTGTCCCTTTTGCAAAAGCTCTCCTGTGGTGAAAGTTAGCAAACATGTACTGAGACTGCTGCTAATATGAGCATACCCTTAGGAGCAAATTCGGCAGCAAGGATGGGGTCGTCAAGCAGATATGTTTTGCCATCTTTGATCGTCGCATTCATCTTGACAACCATATCTTCCGAGACTACAGCAACATCTCGTCAGCAAACTGGCAGTGATGGATGTATAGCAGCAACATATTACTGCACCTCTGAAGCCATCCCGCGCTACGCGAATGGCGCCCTGCATAATATCTCGCCATTTGAGAACCTGCGCAACACTGTCAGTCAATGCGACTTGTCAAGGGCTGCTCGCTAACACGATTTTCAAAACACAACGTACACCATATTTCTTGTGGATATACTCGAGGCCCCGGACCTCACCCGGCACGGCCACCGCGAGGCCACCTGCGATGCTCGCCTGCTCGTCATGGCCATACATGTCCTCGTACGCGGCCGCCGGCGCCGTCTCGCGGAAATCCACCGCCTCGTAGCGGCCCTCTGCATCACGCACCAGCGCAAAGCCGCCGCCTCCAATGCCAGAATGGTACATGCCCACGACGCCGACGCAAAATGTGGTGCCGACAATGGCGTCCACAGCATTGCCCTACGGGGGCCATGTCAGCAAAACATCTCAAAAGCGCGAGAGGGAAGAGGGAGACAATGTAGAACCCAGGCAGTCAAGGAAAACATACACCGGCGACGATAATTTCGCGGCCAATAGCGCTACATTCGCTGGCCTCGCTGGCGACGGCGCCGCGGGTGCCAAAGGTGTCGGGCGAGAAGATGGTCTCGGGTACCGCAGCAGCGTGGGCGCCGATGGCGCTGCCGAGACTGAGCGCGAGCAGCCTCACGGCATGTATTTGCGTTTCTAGAAAGAAATTTTAACGGATCAGTATTGCGACATGGCTACGCTATTCGCGACGCAGAGGCGCCGACTTCGGGCCGCACTCACTCATGGCGCGACCGTGGGGCGGACCACTCTGCTATCGCCGCTGACGGAGGCCGGAGCCGCGACTGTAGCAATGAATCAGCTTCCAGGCGCTCGAAAGAGTGCAGCGTCTGAAAGGGATACGACGAGCGCAACACACGGAAAGATGAAGAGAGGGAGGGCCACCGAACGTGGTGGGCCGGCCGAACCCGAACCGGTCCTCCGGCTGGTGATATCCGGAGCTAAAGAGGTAGACGGGGCAACGGGCGAACCTCGGTCGTGGTAGTCTATTCGCAGTTTGAAAAATTGACAGGAATCCGGTCTGAACAAGCCGATAGTTTGTTTTTCGAATTGGGAAAAATCACTAACCAGCATGTATAAATACTACCGCGCGAGTCAAGGGGACGGCGGCCGCGGCTGCGGCGGCGCAAATAAGCAGCCGAGACATGCAGGTTCCAATTTCTCAATTGTTTGCTACACAAGCAAAAGCCACAGTGCTCCGTAATCCGTACATATTGTGTCTCTGTACAAGACATGACACGTTTCATTTCTATTCTGCGACTTGTTGACGATAAAATACAATCGCTCGGTATATAGATACGGATACTGAGTACGCATCCTCACGATTCGCCATTTGTTGAGACATGGTTGAGATAAACCATAGTGGCTGTCTTAAGTGCGCTGCTGAACTGAAGCTACCAACTCTTCAAAGGAAGCTGAAGTGAAGTCGTTACGTCACACCGCTCTCGCTAGGGAAGCTGGCGATCCGGCGACTCTGGCAATTGCGCACTGCACTGGTTGCGAGGTTAAGTGGTTGGGTTATGCGACGCAGCGGAGAGCATGGACACCATCTCTAGGTACCAGCAAGTTTTCGGCGGGAAGTTAAGATTCAGGCTATTGTATTAGCCAATTCCGTGTAAACTGATAAGTGCCTACGTATCGGCGTACCATCACTACTGATTCTCACATCGTGGTGGTGTGATACAATCACAAGTTCGACAGATTTCAGACGAATTCCAATTCCTTTGATTATGTATGATGCCATCAACAGCTTGTTAAGTTTGGCACACAGCAGGAACAACTTAATAGCGGTGTAACATGGCAGAAAGCTGCTAAGTGGGGCAGCTACCCCCGGACGGCCAATCAAACTGTCTGCTGATGGCTGCCCCAGAGGGTCTCCCAAATTTTTTGGAGAAATCCGCAGTAGACTTTGGCCGTCCAGATCTTGCGCTCCAGAAGTTTCGCCGGACTATACACAGATGCCAGGTGGTGATAGGCAAGCTTTTCAATATGAGTAAGAAGTGAGTTTGAATCAGCTCAATCGGATGTCACAAAAATCTCCTAACTGAATACAGAACTTCATTGTTAGCCTCATCCAAGGCGGTCGACCCCCACCTGCAGGCTCTCTTTGCCTCGAGTGTAAGCATGTTTCCTACATTTGATAGCAAACACAAATCGGATTGAAACTGACAAATTACCTAGGCTGGCCCTGTCTCCGCCCCTTCTCCATCAAGGTATCAAAAGCTCCGAGAAAGCAGGCCCAAGTCCCCATCGGACGACGCAGAATCTGGCGACGACGAAGTCCTATCCGAAGCCAGCGAAGAGCTCGATTATGAAGTTAATGAAGATAACGATGAGGATGGCGATCAAGAATCTGTAAATGCAGATACTGAGGAGTCTGCCGAGGAGGAATCCGGTGCTGAAAAGAATTCCAAAGCTGCGCTGCGCAAGGAGCGCAAGCGTAAGCGCAAAGACGACAACGAAGATCTGGAGGGAAAGTATTTTGCCAGCTTGGTTGAAGATGATGAAGCGCCTTCCGGGAAGCGCGCGAAGTCTGAAGCCACAAAGAAAGGCTCCGACTCTGACGGCAGCGACGAGGATGACGGCGAAGACACAGACAAGGAAGAACCACCTAAACACGAGTCACTCAGCAAAGAAGCCAAGGCCGCCGAGGCTGACAAAGCTGCGAGAACCGTCTTCGTGTCCAACGTCTCCTCAGAGGCCGTATCTTCAAAAGCCGCCAAGAGGCAACTGCTCGCGCACTTCGCGACCGTTCTTGACAAGGACGCCTCCCCCTCTCAAAAGGTAGAGTCAATTCGCTTCCGCTCCGTCGCTTTTTCCGGAGGTTCCATGCCCAAGCGCGCCGCCTACATCACCAAGTCGGTCATGGAGGCCACTACTCACTCGACAAACGCCTACATCGTCTTCTCGACCACCGCCGCGGCTCGCCGCGTGTGCAAGGAACTTAACGGCAGCGAGGTGCTCGGTCGCCACATCCGTGTCGACAGCGTCGCCCACCCGAGCCCGACGGACCACCGCCGGTGCATCTTTGTGGGCAACCTGGGCTTCGTCGACGACGAGACCATGCTCAACACCAACAAGGATGGTGAGGCGGAGAGCAAGAAGCGCAACAAGGTGCCCTCGGATGTCGAGGAGGGTCTCTGGCGCACATTCTCCAAGATCGGAAAGGTAGAAAACGTTCGTGTTGTGCGGGACCCCAAGACCCGTGTGGGCAAGGGATTTGCCTATGTACAGTTCTACGTACGTATCCACAAGTCTAGGCTACAGCTGCAGCTGCTGCATCGCAGAACCGTCACGACTAACTCTCTTTCCATCCAGGACGCCAACGCTGTGGAAGAAGCACTGCACCTGAACGACAAGAGCTTCCCTCCTATGCTCCCCCGCAAACTCCGCGTCACCCGTGCCAAGGACCCCCGCAAGACGAACCAGGCCATCGAGCGCACCAAGTCCAAGTTCAATAGCAACAACAACAAAAACAAGGGCAGTGAGCGCAACGACAAGCCGCTCAAAAAGGGCGCCGCGACTTACGTGCCCAAGATGACGCCGGATGAGCTAGCCGCCGCTGGTCGCGCGGGCAAGCTGTTTGGCCGCGCCCGCGCAGGCGCTTCTCACGGCACCGCTCTGCCCAGCGGCATCAAGGCGCCGGAACGCATCGTCTTTGAGGGCCGCCGCGCGTCGTCCAGGGACGCTCTGCCCAAGGACCTCAAGAAAAAGGTCAAGACGAAGCGCGCCCGACCAGTAACGAGAAGCGCGCGCCGTGGCGCTGACTGGAAGAAAAAATCAGGCAAATGAAGAAGAGCAATGTGATTTTCTTTGAGTCGGATAACAGACTGTTCACATCTTGTGTTAAGGGTTTTGCTTCTTGGAGATTTGGCGTTGATGGCATATGAAAAGAGAGGTTTCACTGCATATGATATGCATGCATAGAATCATTATTTGAAAAAGTTAAAGCCTTCGATAAACCAATGAGATTCAAAAAAAAGTCGCACAACAGTAACGAGTAGTGGTATTATCATGGATATCAACGTGCTTGCATCTTGAGCGGACAGATTGGCGAAAAATACCAGAGCCTGGAAAAAAAATAAAAATGAAAGTAAAAGAAAAGCAGGGGGCCGGTCTGCAGCGAAAGTTTGGTCTATCAAGCTGGGACTTGCCCAAAATGTGCAAAGACCAGTCTGCCCGTGACAGATGTCATACACCCTCCTTGAAGCTCCGCCACGAATACAGAAGGGGGGCAATAGTTGAGAAACACCTTAGTACTCAGCCTCCGCCTCAACTGCAACGGCCTCGCCGGCGATGGTCTCGTAATCTTGTTCCAGGACAGCGAGATCCTCACGAGCTTCGGTAAATTCGCCCTCCTCCATACCTTCACCGACATACCAATGGACAAACGCACGCTTGCTGTGCATGAGGTCAAACTTGTAGTCCAGTCGCGACCAAGCCTCGGCAATGGCAGTGGTGTTGGAGAGCATAGACACGGAGCGGTCGACCTCGGCAAGGCCACCATCCTCGGCTGCAGCAGGGACGGTCATGGGCTTTTGATAGTTGATGCCGAGCTTGAAACCAGTTGGACACCACTCGACAAGATTGAAGGTGTTCTTGACCTTAACGGCAAGGATAGCAGCGTTGCAGTCGCGGGGAACAACATCGCCACGATAGAGCAGAGCAACAGCCATGTACTTTCCTTTTCTGGGGTCGCAGACAACCATCTGGTTGCTGGGCTCGAAGCCTACAAGTCAGGTCAGCATGGGGCGATTTTTCGGCTGGTTGGCAGGCAGCAACTTACACTGGAATGTGATGTCGGAGACCTTGAAGCTCTCATGGGAGCTCTTGAGAGCTGACACCACGGGGGCGTAGCTGATAAGTGGGTAGTGAATACGGGGGTAGGGAACGAGATTAGTCTGAAACTCGTTGAGGTCGACATTGAGGGAGCCGTCGAAGCGCAGAGAGGAGGTAATGGAGCTGACAACCTGGGCGATCAGGCGATTGAGGTGCTCGTAGGAGGGACGGGGGATACCGAGATTGCGGCGGCAGATATCGTAGACGGCCTCGTTGTCGACGAGGAATGTGCAGTCCGAGTTCTCAATGGTGCTGTGGGTAGAGAGAACGGCGTTGTAGGGCTCGACGACGGCCGAGGCAATGCTGGGAGCAGGGTAAACGGCGAACTCGAGCTTGACCTTTTTGGTAAATTCCGTGGCAAGACGCTCCTGGAGGAGAGCACCGAAACCAGAGCCGGTACCACCACCGAAAGAGTGGAAGACGAGAAACCCTTGCAGACACTGGCAGTTGTCTATGCAGACCAGCCATTTAGTAGCTCAATCAACGATTAATATGGCGGGTTATAAATCAGCTCACCAGCTATGCGGCGGACGCGGTCCATGACAGCGTCAATTTTCTCCTTGCCAATGGTGTAGTGGCCGCGGGCGTAGTTGTTGGCGGCATCTTCGTTGCCGTTGATCAGCAGTTCGGGGTGGAAGAGCTGGTGGTAGGGACCGGTGCGGAGCTCGTCAATGGGCGAAGGGTCGAGGTCGACAAAGAGAGCACGAGGGACATGCTTGCCGTTGCTCGTCTCCGTGAAAAAGGTCTCGAAGGAACCTGGGTCGCCAATGTCCTTTGCGTTGGGGTCGGGCCGGCCATCTGGGCCGAGGCCATGCTCCAGCAAATAGCTGGAGTAGAGTTGTTAGCAGAGAGCTCCTTGAGGGAGTGGCCGTGGTGTAACGTGTTGTAAAGGGCACATACAGTTCCCAGGCGGATTGTCCAAGCTGGACACCAGCTTGGCCCATGTGAAGGTGAACAATCTGGTAATCGCATGTCAGATCAGTAAGACGAAACTCCAGGGTGGCGTCCGGAGCTGTGTATAGCTTCAGGGGGACGGTGAGGCTAGGCAAGGCGGAGAACGAGCCGAAGGACTAGTGCAAAATATATAAGAGGAATTGGGGCTTTTGAGTGTTCTTACCTCGCCCTTGGTCATTTTGGCGGCGGCGTGAGGCAAACAGAACAAACAAGTGTTGGACTGGTGATGTTGGCGGCGGCGGAGGAGTGGCTAATAGGCACCTAGGTAGGTATGGACCGGTTACTGAGGGGAAGGATAAACGGCGGCGCCTGTGGGCTAGTTTTTGGCGGGGTTGAATCAATAATTCACTGGCCCGGGGTTGTCAAGTTTAATGATATTGATACCAAGGTAGGTCCCTGATACCTGCTCGATGGCGGCGTTGCGGGCCTACAGATAGGTGCATTCTACCTCTCACCGCTTCAATGAAGCTCATCGTGGGTTGTTCGTTGAGCCGCGGTGGCCACGGAGGAGACGGCGAATAGGTAGCCAAAGACCAGACACTAGGTCTCAGTCTAGCTATTGTGAGCCGCATCATTGGGCAAAAATGGCGGTCAGTCTTTATTATTAGGTACTCTGGGTCATATTCAGTGTCCTCTGAACCTACCTATTCATTTGCATCAACTTGAGCTGCCCTATTCGATTCATCCAGAGGCACCCTTTTATTGAGCTGCACCCGGACCCCACCGCCACGCTACAATCAGTTGCTAGCCACACCGGCCAACTAGCGTTGCGCCCCTGAAGAGTCAAGTCCCCCCTAAAAAGGTACCTAAATCTTGATAGAGGCATGCAGGCCAATCAGTGCGTCAATTAGCAAACATGAGAAACCAGAGGCAACGCCAATTCTTCACCGTTGCCTCCCATGCATCGAACCTACTGCAGGCTAGGCAAGTCGAAGTTCTTTAGCCATCAAAGATATTTCCATCTTTTGTTTTGGCTTCACATTCCGACCTTGTTTTTTCTTTTTTTTTCGCGAGGTAACGCGTTTGCTCAGAAATTGCGCCCGTTTCAACTCACAGCTAGAATAGTGGAGTGCCGAAGCCGTTTGCTTGAGCCTCCCGCTTCCCGCCGATTATCTTTCACTAGCGCAGCGCCCTTGCATCTTTTGGGAATGGACGCCGGCTGAGCAAGAATGATGTAATGGCTCGGCAAAGCATTATGGCCAATTGATTCGGACAATGGCGCAAAATTGTCCCGGGTCTCGCTCCAATTTATGCTTCGTAGTGACTCATGATAATTAAGCACTTGAAACTATCGCTAAGCAAGCAGCTATTGCCGTGTTGAGACCGGAGCCGCCAACGCCAATTATCATTACTATATTGAAGAACCGTAAACTGCGCTGCTAATTATACAGGATGAATAACATGTGTTGTCTCTTCAATTTCCCTTGCAACTTCTCTTTTCCTCTCACCCTCGATTACATCATCTTCTGACGTCGGCCTCTCGCCCCAGCTCATTCTCGACGCTGACCGCAGACTGCCCTCTGCTCGCGCGGCGTCACTGCCACAGGTGGTGCATCGCGACATTGGTTTTGGTCCGTATTCCTCCCGCATTTCATATTGGACGCCAGAAATTTCCATCGAAGAGCTGTCCTCTTCATCTAGTGGCTTTTTCCTGCAGCACCTTATGCCTACATACACGGCGCCAATAAGCAATATGGCAAAGGCTGCCGCACCGAATCCGATTCCAAGCCGTATGCCTCGTAAAAGCTTCTCGTCGCGCTTGGGGAACTGGTTCACAGCACGCATATAGTTGCCACCAAGCCAGTCTCCGTTCACAGCGTGCGTAAGCCCCCCGGGGATGATGGTGGTAGTGGCATGGTGCGAGCTGATCGATGTTGGCTCGCGAGTAAATGTCGAAAATGTTGACGATGAAATTTGAAGTGCTGCGTGAGTGATGGAGGGAGGGGCAGTTGATAAGGCCAGTTCAACAAGCGCGTCTGCCATGGTACCACGGCTCCACGCTAATCAAGACCAGCAGCCAAGGATTCGCAGCGTGTGCACTGCCCAAGCAGCCATAAGCGGTTCATGTCAACCGAAATGGGTGACGCGCGCGACCGGCAGGGGCGACGATCACTCGAGACTTTTCGGTGGTGCGGATGGGGCACCGTGGACGTCCAATACAGTCGCCGGGATTTGGATTCGTGAATAGCCCTTCTCGGCTATCTTCTCAGCCAGTGATGGCGCTGGCGGACTTGGCCCGGAGCGTGGACTAAAAGATTATGCTCTCGAGATGCGCAAAGGGTCGACAGGGGTCTTGACCAGCCGAATAGATACCCTCATGAAAGAAAAGAGAGGGAAAGATGAAAGACACACCAGGAGCAGAAGAAGAAATATCCTGCCTACGCAAGCCTGGGGGGCTGCGGCCTCGGTGTGAGAGACAGTGCCAAGACTCTTTGTAATGCAAGTCTTGGCCCGTCCCTTGGCAGCAATGGTGGAAACATTACAACGCTGGGATGAGCTCAATTTTTTAAATTTTTTTTTTGGGAAAATAGGACACTCGTCCCCAAACTCTACGCGGAAAGCGCCTTCCGAAAAGGACAGACGATCCAGTGGTGGTGCGGTTGAATTGTCGGCACCCGGCAAGCCGGCAACGGCACAGCAAGTGCTTGGGTCTATGCGTCTATCTAGGGGTCAGTCTGTCTGCAGATTATATTAGCTACTATAGGAAGCCAATATCTGACTTCTGGTATATGCTATTTGGTCTTCAACGCTAGTTACGGCCAAAGTCTGCCCCTGTAAATATCATATAAATAGTGAATATGCGCCCAGTACCCAAATTCAGGCAATTTTTACCCCCTTGGGTGCTCGGAAAACAACGGCCACATAGGGCACACCCTCCAGGTGGGCTGTGTAGCAATATCGCAACAGACGCGTCACGTCTTCGTATACACCCACGAGCATGACCATGTTGTATCACCAGCCCTTTACTGGTTGAATCTTGAAGTCGTTCGGATATCGGACACCCATGGCGGAGGTCTGCCAATCACTACCCAAAACTATCTTGGTTTGAATCGAAGGATTGTCTCCGTAGCATTGTAGCAATTGAGCGCTAATTGGCCAAGGGCCCACTACCCCAGTCGCCAACGCGGTCCATCATTTCGCCGCTCCGTCGTACAAGTTTGGCAAGTCGGTGGGTGGGACCCAATTCCCCCCTCGCTTCTGCGTTTTCTTTCGCGGCCACCACACAAGTCACCTGATACGAGGGGCGAAGGGCACGAAAACCCTACCGACGAAAATTAGTGAGTCGCTACGCAGTCAGCCTTTGCCAACCCAGCGCATCACGGCCATCACATTCGCTCGTCGATACGTACCATCGATTTGCGAATTCACCACACACCAACCGCAACCATGGCTGACGAATACGTATGTTCCCTCAACATTGATCCTACCATTTCGCAATTCGACCTCGCCCTCGCTGTTTGACATCGGTCTGAAACTCGTTCTCCCGCCCGCCTGGACTACTCTCCGCGCTGCCGCTTCGCCTGCACCACACTCGTCGACAAATTCTTGACAAGATACGCCACGTTCGACCCACGATACTTTGTCCAGAAATTGCATCAGCGAATTGTCGAGGCGGGGGGCGGGAAAAACGGGCTCTTTCCATGTCACCAGCGATGATGAGACGATGGAATACGTGACTTGGTTTATGCAGGACGAAGTGCTGACTTTTTTCTCTCCCGGACAGAACGCTGAGGAGGCTGCCGAGATCAAGAAGCGCCGCACCTTCCGCAAGTTCTCCTACAGAGGAATCGACCTCGACAAGTACGTTTTTGACCTTGTTACATCTACCCAGCGCAATGAGCCTCCTGCCACTAGATCTACCAAGATACACCACCAACAAAGTCACGAATCACCCTTCTGCGGAAAGGTCTTTTGAATGGGCGGCTCATTCGCTCTGCACACCGCGCGAAAATGCTAACATAATGCTCCTTCTAGCCTCTTGGACCTCAGCTCCGACCAGCTCCGTGATGTCGTCCACGCCCGCGCCCGCCGCAGGATCAACCGCGGCCTGAAGCGCCGCCCCATGGGCCTCATCAAGAAGTTGCGCAAGGCCAAGCAGGAGGCCAAGCCCAACGAGAAGCCCGACACCGTCAAGACCCACCTCCGCGACATGATTGTCGTCCCCGAGATGATTGGCTCCGTCATTGGTATCTACTCTGGCAAGGAGTTCAACCAGGTCGAGATCAAGCCCGAGATGGTCGGACACTACCTCGCCGAGTTCTCCATCTCATACAAGCCCGTCAAGCACGGTAGACCCGGTATCGGTGCCACCAACTCTTCTCGTTTCATTCCCCTCAAGTAAAGAAAGTTGTGTGGTCTATTGGGTGGTTTCTGCATTCACGGACAGTTATGGGCGAAAAGGATTGATTTCGATGTGATGGAAAACATATCTCCATTGGAGTCGCTGATGACATGAGCGTTCATGATAGTGCAATAGAAACTAGCATTGTTCGCTGTTCACACCTCTTTTCAGAGTCCATGTGATTTGTACATCTATCCACTCGCTGGGCCGGTTTCCCAAAATGATAGGGCAATGTCCGCAAAACTAATAAAAAACAGATAAATTCGGCTGTGCCCCAATGCATGTGCTAGCCCAAACGTCATACACCGTTGGCTAGCTCCAGCTGTCTGGTAGGAGGAGTCGGTCGTCGATTCCATTATGCACCAGCGTTTTGTCAGAGCCGCCGGACGTGCGTGAGCCGCCGGACGTGCGCGAAGAGGGCCTCGCGTTGACTAATTCCGCGGGGTGGTGAGTCCTTCCCAGATTTTGTTCATATCGATTCGGGGTTGCTTTGTGTTGGCGTGTGCAAAGGTCCTTGACGAAAGCCCAGATTCTGCGGTCCAGTCTCTGTCCTCGTTGGCAAAGCGCACAGCCATAAGGTGTATTCGTCTTGCCGTAGCAAATGAATATCTCGTCGCCATGCCTGACTCCCCGGACCAGCGTGACGACTATGCGGTGGGGATAGGCAGAGTCCACCCAGAAACCAGCGTTGGCACACATTTGACAAGCGTGGTTGATGTGTGAAGACAGTCTATAGATATGAGCCTGGTCTCTCTGAGGATCCCAAAAGGCATAGTCGGTGACAAAATCTTCTAGTCTCTTCTTGTCCCTGTCTCGGAAGGTGTCGTTACCTCCATGTGGCACATTGCGAAGCTTGCGAAACCACGTACGCATGTTTTCTCGGTGACTGTGGTTCAATTTTAACCATTCCTCCGCAGCTGTCCTCTTGCCCTTACTCCATTGAATACAGGAGAATGCGGGCTGTTCGCTGATTATCTGGTGGCCTCTAAATAGGTCGCGTCCGGCAAATACTCCAAGTCTGTTGTCTGTGCTAGACTGTTGAACGCGCAGGATGTCGAAATTTTGTTCCGCTGGCTCCCTAATTCCCACGTCTCGACTGGCCCTTGGTCTCGACGGTGATGGAAGGTCGTCATCTACCTGAGTACTTGCATGCACCAATGCTCTTTTACCAGCACTCCATGAGACTGCAAGTCCATACCGTCAGTCAGTACAATGATCAATGACACCGATTGTGTGAGGATGCGTACATTTGCTCTCCGGAAGGCGCGCAGCGGTCCGAAGTCTAAGCTGCCTCTCTTTTTGCAGGTCGATATCTTTGGCATATCTCGTGGTAGACCCGAGCCCACAGGCGTGGGAACATTGATGTGCCCCGGCCATCGTAAAACTGTGCCGCTCGTAGGATCAAAGGACTGATAGAAGTTTGCAACAGGTTGAAATGCCGCCTCAGACGCTGCACGCTGATTGTAGGGTGGGAGAGGGGGCAGCAGCAATGTGAGAAGGGAAGTCCAAAGTGATATCAAAAAAATGCCGTCATCGTAGTTTCAAGGTATGTTTGGTCTAGCAGAATCAAGGGTCGCGAAAAAAGGAGTGCGGAAATGTGTACCCAGCAATACATGGCAGGTGCCAGTGTCTGCATTACGCAAAGGTCTACTCCGAGCCGCAACATGGTACCTCCTTCGTCGGCGGTGGGCTTTGCTGCGAGGTGCATTGTACATTGTAGTCTCCATATGCTGTGCAGACGATGAAGCAGCAACAGTATTGCCGATCCATTAGAAGCTCAAGGTAGTCTTCCGGTAAAAGATTGACGTGACCTGACAACAGGAATGTACACAAATGAGATGCCATCTTTATTGGCTGTGCCTAGTCACGAAATTCCTATGGTATTTCGCCATGAGTTTTGTACAAAGCCTTTCCTCTATCTCCCGATATCGCATTCAGTTTTGCTCGGCTAGCTTCTTGGCTTTTCGCTCCTCATCCTTTAGGTGCTCATTCTTGTAATGCTCCACAACATGATCCAGGTTGACAAGCTGTCCGGCTTGTATGTTTCGAGGGGCGTGAGATTGAAATGCCCTATTGCAGAAGTGCCATATGTTAGCAAATGTACCGTAACCGTATAGTTGCGTCACCTAAATGGTGTCTGGCTCTTGAGAAGGGGGGGGTGCGCGTACTCGGGGTACGAAACGTTGACGTATCTGTGCTTGTTGGAGGCGTTTTCGAATAGATTGCGATCGTAACCGGCCTGCTCGGCGGCCTTTGTGTGAAGAGCATTGATCTCTGCCCAGTCCTCGGCGCGAGACCGGTACTTGTTGATCATGCTGCTGACGACGGATTGCTCGCCCTCGGCGGGCTTCATAGAGAAGACGGCAACGGCGGCAAAAAAGGTGCCAACGGCGGCAATGGATCCTTTCTATACAAGTAGAAATCGCGTTAGCAAGACTTCGGCTCCCGGGCAATCATGGGCCTTGATCCTCCTCCCGCGCAGGAGAGTGCGCTCCTTGGGCTTGAAAATGGGGACTCGGTGTCTCGTACTCCAAAGGATTCGTTGACCGGCGCAGCGGGTTTGTGGTGTGCGTCGGAGGCATACGTGCGCGCCGTGCGCGGCACCTGGCGAGCAGCCTGGCACACCCTTTGTCGTGCAGCGTTCATGGCGTCGGGGAACTCAATCGACGGTGGGGATGACTTCGTCAGGCATATTGACGAAGCCAAGCGATGCAGTCGAGATGCGGCATCATTTGGGCGTGATTACCTAATCCTTGCTAGCCAATCACGCACCCTGTATTTCCAGTTCCGACCCAGCATCTTCGCCCGTCAGTGTGACTCGGCTAGAGGGCCGCCGCGCAACTGAATTTCTTTCAATTTTTTTTTTTTGCTCGATATATATTTTCTATCAAGCCTCAATATTGATTGCATTGTTTCAGTAGTCGCTCCGGCTCCTGCGGCTCAGCGGCGGCGTCTTTTCTCTACACCAGTTGTACACGCTGCCAACTAACCAACAAGTAGCCCTACCTTCACCAAGACCGCTATGAACGAGTACTTTCTATTAATCATGACTGAATCCGTGGAAGAACGACAGGTATCGCCAAATGTCTCAGGAGCTGTTGTGTGCTTTCACGGAGCGCCACGGTGGCGTCTGGCCCCCTCACCGGTGAAGAGCACTCCAGAGCCTTGGAAGTCGCGTTCTATTGCGTTGGCAGAGCTCGCTATCCTTTTTGAGAATCTTGATTTTTCGTCCAATATGTCCCTTCCTGTCACGCAGTTTGAACTTGTTTGTATCGTGTAACCATTTCACAAACCCCAAAAGTCACATCCGAACCTATCGGGCCACTAAATTAACTTGGCAAACTGGGTTACCGCCCCCTTCTAGCCGGAGAGCGGCTGGCTTTCACGTTGTTCAAAGCGCAACATTGCACCTTCGGTTTTTTCTTTTGGCCATGAGAGCGAGATTGCCGATTCAACAGCGCAGCAAATTGTTTCATATGCTTTCTTGTGCTGCCCGTCGTTCCGTAAAGTCTCGTTGTTGTTTGATGACCCTCTTGAAATGTACCATGAGCACGCAAGACGCATCTTTTCGAGTGCCACAACTTCGAAGAGACGATATAATCATTGGTCATGTGTACAGAATCGTTTCGCATTTTTGAAGACTGCCACGCCCAGTACGATGTTGTATCTGCCGAGAGTTGCTGTTACTTCTCTGATAGTGGGACCTCTTTTGGACGGCCAAGTACCATTTCAAGCAGATCGTATCATAGATCGTATCGATGACTCGGCCTTTTCTAGCCATTGGCTGATTTCTACAATTTCGTAATGTATCCAAAGGCGTGGAATCCGTTTCCATTAGTCAAAAGGAGCAGACACGCTTTATGCCAAGCGAAGACAAAGCCATGGCCCTCACTGAGCGCCCGCGGAGCGATGGCGGCGTTGTCATGTTGTGCAAAGCTTTTGTGATAAACTCAATACAGCGTTGGGCCGCCCTCGGGGGGTACGAACCATGACAAAGGTCGTGAATCACTGAGTCCCGAGGGGGCTGCCTGTCTGTGACGGGCTGGGTGTGTATAAATACTCTCGTGCGTACCAATACAGAATGCCACGACACATTTCAGCACATTCTACTCGATTTTCTTTTGCACAGTGACCTGTTTTTGTAACATCACGACTGAAGCCCAAGTTCACCTTGTACATCACGCCTCTGAAAGCAAGACACCACAACACAAATCAGCACACTCTACAAAACCTTTCCTCGTACAGTGAACGGTTATCGGACCAAAATCCTCATCGAACATCGTGAGCACTATGGCTTCATATACCGGAGCATCGCAGCCTGCGTCGGCCTTCCATAAAGTCATTGACGCGGGCAACGAATTTGATGGTGACCTAGACAACATGTGGAAGTTCTTTATCCTCAACAATTCCAAGCCGGTAGGATACATGGCCGAAGAATTTGCGAAACAGATGGACTGGGAAGGAACTTTCTTCAAAGTCTGCGAGAGCACGAGGACGATACATTTGAACCCAGACCTGCTCCCCGGCGAGGATGCGACTGAGGTCTGCAAACAGCAATTTACACGGCTCTGTGAGATAAACAGGTCGCGATTCAACGGCGTTCTTGACACATGGCTCTCAAGAAAACCCTCATTTGAAGCAATCAGATTCCTTGATAGCCCTGGGGCCATGTTGGAGATTCCGACGCCGCTTCGCGGAATCTTTGGCATCGTGACGGCCGGTGTGCATCTCAACGTGTATACGATAATCGGAGGGCAGATCTTCATGTGGGTAGCGAAACGATCGCAGACAGCCTCCTACCCCGGCATGATGGACCAGCCGGTGGCCGGTGGCATGGATCCAGAGGATGGCTACGACGCCTGGGCAGCCCTGGAGCACGAAGCCTGGGAAGAGGCCGGCCTAGTTCTGGACCGGACTTCCCAGAAGTTGATGGAATCATGCCATACATATGTGTATCCTGTCGAGGGCCCATCGCGCATTTCTTTTTATGATAGGAAGAATCGCGATGCAGGTGATGCACATGGCCATATTGAACCCGGTGTGCGGTTCGTGTTTGACGTGGAGTTTGATCCCGACCATGTCTTCGCTCCTAGCACCGATGACGCCGTTGGATACGTTATTCTACAGTCTGTGAATGAAGTCACGGAAGACATGTTCAATAACAAATGGAAGCCAAATTCAGCCCTCGCGGCATTGGACTTTTTGTTGCGCAAGGGCTGCATTGTCGATGACGGGGATGGTACAATAGACGAGCTTCGGGCGCGGCTACAGAGACCGCTACCACTAGCAACCGAGTGAAGATGATTGATAGAGCGCGGTAGGTGTTAGTAAAATATATTACTTGCGAGTAGCAGTACTTGACAAATCACAACCTGTGATATATCCTGTGCGGTGGTATCTCGTGATTGATGGCGTTCCGTCTAAACCTGTGTCCTTAAACAAGGGGGGGGGATAGATTATGAATTGTCTACTTCGATACCTCGCCAATATGCTCCTTCCACCACTGCTGCCAGTGAAGAACTTTTTGTTCTTTGCGGGCTTCCTCAGCAGCAAAGACCATTGCGTGACTGCGGAGCGCCTCATCAAGCGTACAGCCGATGAACTCGTTCTGGGCCCTCTCAGCGGCCCAACCCTTATTCTTGACAGCATCGCAAGCGGCGACAAACTGGGAGGTGAGGCCCTGGTCGCCGCCGCCGTGTCCGCCGGCGACGTACTTGGGATCGTGCACCGTCTTCTCGCCAGTGGCAAAGTTCTCGACGGTAATCGTGTGGCCGTCGGCGTAAACCTCACCCTCATCGCCGTAGTAGTGAGTGAAGCGCTCGCAAATCTTCTTAGTCTGAGCGACCATGTGGAAAGTGACTTGCTTGGCAGGTCTGTTGGTTTCGGGGAAAGAGATGGTGACGAACTGCTCGTCGTTGACATTGTTGTCAGCCTCGAAGACGCATCGACCGTACCACTGGCGTGCTGCAACTTCTTCCTTGGGAGTGGACTCATCCCAATCAGCCTCTAGTGCCCTGATCATGGCAGCCTTCTTCTCATCCATGGTCTTGTAATCTTCGATGTCGTGGACAACGATATTGACGGGCATGCTCAAGTTGCCACCCTCCAAGCTGTATCGGTGGGGGCCAACGTATAGGTACTTGGCAGAGTATTTGCAGCCAGAGTCACCAAGCGGGCATTTCATGCAGTTGGTAGCATCACCCGCAGCGACAGGCTTGCGGCTCTTTTTGAAAAAGTTGAGGCCACCCTGAGATGAAACGGTAGTGGGAAGATGAGGTTCTCCCTCGCCAGCCTTCTCAGGCGAGCAAAGCATCCAAAGAAGGAAGTCGATGTCGTGACAACTCTTTGTCAGAAGCGATGGTCCAGAAGTGTGGGCGTTTCTCCAATTGCCACGGACGAAGGAGTGGGTAAAATGCCACCAGCCAACAGGCTCAGTGTGTACAACACTGCTGATATCGCCAATCACCTTGTCCTCGACAATGAGCTTTCTCAGAAGCATATTGTGCTGAGTATATCGTAGAACATGACCGATGGAGAAGACATTCGTAGCCATAGTGGGCTTGAGTGCCTGGTACATCTTGAGACAGGATTTGAGCGTGGTCGAGAGCGGCTTCTCGCACATGATGTGAAGATTCAGAGGGGCCAATCCCACGATGACAGCTTCGTGCATAGCATCCTGGACGCAGACGAATGCGCCCTCGGCACCGGCAGGAACGTTGTACTCGCCATCAGCGACGCGCTTGCGGCGGGAGAGTTCGTAGTCGAGATACTCGCGCCAGTCAGGGAACGATTGACCCTCGCTGGGCTCGTCGCCTTGCCAGATGAACTTTCTACCGAGATTCTCACGGCTGAATTTGAGCGGCTCAGCAACAGCGCAGACTACACCGTTAGTGAGTGTGTGGATGGCGCTGGCATAGGCATAGCCACGAGCACCGGCACCGATGATAACGAAGCGAGGAGAGCTGTCGGATTTCTTGTTGTCAATGGGCTCCTGGGTCTGCTGATGTCCTTTGGTGCCGATGGTAGCAGTGCCGTTAGCACCGTTGGTGTCCTTGAAGTCGTCCTGAGGAGCCTTGATTATGGATTCCCTGTTCGTGAGCTTGGCGAACACATCCTTGTTAGCCATGATGATTGGTTCATATGCCCCGAACCACTCTGATTTCGGCCTGGGTTGTGCCAGAGTGCGGAGACGGGGGGTCGCGGGGGGTCACATATATAAGCTTGCCTACGGACGCCGAGATGCGTTGCCTGAAAAGTATATTCATTTTCCCCAGCGCGCTGCATCTTCAGCCGTTGTGGCAGCTGTCGAACGGGGTACTTTGTAGGTAATAGTTTGCAGATAAGCCAGCCACGATGTAAGTAGCTTGGGAGCTTATTCTAGACGAACAAGGACAAGCATCAACAGGTTGACGACAATCCCCCCACAAAGAAGCTGGAGTAGATACCGGGCAGCTGCCAGAAGTGGTGAAGCTTGCAGCGAGCCAGGCCAATGAGGGAAGGGCAATTGGGAATAGGAAACGTTGCGTCGCCCACTCAGGGTGCCATCTGGACCACTGTATTTTGAGTGACAAAAGTCATTGCTGGCCTGCCCTCCCAAGACTCCATCTTTCAACCTAGCCCGCCGAAAGTAACAACATCTGTCTAAATATCGAGATTTCGGATATCTCTAGGGGAGTATTCATACTTTTATTCGAAATGTTCATCTCATGTGTGGTGTGATTTGCGCCGAAAAGTCAAAACATTTCCTCATTCGCCGGGGTTGTCTTTCGCCAGTTTTCGTCATAGCCTGGTGCAAGACCCCGCTGTTTGGCTTTCTTTCAAATTTTAGGGCGATGCTGCCAACTGCATGTTCGATTACACCCACTGTAAATGATATCGCTGATCCACTGATTGCCCCCCGTAATCCGGCAAACCTTGCCTGCGCCAGCCTGTCAACCAGCACCGAAATGTCGTCTCACCGCCCGAAGGCATGCCCACTTCACCAATTCTTTCTGCTCCTGCCAACCAGATAACAATAAACACACACACCACTCAGGCTACCAAATTGGACACTGTGATCCCTGCGTTCCATCTTCTTATTGGTGCGGTCCCTCAAGTACCAAGGACTACCACACATCTTTAATATCATCATTGCGTCAGCAGCAGTAAACGCCATCCGGAGGTTTCGATATCTATCACTCACATCCTTATACGCCATGCCTCCCAAGTCGGGTCCTTCCAAGGGTAATCCTCGCGGTGGTGTCACCGATGATCCTTTGGTATGGATCGACTGTGAGGTATGTTCAACTACGTGATTTTTGCAAGGCAGAGTGACTGAACTGTGGCCATGATAGATGACGGGTCTTAATCCGGACGTGGAAGAAATCATTGAAATTTACTGTGTTTTGACAACAGGCAACATGGAGCTCATCGACGAGGAGGGCTTCCATGCCGTTATCCATTGGCCAGAGTCACGAATGAACCAAATGGATGAGTGGTGCACAAAAACACATGCTGGCTCAGGACTGACTGCCGCTGTCTTGGAATCGGACCTGACTCCAGAGGCTGCGGCGGAAGGACTGTATGAATACATTACTAAATTTATTCCCGAACGGAAGAAGGCGCTGTTGGCTGGAAACAGTGTCTATGCAGACCGTGGTTTCCTGCGCAAAGAGCCGTATACAAAGGTTATGAAGCATTTGCATCATCGCATCCTTGATGTGAGTGCGATCAAGGAAGCCGCAAGGCGATGGTGTAGCGAGGACATTCTCGCAAATGTACCCGTCAAAAAGGCCAAGCACAAGGCAAGAGATGACATTTTGGAGAGCATTGAAGAAGCCAAGTACTATCGCAATGCAATCTTCAGGCGAGGAGAGTGACTTGTTCGACATCAACTGTTTTTGCAAGAGAAGTATACGGCGTCAAACTCATTAGATAGTAACATACGCGCCATAACGGCCCAATTGGCGTCAGACAGGCTGAATAGCATGGTGTGGCAGCCAAGTTTCACGATAGGCAGCGCGTAGATTTTCAAAACTACCTACGCCTCTAGCATATCCCTTCAAAGTACCCCAACCGTTCAGCTGCAGCGATGCTCCTGACTTTGCACTGACTGTAGCTTCCACGCGTGCACTGTAGCGGTGTACTGGGAATCCCAGCATCTGTACAGTGCGGATCTTGGGCTACACCGCACGGCACTACTGCCACTCTGCCCCTCCTTCATCCCGCCCAAATGGGTACCCCACCATCGGATGATTGACGAAAGCTAATGATAGCTTGCCACCTCTTTGTTCCCTCTTTTTCTCTTGATCAAGCTCCTTGAATCTGCTTCTATTCGTCTTTTCCTGTGAGTTTGCTTGCTCAACCCCGATTTATTCCGTCAGCCCGCTCACAGAATCAGCTCAGCATCGCGAAGCCATCATGGACGTCAAGACTGTTGAGTTTAAGCCCTTCCAGGACCAGAAGCCTGGCACGTAAGTCCCCTGGCCCAAGCCGTTTGTTAGTTCGAAGTCAACTTCCACGTATTTAACATGTTTACAGCTCTGGTCTTCGTAAAAAGGTCACCACCTTCCAGCAGGCCCACTACAGCGAATCTTTCATTACCAGCATCCTCCTCTCCATTCCCGAAGGTGTCGAGGGTAAGAAGAGCTATCTGCGACCGCGTCATGCCCGATCAGAGCTAACGACTTGCCCTTTTCAGGATCCTTCCTCGTCATCGGTGGCGATGGTCGCTACTGGAACCCTGAGGTCATTCAGCTGATTGCCAAAATTGGTGCCGCGTATGGTGTTAAGAAGCTCCTCATCGGCCAGAACGGTATCCTGTCGACCCCTGCTGCGAGCCATGTCATCCGTCTTCGCAAGGCTACCGGCGGTATTCTGCTGACTGCTAGCCATAATCCCGGCGGTAAGTGCAAGCTTTCAAACCCGTCTCTCAAAGATTGCTAACAATCGGAGCTTTCAGGTCCCAAGGAAGACTTTGGCATCAAGTACAACCTAGCCAACGGTGGCCCCGCCCCCGAGTCCATGACAAACAAGGTCTTTGAGACCTCCAAGACTCTGACCTCGTACAAAATTGCCTCGATCCCCGATGTTGACATTACCACCATGGGTACCAAGACTTATGGTGCTCTCGAGGTTGAGATCATTGATAGTACTGCCGATTACGTCACAATGCTCAAAGACATCTTTGACTTTGACACCATCAAGAAGTTCTTTGCTTCGCATCCCGACTTCAAGGTTCTTTTTGACGGTCTCCACGGCGTGACTGGCCCCTACGGAACTGCTATCTTCGAGAAGGAGCTTGGCCTTACTGGCGCAACCCAAAACTGCGTGCCCAGCCCCGACTTCAACGGCGGCCACCCAGACCCCAACCTGGTATACGCCCACTCCCTCGTCGAAGTGGTCGACAAGCACAACATTCCCTTCGGCGCGGCTTCGGACGGTGACGGTGACCGCAACATGATTTACGGCGCCAACGCCTTTGTCTCTCCCGGCGACTCTCTCGCTATCATCGCCCACCATGCCAAGCTCATCCCCTACTTCCAGAAGAATGGTGTCAACGGCCTTGCCCGCTCCATGCCCACCTCTGGTGCCGTTGACCTCGTCGCCAAGGCGCAGGGCCTCGACTGCTACGAGGTGCCCACTGGTTGGAAGTTCTTTTGCGCCCTCTTCGACGCCAAGAAGCTGTCCATCTGCGGCGAGGAGAGTTTCGGTACGGGCAGTGATCACATTCGCGAAAAGGATGGCCTCTGGGCTGTCGTCGCCTGGCTCAACATCATTGCCGCCCTCGGTGTCAAGAATCCCGAGACCACCCCTTCCATCAAGCAGATTCAGAAGGATTTTTGGACACAATATGGCCGTACCTTCTTTACTCGCTACGACTACGAAAATGTCGACTCTGACGGTGCCGACAAGGTTGTTGGTGAGCTGAAGGCTCTGGTAGCCGACCCCAATATCGTCGGCAGCAAGATTGGAGGTAAGTAATTTCAGAAACCACAAAAGTGAAACTTTGGCTAACTTTACGGCAGACCGCACCGTGACTGCTGCTGGCAACTTTTCCTACACCGACCTCGACGGCTCTGTCTCGTCCAACCAGGGTCTCTACGCCACCTTCTCCTCTGGCAGCCGCATCGTGGTTCGTCTCTCCGGTACAGGCTCCTCTGGCGCCACCATCCGTCTCTACCTAGAGCAGTACAGCAGCGACCCCACCACCTATGACCTGGACGCCCAAGACTTCCTGAAGTCCGAGGTCGAGTTTGCCACCGAGCTCCTCAAGTTCAAGCAGCACGTCGGCCGCGACCAGCCCGATGTTCGCACCTAAATCTCCGCAAGAAATAGCGTTTACATTACGAATTAACGGGAGCATATATGAAGGAAGACATGTGTTTACGAACCAAAGAAGGGAAAATATGCCCGGAAATACATCCATATTGTACGCAAAATCTGAAAAATATTTTCTTCGCATTAGCCCATCGTTCAATATTTAGCGATTATCATGAAGATCTTGCTTTGCCATGGTTTCTCCATAATACGTACAAGGCGACAGAGCCAATCTTTGTCCTGCAAGTAATACTTCTCACGACGACTAATGTCAGCTTCTCACCGCTGCTGATCAGTGTTAGAGGATGGATGCCAAGGCAAGGTGCGGGATCTTGAGCGTCATCACTACGGTAAACGAGGGCGTCGTGAATCTGTGCCTCGCGCCTGGACCGGCTCGTGTATAAAGGACCACGTAAATGAGATCAAAATGTGGCGAGCAGTCATACTTCGTTAAAATTCGTGTGTATCGTATATATAAGGCTGAGAGATGAATGCTGCGCTTAATCGTGGTTTGTGGGTATAACTGATCGTAACATGTTGCTTTCGCTTGAAGAAGAAAAAAATGGATTCCCAAATTCAGTTCAAAATTTTGTAGTGCCCCGAAATTCCCACCGAATATTCCATGCTTTTCAAGATGCAGATTGTATTGTGGCCGCTTACTCACGTTGACTCTGCAGTGCTTTGAAAGACTCGTCGAGCAGATATTTCAATTGCCGATTGTCTGCATACTGTTAGCGCCCAATTCTGGGCAGTGCGGGGTTTGGATGATTTTGTTTGAGCTTACCCTGATCGTACTTGAAATTGATTTCAAAGCGTCGGGCGTCGTGTCTTGCTGTTAGATAGCGGTCGCCAAAGGTGTAAAGAACCGCGTTGTAGATGATGAGCTTGAAGTCACCTATACATTCCAGCTGTGGCTTCGCTTTCCGATCGGTGACTGCGCTGTATCAATACTTTGCGTTGCGTCTTCTTTTAGATACGAAAACAACTAACAGAATATGGTCCAAGCCGGACAGTATGCCTGGAGCCGTTCGCCTCGTGCAACGCACGCATAAAGGCGCTTGGTGGCCGTCAGGTTATCCCGGTAAATGGCCAGCTTGTGTCGGACGCCACCATCAATGATGTCTCTTTTCATTGGTAAAACAAGTCAGTTCTGCACTAGTGTGTGTATCCTCGTTTGTGGCTTCAAGACATACTTTTCCCATATCTTCGAGTCGTCACGAAAAATAGACTCGTCGTAGCTGAGAGCGTCGGGCAAGAGACTAGCGTGGGCTTTCAGGGCGAGTAGAGTGCATTGAGTGACAACAAGCTCTGCAAGACCGCTTTATATTAGCTACACGTTGGCAAAGAAAGTTTGCTAAGAGGTAACCCACCTTCGAAGAACCGGAAATGGAAGACACCCCAGTGAATGAAGCAGTCTTGGCCATAACTCCATCGGCTCAAATGTATCTTGGTCTCGTTGCGCATGATGCGAATCTTGCCGAGCGGTCGGCATTCGTACCATGGAAGGCCACTCTCATATGTGGTCCGTATAACAGCATATGGCAGTTTGTCAACGTCGTTGATAAAGACAATGAGGGCGAGTTGATCGTTATTGAAACTCCTTGGAGGGGTTAGCAGATAACCCAGAATCGGGTGGGTGGCAAAGGAGCGCACCTTCGAAAAATGAGCTTCGACTTTTCTGGAATTCCTAGCAGGTTCCACTGAGTATACGGTCCGAATGAATTGGAGCTATCATGGTAAGCGCAAGCAGATCGTTGCAGGGAAGTAATTGTCGACGCACTTGCAGATCTCAATAAAGGGGCTCATCATCTTGGGTTTGCGGTCCACAGTATCGATAGCCCAGTGGTTAACGAAGGACTTTCTGGAATGTTAAAAAAGAAAATTGAAGCCTTGGTGGCGGAGTACATACTCGTCTTCGTGCTCGGGCGGCTGGCAGCTGATTGAAGGGGACGAAGACAGTCGGAAGATCCTTGGGGATTTCTTGCGAGCATAGGTCAGCAATGGCAGGAGAAGAATTGCAGATGCGACCTACTCATTCCCTGATCTTCTCTGAGATCGAGTATTTTAACACGAAGTCCCTCTGCCTTTATCCAATCGAATTTTGGGTATCTTGAGGGCAAGTATAAAGTAAGCAAGTGTGGCGGTGGGGATAGCTTGTATCATTTCAACAAACATACTGTATCATGGCCGAGAACAGGTTCTCAAAGAAGTCTGTGTACAGCTCGAAGCGATCCCACAGCTCCAACCTGCGCCGGCGGCCAGTAGTCATGTCCATGATGAGACGATCCCAGGCGCCGTCAGCAAAGGAGTACTGAGCGTGGCAGTGGCGCTGGATATCGTCGAGTGTCTTGGAGACGGATGGCAGAGTTATATCAAGATGGTTGAGGCAGGTGTGAATCGCCTCCTTGTGCAGGGGAAAGAGGTCGGCGAAGCCGAGCATTGCCCTGCGCAGGCGGCGCAGCTGGTTGCAGAGATCGTCGAGCTCATCTGAGGCGCTCTTGGAGAGATGATGGCGCAGGCCCGTCAAGAGGTTCACGACGGTGATGCACTTGCCCGACTCCCAAAAGAGGGCCTCAAGCAGGGCCGTGTCGAAACCATGGGCGGAACGTATGCCGGCTGGCATGGTGACGCGAATCTTCATTCGACGTACTCGGGAGCGGCCGCCGGGAGCAACACAGGAATTTTGCGTTTTCTGTCTCTGTGGGAAATTGTGACTTTCAAATTGCCTTTTTTCTTTTTTTTCTTTTTCTTTTTTTTTTCCCTCTTAGATGCACGTCTGCAACCAAGTCTTCCGACACGGCATGACGCCGTAGAGTCTGGTAATGTCGCGCAGCCTGACGCTGTGTAAAGACGGGAGACTATCACGACCAAGCTCGCGAGGGTTTGGCCTGTGGAGCGGCGATAAGCAAGACGTCGGGCGCACTTTGGGCAATTGTGTGTCACCACCAAGACGCAAACAATTAGACGCGCAACTAGAAGCTGGCCTACCCAGATCAGATAACTCCCGAGAAAATGTTATTTTCTGCCGAGGCACAAGGGCCGTCGGAGAGTGTAAGAAAGAAGATGGAAAAGGTATAAACTCAGGGCTGAAACCAGAAAAGTACAAAAGTACTGTTCGAGGCTAGCCTTCAACCAGTAGTAGCGACTGGAGACTGGCGGATGTCAACCGCGGCGCCAAGAACTGTTCTTGTACTCAAAATACCCGTCTTGAAATAAGAAAAGTGGTATTCTCAAAGATAACCAGCGTACCTACCAAATAGCATGAGCAAGAAAAGAAAAGAAGAAAGAAGAAAGAGTCCCAGAGAGTGGGAGTGCGTGATCTCCTCCTCATATGTCAAGTCAGAATTGTCCCACGCACCTGGGGTCCAGCGTTAACAGACTCGTATGCAAGGCCAACAAACAAGGGAACCACACCGCCCACTCTGGCGCTGGTCAAGGTGCAGAACGATTCGACTAATTATCCGGGAGGGGAGGGTAACTAGGGAAGCGGCCCGCGGGAGGGGGGCCAGGAGGTGTGTGGGCGGCGTATGTGTGATGTGTTGGACAGTGGCGGCGGAACAAGATGGCCCAACCAAGATTTGGAAAAAAAATGACGGTCAACTGAGAAGTTGCGTGTTCTCAGACAATGGGCTGGAGGTTTTTCTGCCTTCTTTTACTCTTTTAGGTGCTCGAAATGGCCACCCAATGCATGGTGAACCAGCCAATGTTGGGCTGGCCAAGCTATCGTAGAATGGTAGGGACCAGAGGAGGAGACAGGGCTGAGAGCAACCGTCTTAAAATGTCACGAGAATGAATACTATTCACAATTGTCAGTAAGAGGGCTCAAGGGCCTATTATCGTACAGAGCTGTATCGAAAGACCCTTTTTTCATACCTTGGTAATTATCGCGACACATTCCTTCAGCCTGCTCCCCGCTCCTTCCCCCCAGCAGCGGCTGTTGGTGGCTGCAAACGAGCCCAACTACTTCATCCTCGACCAAGCTTCACCCAGCCGCCTGACTTTCTGCTAACTAAGGTAATCATCTCCTTTTTCTGATAAGCTGGGCCCGACTGAATGTCGGTTCAAAAATGAGCCCACTACACATGCAGTCTCTTGTCATGCGTTGCTGATCATATTGTCCTTCTCGCCAGCAATTCGCAGGACCATCAGCTGCATTAGCTTGCCCTTTTGTGGCGGCGGGATGGCAGAAACGCCGCTTCCTGGCAAAAAATGAGCCGGTTCTCACACAAATCGAGGAAGTAAAATGCAGGCGCGGAAGCGGAATGTGGGCAGCAGAGTAGTTGTTTTCTTAGTTATTAAATACTTCGCAGCACTCTATTGGGGCAGCCCTTTTTTTTTTTTTTTTTGGTCAACAATGTCGCTTTCTGATTGGTGTTACTCGTCTACGATGCTGCCAGATTGGTCGATTGTGGGCAGCAGAAAAGGCGTCCACGTCTCCAGAATAAAGGCATCCAGGCAGGAGGCAGGCACTTGACTCTCAACGTCGATCAAGCAACTGCTTGTCATCTTCATGCGACATAATAAGCTAATAGGCACCATGCACGCACGTACGCACGGTTCGTCTACTCTATTACAACATTACATACATTGGCAGTTCAGCCGCGTTGGATGCTTTGCATAATCATCTCAGCCACACATTGTTGCTTTGCACCGCCTCAAAGCCTCGCGTGGTCATGAACACGAGGCTGACAGCATCTTCCCTCCATCTGTGGCGTTCAAACGACAAATAAAAAAAGAACAACAACAGAGTCTCCAGGAAAGAATAAGACAAACGCCAATATGAGAAAAGTACCATCTCTGATGAACGCGCGAGACAGCCAATACATTGCATATGCGAGAAAGAAACATGTGCTTGGCTGCCCATGACCACGTCGTGAGACCTTGGCGCTTGCGTCGCTCTTAAGATGGGCCATTCCGCGGGCCTGTCGCCACACACACCGTACCAGACGGTCGGGACGATGCGAAACGCGTTGAAACTAGATGGAGAAACCAAGCCAAACGACCCATCATCGCTGCCACTCACTTAGGCGCCCACGTTGGCTTACAGGAGGGGCCAACGGGCCGCAGCCGGCCAACCACTCCCCTTTCCCCGCAGCTCGTCCATTTGCAGTTCCGCATGCCCCTTGCATTGTTGCCGGCGTGCCGCTCGCTTTCCGCCACTCGTCGAGTATATAGCTTGCCAGAAGGGTAATAAGCCAATGGGGAAGATGGAGGGTGCGGTGGTGGCCGCGCGGATGAGAGCCCGTGAGGTGGCGTGGCTGCATGCTCCTCATAACACTGGTCCATCAGATAAGCTTTGCCGCCATAGTGTTGTTAGCATTGTAAGGTAGCTCTGGACGATCCGGTTTGCACGGGGAGCACCAACTTGCTAGCTAACTAGGCAGTACACGCAATTGCAAACAGGAAGCCGTAGATAGCTTCACCCCAGTTAAGAGTAACATGGCGTGGCCACGCTTCAGCACATCACTTCTTTCTCAAAGAGGAACAAGCAAGAATAAATGTTGATACAAGTTTATTCATAGTCTCATTGCGATATTATAGTGAGTGGTCCGCCGACAGACCTTCTGTCACGACATAAAAGCTAAGAGACCCTGTCCGTGTGGTTCCGGTACCTGATAATAAAAAGCAACCAAAAAATACAATCCATCCCGTTGCGGTCATACAACACCTCCCTTCCCATGTACAAAGGAAATTAATAACAAGAAACCGACGTGGCTAGAGATTACAAGAAGCGTATGAATTTAAGACGAGTTGTAGGCAGCCTTTTCGTCTTCGTAGCGCTTCTTGTCGGCGGCAGCCTTGGCCTCATAGGGGGTGCGCTGCTTGTCCGAGAGGGCCTTCCAGCGCTCACCGAGAATCTTGCCAACCTGTCCAAACGACACGCCGGGGTTCTCCTCACGAACATTCTCACGCTGCTCATTGGCAAAGAACATGTAGGCAGAGAGACCACGCTTGGGAGCGTTGGGGTCTGGGGCAGTTAGCATTCATCAAGCTCGGATGGTGACAATGGTTAGCTTACCCTTCTTGGCGCGCTTCTTCTCGACGCGGGCTCCACGCTTGGGGGCAGCTGCGGCCTTGGGCATATTTGCGGTCTAGATAAACTGTCAGAATGCTGAAGACATCCAAAAGAAATGCGCTGAGTGGTGGGGCGAATGTGAGGTGCACTGGACAAGGGTAAAGGTGAAGGCGGAGTCACGCGTCGGTAGGGCAATTGCCAGCCTCCGCGTTCTTAATGCAAGGCATGCGCCAGCAGTAAGGAAGCGGTCAAGATGAGGAATTGAGGGATGTGAAGTGAGGCGATGAGGCATTGACGAGTGCGCGCGCAATGAGACATATGATGCCATTGCATTGATGGGTGTGATGCCAAGGTAACAATTGAAAGGTGAAGGGCCCGAGGCAGAGTGCATTGAGTGAGGAGACGTACATTTGAGGGGTTTTTGAAAGGGCAAGTCGAATTGTGAATAGACGTGAAAATTGCACTGCGAGAATCGCGTGTTAGTGATGAATACGTTGGCGCAGACGCTAAGCGGCGCGGTATGTGAGTCGCAGGTGTAAGTTGAGGCAGCAAAGGCAAGGACCGAGATGATGAAGCGCAAACGACCATGACAAGTAGCAGCAAGTCATCTGTATCTTGATGAAAAACAAGACGACGATGCCACAAAAATCGCAGGGTGCGGCAAAAAATCACGGTGCAGTCGCGAAACAAATGATGCCGTGGCTGGAGACGTTGCGGATGGGCGCGGGCAAAGCACAGTAGAGGGGACTCACCAAAATGCGTGCAGTGTTGTGTGCGTTGCGAAGTTACGCGGGGAGCAGATTTGTATGGGAGATTTGTATGGGAGAAAGAGAGGAAGTGGGAGAGAGGGCGGGCAGCCTTTTTACTATGGGGGAGTGATTTGAGCGTGCGTGAGCAACAACGCGGGCGCGGGCCAGGGCGAGCAAGGGAAAGCAGCCTGGGCTGGGCTGGCCGGCTGGGCTGGGGGGGGTCTCTCTTCTCTTGTCTCCAACAAAGTCTCCAAGTCCCCTTCAAAGGGGGGGCAGCGCTGCCACGCTGCAATCTGGGCTGGCACACCCAGAATTTGACCCCTCCCTTTCTCTCACCCAAGTGGTCCAGCAATGGAGCTACTGCCGCAGAGTGCAAGACTTGCCACACTTGGGAGGTATTGCTTGCTTGTACTGGTACCAGAGCAATGTACCTGCACTTGTGCTGCATTGCCAGGCCCAGCACCACCCGCGCCGCGCACGCTACTACCTACCTTTTGCCTACCTGCTGATAGACATAATACACACACACACTCGCGCGCGCACCACACGGGTAGAAACACACAAACACACGCCTTTTGCTTGCAGTGTTGCACGCCCCCTCTAAGCTTGTTCATTTCATTTAATTGCATTTTTATCCCATTTCATTTGCATACGTTTGCGATTAGAGACCATGTGTCTGACAGGCAGTGACAGCAAGGTGCTGCTGCAAAGACGCTAGTACTAATTAGCCCTTGTTGCTCCCTCGAACTGTGGCTTCCGCCAGCTGCCAGCTCTTAGCTAGCTCTTGCAGTTGACAGCTGCCTGCAAACAAACGCACCCTCGTTCGTTTGTCTCCATCACTCGCTGCCAGCTGCCAACTTACAAAGTACCTGCCAGCTGCTCCCTCGCTAAATACGACTCGGTTCCGTTTGTTTCAGCCTATCGGTTTCTCTTCTTTTTTTTTTCCTTTCCGAAAGGGAAAAATTAATGAGCAGATTTAATCATAGCACAGTATCTCGAAATATAATACTGTATATTTGACCCGATCAATCTCCATCGCCACGACATTGGCATCGTCTCCCACACATCACCTCAAACATCTCTGCACCACATGCCCAGCAACCAAGCACGCCAACGCCTTCTGCGACAAGGCACGAGTAACAAGCCCGGCAATCCCGGGTACATGCTCCTCACCTAAAATGCCGCAGCCCACTAGGTACCGTTTTTGGCTGCAAAACCACGCGAACCACAACGCGCTTGGACAGTCACGTCCCCTCATTCTTCTGGCACTGTGCAAGCAGATACTTACTCGACTCCCCATCTCCACCGGAAAGCGCGGTACACGCTACCCCTTGACCTGCGGATTCTGCACAGTGTACTCGCGCCCCGCCCTCGTTTTCGCCAGCCACTGGTCAAGCACCCTGCTTTGCCTGCGTACCACACAGTGGACCGGAATGCCGCTTGCCTTTCTGCTCGGCCTACCGTCGTTCCCGCGCCAGAGGGCGAGTTCGCTCTAGGTGCCTCTCACTGTGCCCCCGTCACTACGCAGAACACGCCTTTCTACGCATTGCACTGACAAAAACTGACCGGCTGGCTTGATTTGCATTAATCAATAACGACCTTGTTCTTTCACCTTCTTCACATGTCCTCATTAATCCAACAGTACGATCCTTCGACACCGATGCCCCGCGCCACTACTTGCCCTCTGTCTGATTCTTTTCGTTGCGCGACCCCCAGCAAACATTCGCGAATCGATATAAATGTTTTGCATACGACACCCGTGCCACACATTCCCGCTCTAACGGCACAGCACCGACAATATGGTGCTGCCTCATGCAGCTGGCCGCACGCTACCAATGTAGACTCCGATGGCGAAGCCACAGCCGCATGGACATCTGCCCCACCACAGCTCCCTCGACTTGCAAGTCTCATGTCGCGTTGAACAACGGATCTGATGCCAACCTGGCGCCACAACCGACATTCCTCGAATGAAAAGTTATGCTGCGATGCTGACTATTGTCAAAGCTGTTTCGATGATCAGTGGCTGCCAACGTACGTCAGTCCGATTCATTGCTTGCCAGCCAGTGCTGCCGATATAAATGTCAAAATCCCGACTTACACAACCCAAAGTCTGCATTTCCAAAATGGACATTTTCCGATGCCGACATAGGCAAAGACAGGGCCCATCAATAATATCCAGTAATTACGGTACATTTTTGTGACAGCAGCCACCTTGCTAGCGAGCTCCGAGGCATTATTTACAGATATGACAGACTTGAGTGAGGTAAGCCTGGGCACACTGGTCAACTATCGACAGAAGCAAGGCTATGTATGTAGCAGCTTCAGATTGTCTGGTACCTTGGCTTTTGACATGAGCCTATGAAGTAAAAACCATTATCGCTTCATTTCCATCAAGATACTGGAAATGCAGTCAAGGTGACCTGGCATGACTGTAGGTTGCGTGGCAAAGGACAAGCACTCAAAAAACCCTACTGTCCTACTTACAACCTAGCCCATCTACAGATGTCATCGCAGCACAAGCAGGCGCTTGTCGATCTAAGGTCATCATTTCCCATTCTGCGCAACTACAGCCAAGAATTGCCCTACAGAAGAGGGTATGGTTGAAATAGGCCAGGTCTATCAGCATTCCGCGTACGCATCTGGTGCCACTATGAGTAGGTAACGAGGTCGCCAAAGCTTCAGCCACAATCAAGCGAGCGGCCAAGCAAACAAGTTGTCAAGCTGTCAACGAACTGGGCCTGAGGAGGAAAGAGAAAGATTGCAGGCACAGAGCGGCGCCCAAGGTGCTGGGCGCCAGCAGACTATCCCTCAAATGCGCGGCCCTCCGCCTTAGTGCCCGGGTTGCAGGCAAAAAGCAAGCTAATAAGCACAGGCGGAGCGGGGTACTTGCCCACTCGCATTCCCCAAAGTATCGTCATATGAAATTTCAAAGTACTGGTACTTCTGTCCCGGTACCTTGCCTCTTCCGTCTCCCTATTACGCCACTCCCCCCTTCTAATTTTTTTTCGCGCCCAAGTTTGCGCCAGACACAGCGCCGGGCCACCAAAATGGAGCTGGCTGCTACCAGATCACTCGCTTTCCAGCCAGCCCTTTTTAAAGTCAGCGCCGCCCTTCTCTAATTGTCTGGTAAATTCACGTTTTCGGCGATGATGGGCGTGCGCGTGGCGCGGGATACCAGCCATTGCCTGCGTGAACATATCTTTTTCGCACGCAAACTAATACAGTTCTGCGACACAGCAGTTCCCTTCCGACCATGGTAGTAGATTCATGCCAATGGCGCTGATGTAGCTGCGTACATGTCCAGCCACCTGCATGCTGCACGGCTTTTTGGACATCAAACTATGTAGAGAGCGCTCTGGCTCTGCGTCGGCACCTGGTTGTACTGTCAGCAGCGGAAGCACAAGCTCCAACAAGGAGGTGCCGTACGAATGAAGCTTGGCTTGCACCATACAGGTGCTACTGTGTACACCCAATACCCAATGGTCTCGACGGTTCTGTTCTTGGCCTTATTCACTATGCTATTCGAACTCTGCCTGCATGAAGCCCCAAGCTATGACACGTCCACCAAACGCTACACACATCTGGGCGCCGAAAGGGAGCCCTTGTTACCAAGTACCGTTATACATGGGCACGACGTCCTCCTGCACCCGCAGCACTCTTTGTGAAAATCTGCTGGTCCTGTTGCCCTTTCTCATCATTACCAGGCAAAGAGCGCTTGCATCAGTGTAAGGGTTGGGAGCCGCCTCTGTTTAGCAGGGGGGGTCCGGCGAGATGAGTCCCCATTCAACATGGGGAAGATTCCAGGGTCTGGTTCATATTTATTCTCGCGTTCTGCTCTTTGTTTTAATTGGTCAGCTGGGATCTTTTCCTCTGATATGCCCCGAGTCTCCGTCGCAAAAGAAGAAAAAAGCCATTGTTGCGTGGACATGCTCTTGCTGCTTGTCTGCCACGCGCAACGCGTCGTCGTACCAAATCACAACATGGCTCAAAGAGCTCTGTGTGCTCCACTCGCTTACTCGGTCAAAGCCTTGGGTCAAGGTGCTGTTGCTCCTTCTTCTTTTGCGAGGCGAGCCATTGGCTCGCCTCTCTTTCCCTCCCCCCTTGGCTGCTCTTGTTATCTTGAGAAGCTCTCAAGCTTGTTGCTATTTAGCTCACTGTATCCACTTTGGTGTACGGCGAGGCTGTCATCTGCCAAAGTAACTACAAGTATAACAAGTACTATCTGTATTCATCGGTTTGGTTTTTGTAGATGATGCGACAGCCAGGGAATCGGCATTTCCCTCGGTCAAGGACCTGCCGAACCCGGATTGCAGTCATTTTTTTTCTCCGTATTTCCTGTCGGGCCCATCCCGCCGCGATCGTCTGCGGACAATCTGCGCGTCGCCTGGTCAATAAGGGCTGCCGTAGGAGCGCGTAAATGATGGGCAGTGATTTCCTTCTCGGGCATATGGCTGTTGTCACAAGCCAGTATTCGATTTTGCTCGTAACATTGCCTCGATAGCTTCCCCTTTGCGCGTCTGGCTGCCGTCAAGTCCGCATCATCTCGAAGCCTTCGAGGACGTCTCGCAGGTGGGGCTGTCGAGATCGCGAGCATGTCTACCCGGGAACCGATCTTGGCGATTTGAACGGCGTGGATTGATCGCTGCTGGTTAACCTGAGACCGTTGAGAATACTTGGTGGTGCTAAGCGCCATTTTCTCTTATGTTCCCCCATGTCCTGTTTATCTCGCTTCCTGCCGTTGTGGTGGTGTGCTCGTCGCACGTTTTGCCGTCATTGGCAGACAGTTGCAATTAACTGATATCCTCAAAGAATGGTCAAGCCTGATTACCACGAGAACGAAAAGAAATAAGGGCAACACGAAGCAATTTCAACGCAAAAATTGTAAACACGGTCGCTATTCACACAAGTCTATAAACAGCTAATCATCATCTTCCGGATCGAGCACCATGTCGCGTAGCGCCTCATCCGACGCCCAATCCACCCCGCTGCCGGCCACGATGCCGCTCGCGGCACCCTTGACCGTGCGCCACTTGCGCTTCTCGTCGCGCACCCGGAGCGCCTCCTCGCCGCCATCCCAGTCGACGGCCTTGCGCTCCTTGAGCTGCGCCGCAAGCTCAAACAGCTTGCTTGTCAGGTTAACGTTGCGCCGGCACGCGCGCAGCGTTTCCGCCTGCACATCGGTGAGGGAGTCGCGTGTGTCCTGCGCCTGCGCGGCGCCTTGAGCTACCTGGACGGAGGCGTCGTCGCGCTTGATAATGTAGGGAAGCAAGTCGCTGGGAGTGCCGAGTCAGAAGGGGAAAGACGAGGGGGAGGGGGGGAGGTAGGAAGAGGGGAAGGTGGTACCGGTCGATGAGAGAGGCATTTGTGCCGCCGTGAACGGCGTTGAGGACGGGGCTTGCCATCATGATGAGCTCGACGGCATCGTTTCGGAGCTTGTACCGGGACCGAGCCTGCAGAAGGGCCTCTTGTGCGGCAGCCAGCGCTTCCGGTGAGTCGTCTGTCGGGGCTGTCGTCTCATTAGCACTCGGTGAAATCTCAAGGCAACACATTGATAGAGGTGCCAGTGAGCGAAAGCGCCGTAGCATACTTGATTGATGTGACTTCTGAGCTTTGATTATGGCAATCTCGAGATCAATCTGCTGCAGCTTGTCGTATAGTTCGAGGACTTGCCTCTCATCTTCAGACAAGGGCAATTGCGGCTCACGCGTGGCCTCGGCGTCTTCCATAGGCTCATCGTCGTCCATGGTGGCGGGACGTGTAGCACATCAAACCGAGAACATTGGGTCGAATAAAGACCGAAATTCATACATGTCCGGCGATGAGATTTCTGGTTGTAGCTCGATGCGTCTTATCTAGCATGAGTGAGTCCGTTGATGTGAGCCTTGATGAGACGCGCTTCGTGATTCACCGCCACGCCACAACTTGCTTGAGCTTGGGCTTCAGCCACAGTGGCTTGCCATGATACAGGTTCGCCTCTGGTGGAGTTTCGTTCGGTCAGCAGCGGCAAGTCACAAGGCTCCTGTCACGCTGTAGCAGCGTCTTCACTCTTCACTCACGGACCCGCTAAAATATCCCCAAAAAGCACGATAGCACAGAGCGAGAGGACCCCCAAAAAAGGACCACCTCCACAGGACCAACTCGTGAAGAGCTGCCTGACCTGGGCTAGCGTCACTGACTTGCAGGCACCAATTATCTACCTGCAGGCTACCGCCTTTGTCTCTCATCAATCTCGGATCGTTGCCCTAGTTCTTCTTTTTCTACCTGTGTCCTGCATCTTCACTACTATTCCGATCTTGCATCATAATACATTTGCATAGCGACCGCCCTTCCCGATTCCGACCAGATATCGCGGCCTCGGACCGTTTGCATGCTTGTCACGGCTTCCTCATGGCGAATGTCTCGATATGGCCACACAGGTGTTGATAGCCCACACTGGGCAGCGCCTGGAGGTAGATACCTCGCGCTTCTCAACGTAGGTAGCTGCTGGATGCCAAGAATGGCCTGGGAGACGAGGGTACCGTTTGCTAAACCACCTCTAGGCTGGACGACTTGAAGGCATGGGTTGCCCGCAATAGCTCTGTCTCTTTGCAGCACATGGTCGCACTGACGCCCCAGGGCCGAAGCGTCAAGTTTGCGAGCATGCATGCCGAGGTACGCAGACCCATCCTATCGTAGAAAAATGCCCCAACAGCTGCTGACGTCGCCGGTCTCCGACTATACAGAAAGAGCTCTACGTCTACGACATTCGAGTCAGTCAACCGGCCGCGGCTGGATCCTCACCCGCCCTCAGCACCGAAGCGCCACTGCCGCGACCATATGTGATCCCGAACGCCCCTAACTCGATAGCTGACGCCGAGGATATCGAATCGTGGCGGGAGCTGTACAAGGGGCGCCGCTCCTGGGCCATTCGTCTCGCCGAGGACAACGGTCGGCTTGACGCCGCGGCCCGCGCGCGTTACGACGAGATCGACGTCATGATAAAGTGTCTCGACGCTGCACTGGCCAATCTCGAAATCAGTGTCAAGCAGCTTGAGCCGAAGCACACCGAGCTCAAGAAATGGGTCGAGCCAGCACTGCTGGAGCATGACCGCCTGGCAGGCTCCTGGGAGCACTACCTCAACCTCGCCCGCAATACGCCGATATCGCCCGACATGGTCCAATTCATGACCAATAGAACCTCTGTCAAGGATGATCCGACGCTGGAAGACCTCATTGAGCTGGAGACGGCGAGAAAGGCTGGCAAGCTAGCGCCAACTGCGCGGCGCCGGTTTAGCGACAAGGCCGCGGAGCTGGAAAAGGCGGCCAAGCAAATGCATGAAGGCCTGGCATCGCTCATTTCCGATTTCGAGACGCTCACCGGCCGATCTGCCCCCACTCATAATAACGACACGGCGCAACTGCTCGAGGACATCGAGGTTGTGGTGAAGCAAATAGACGACGATTACCGCTCCTCTTTAGCTTATGGATCCTCGCAGCGGGATCTGGCACAGGCGTCCAAAGTCGCATCCAATCATACCGAGAGATTGATCCCGAACCTCAAGAAGCGGACCAAAGAGATGGATGAAATGCTCTTTTACGCCACTTCAGCCAGAAATTCTATCGCGGCCGAGTCTGTCAATTTCATGAAGATTATAACCGAGATCACTGCCCAGCACAGCGGTGTACGCAATCAAATCAATGTCTTGAATACCTCAGAAGATGACATGACAACATTTGACTACTTGCGACTAATCCATCAGCTGCCGTACATGTACGCGTCCTTTGTTATCGAGACTATTCGTCGTCGAGAGTGGGCGGACAAGGTCAAGCTGGATTCGTCTACGCTCGCCAATGAGATGGCACTGTTTCAAGATGAAGAAGCCAAGAGGCGGCGGAGATGGCAGAAAATGGTTGGCAGCACCTATGGGCCTGGTCTAGACACCAATGTCATGGGACTCGAGGTCAACTTGCATGGAGATGACGAAGCCTGGCCACTACTGACCAAAAATGACCTTGACGATTTCATTCAGCACCTCAAAGCACAGCATACTGATGAGACACTGCTGGATGATATTGACAAGCTGGTGCAAGAGCTTGCAAGTCCGACTAAACAGCAGTCGAAGCGTCTCAAGGCTTTCAAGAATGGCAGCATTCACGAGGCAGCTCTGGGAAGAAGTGGTCTTTTGATCCGCGGAGATGATGATCTACTACGCTCGCTCCAAGATGACAAGTCAAAACTCGAGAGCAAACTCAAGACTGCAGAAAGTCGGGTGCGACGCCTCGAGGATTTGCTGCACAGACAGAGCCAGGCCTCCCGGCACGGAAACTTATTCCAACCTCCGGTCACGCAGCCACAGGAGCGCCCGGGCTCCAGCGCGTCGATCAGATCAAATCGTATCGAAGACCGTAGACGGTCTTCTGATGGCGCTGATCCTCTCCTGCAACGTATTGCGCAGCTCGAAAACGACCTGCGCGAGGAGAAACAGCGCTCAACCAATCTCCAAAAAGATAATGATGCCAAGTCCACTCAGTACGACGAAATGGAAAGCCAGATGGAGGAGGCAAACTCTATTAAGAAAGACCTGATGGAAAACATGGAAGCACTCAAGCGCGAGTTTGTGGACGAACGCAAATCCTTGGAAGACGAGATCAAAGGGCTCAGAGCTCGATTAGAGGAAACAGAAGACGACATGGAGCATTTTGGAGAGTCCCGTGAGAACGAGAAGGCTTCGTACGACGAAAAGATGCAGGCGCTCGAGGACGAGCTTCAGCGTTTGAAGAATGAACACAACGACGAGAACTTGAAGTCGCAAGGCCAGGTCGAATATCTGCGCAAAGAAACTCAATTGCAGCGCGAGAAGATGGACGCCTCAGACCGACTTGTGCAGACTACTAAGGCTGAGCTCCAAAGCGTCACTCGCAAGTTACAGGAAGCAGAAGAGACGGCTGAAAAGCAAACCGACCTTTTGAAGAGGCTTCACCAAGATACAGCTCCTGGCAGCAAAATACCTGACAACGCAATTGATCTGACGGAAGCTGTTGTCAGCAAGGCTGCGGATTTGCTCAGCAAAGTGCAAGATGCTGAAAGAGAGGCCTCTGTGCTCAAGACGAACCTGGAGCAAGCGACAAATAGCATCAAAGAAATCCGCGCCGAGCTTGTCGAAACTCGACTGAAACTTGCTCAAGAAGAAATGGCCACCATGCATCTTCGCGAGAATCTGGCTGAAGAGAAAGCTAAGGTTACCGCTCTGGAAGGCGAGCTCAACGAGGGCAGGGAACAGCTCAGCACGCTGCGCGGTCAGCTTTCAGACGGCGAGACGGGCTCGGAGACGCTGCAGAAGAAGCTGGAAGCTACTGAACGCAAAGTCTCCGAATTGACTGAAGATCTTGCCTCTCGACAGTCGCGCGTGGGCAGCCTCGAAGAAGAGGTGAACATGTTCAAAACCAAAATGGAGACTGTGCAAGAAAAGCTGTCATTGTCAACGAGTCATTACGAAGCCCGAGACGAGAGAACAAAGGAACTGACTCAGAAAGTGTACTCTCAGAATGACCGTTTGACACGCCTCCTGGAGCGCATTGGCTATTCTGTTGCCCGTGAGGGCCTTGAGATGACTGTGACCAAGGTTCCCCGTGCCGAGAGACAGGGGCAGAGCGCACACGATTTGTCCGATCCCTCTTCATCTGTCAAGCGATCAACAAGCCTCAGCAAGCCCATATCTAACAGCACCGATCTTGAGCTTTTATACTGGATGGATAGTAGCAATGCTGCGGCCGAAGAAGACAGGTATTCTTCATTCATGCAGTCGCTCGGATCATTCAATATGGAATTGTTTGCCGATACAATCTACCACAGAATCAAAGAAGCCGAGCACAAAGCTCGCAAGTGGCAGCGCGAAGCCAAGACATACCGCGACAGGGCTCATGTTCATCAGAGGGATGCTGGGGACAAAATTGCCTATAGGCACTTCAAGGAAGGCGACCTTGCGCTATTCCTGCCGACGCGTAACCAGCAGGCGGGAGCCTGGGCTGCCTTCAATGTGGGCTTTCCTCATTATTTTCTGCGCGAGCAGGATTCACATAAGCTTCGACACCGAGAGTGGCTGGTGGCCCGTATCACCCGCATACAGGAAAGAGTTGTAGACCTGTCCAAGAGTATGACTGGGAGTAGAATGGGGAATGTCATTAATGAGGAGAATGACAATCCTTTCCAGCTCTCTGATGGACTACGTTGGTACCTCATTGATGCTCAAGAGGACAAGCCTGGTGCGCCCACGACGCCGGGCATGGGAAAATCCACAGTCGCCGCGAATAACGTGGAAGCGACTGCCAACATCCAGTCTCAACCGGCCCGCGCCAAGGGCAAGAATCGCGACAGCATCAGCAGCATCGAGGGCATCAACAAGACGTTGTCAAAGAGCCTCGAGAGCCGCCGTAGCAGCTCCAACTCTAAGAAGGTGCCCTTTTCGATTGCCGGCGGAACGGCGCTTCTTAAGAGCAGTGCGCTGGCCAGCGAGACGGACTCTCTGCGTGCAACGGCGCCAGAGACTCCGGCAGGCACCAGCCCGTCCCAGCCGTCGCCGCTGGGTGCGCTGGCGGCCAAGCAGCAGGCCGACGAAGGAGCAGCCGCTGTGGGCGAGGGCCCATCAAGCGCCAACAATGCAGCCGAGGTACGCAATGTTGATACCCTTCTGGGTCCCTAAGCTGCTAGCTGCTGATTTGAGTCTCTTGTGTTGTGCAAATTGTATAGATTCGAAGCAGTGTACAGCGAGAAGAATCTACTGAGAGCACCGACAAGAGGTCCATGGTGTGGGATTCGCTATGGAGTGTCGACTACAGCTACGAGAGCCCGAAGAAGTAGTGGCGTTTTTTTCTTATTTTCGATATCCCTGGGTTGTAGTTTTTCTAGGTTGGTCTTTGTTTCATCTCGCGTTTTTGTTGTACAGCGTCATGGGAATGGAGTTGATTACTGTTGGGTGAGCGAAATCCAGCACAGCGTTTGAATAGTTAGTGGCTGGGAGGACTAGCTGGTCCTCGAAACACTAGACTGTATGAATATCGAGACATGACATGTAATTAAAAAGATCATCTTGGACAAATCCTTGTTCATGTCGTTGACGGTTGGCAGGTTTTATACCTACAGAAACATCAAGCATGGATCATCAGAAAACTTGCCCATAGTTTTAGAGCCATGGTGCCTGTCGTGCTGGAAAATTCGGTCCCGTTTATATCAACGACGTATTCAATGACCGCTACGATGTCTTGCAACAAGCTCGGAAACGGCGTCTATTCCACATTTTGGTAGGTGCGGGACACCAGCCATGAGTGAGTTGAGTGAGACTCCGAGTCGGATGTGACGGCAACGATCGGCGCTGTGGCTGACCTCTTGCAGCCATGCGGGGAGGAATGCATCTGGCACACACCGGCTTGGTTCTAGAAATAAAGAAAGGAGGAAAGAAGAAGGATGGAATCTACTTTGTTTCAGTTTGCCATTGCATCGAAATCGCCCTTTCTCGTTCTCGCTGTATGGGGTTTCCCCCGCAAATTGCTGGTGTCACGGCTCCGCTAACTCGGGGTGAAAGCTGCGGTAAGCCTCTGCTAGTGAGGCGGTAGCGGTCATGACAAAAGCATGGGTACGGAGGTCGCTTTCAAAAGTTATGTCAGGCGCCAGAACCAAGCCATTACTAGGGTCCCTAGAAGGTACCTTACGATACTCTCTCGCTGTACAAGGGGCGTACTGAAGCCATCACACACTGACCTAGCTACCTGGCTGTAGTAAGATTTTTGTGTTCTGTAATTTTATCTTGATTAAGGATTATGTATCGTATGTATTTACCCTGTAAAGATCCTTGTCAGATCCCTGTTTCTGGAATCATGGCAGACATAACTTTTGAAAGCGACATCCGTAATAACTTCAATGTTACTCAGCTTCCTGGGTGATCTTTTGCGTGGGTGGCTGGGGGAGGGCGTTGATAGGACCGACTAACAGTTTAGGTAGCGGCGTGGTGGAAGAGCACAGCCATATTTTGGTGGGTGGTGGAAGAGTGTGGAGAGAGGACGGGATGAAACGAAACTTTGTTTGGTGATTAGTTGGGATTTCTTGGGTGCATTTAATATTTAGGTAGTCGGGGTATGAAAACACAGTGGGCGACGTTGACTAAAGAATGTTGTATAGGTAGTTTTGAAGAAGTGTTAAAATACCCGACATCTCGCGTTACGATGGAACGTTTGAGAGCCAACTTACTACATAGTTCTTTTCGTATTTGGAAAATTGAAAAATACTTTAGAATATTACATCAAATTTTGATCCGCTGCACTGCCTCTGCTCGAACCTATTGTCGACGGTGGAGTTGACCGGCGCGCCCCAAGTCCGCCTCGGCCGCGGACAAAAATACGCCGCTGCCGTCGGCGCCCGCCCTCCCCCCTTCGGCCACTCACCCTCTAACTATTTCTACTATGCTCCTTGACGTCAGCTTCTCCCCTTGCCAACCACGACAAAGACTGGCACATGGGCTGTGCGTTTCCCGGCACAGGGTTTTTTGCGATACTAAACAAACTCGCCCTATCTCTTGAACCTACCGCCCCCATGCCCCGTGGGCGGCGGCTCGCCTGATTCGATCAATTTCGCCCACGCAAACTGTCGAGGCGGTACCTGCGCCCTGAGTCGATCGCTTTAAGCCCGGCCGTCTTGGCTCGCTGCACGATCCCGAAAACCTTCCAAAAACAAGAAAGAAAAAATCGCCGCACACGTGTTCATGGGAAAACCCCCCCCGACAGCACGGGCTACATAATATCATCGCAGTCATTGGTCGGTCCGCTCGTATGAGGACAGCGACAGCACTGTGTCGTGCCTCCGCCCCAATCCCGACTCAAACCGAGCACGTCACAGCGTCGTTCTACCCTACCTTCCTCTTCTCAGACGTTTCACAGAGCGGCAGTGACATATAGCGACGGCAGCGACGACATTCTAATGCCCGACAAGTCGTTGACGGTGGTTTCCTACGCCGCCGGGGCGTCGCTCGCGGCCGCAGCCCTGATCTACGTCTTTGGTCCGACTTTTGCTATTGACCACGAAGGCACCAGCTCCAAGAAGAAGACCATTGTCGGCTTGCGCAACCAAGCCAATGATTGCTTCATCAACTCGGTTCTTCAGGCCCTCGCGGGTCTGGGCGACCTCCGCATCTATCTGATCCGCGAGACGCACCGCCGTCGCATCGAGGACTCGGCCGTCTACGCCAACCTGATCCAGCCGAGCTCGTCCGACGAGGATGGCAGCAGCGGCGGCAAGATGCCCGAGTGGAAGATTCAGGGCCTGCAAGACGGCCTCGTCACGCATGGACTCAAGGAGATGCTTGATCACCTCAACGAACGACCGATTGCGAAAAAGGCCATCTCTCCATTCCCCTTTGTCCGCGTCCTCGAGGTCGCCTTCAAGCAGCGCATAAGCAGGCAGCAGCAAGATGCCCAGGAATTTTTGCAGATTGTTGCCGAGCGTTTGAAAGACGAGTACCACGCAGGCCAAAGAGCGCGGTTACATGCGCGATCAGCCGTCAAAGACAACCGCAGCAGCTCTTCCTCCAACTCAAACCCCGAGCAAAGCGACACTGAAAAGAACGCGACAAACGACACAATAAACGACACAATAAACGACACAACAAACGACACAAAAATCGACACTACAAACGGCATTACCGCACCTGCCATCAACGAAACTAATGGCAACGGAGCCAACTCACAATCAAATTTAGACACCGACAGCTTGCTACCGAACCCGACATTGTCAGCTTCAACGCCACCATTACCCATAGAGCTCGAAGATGGCTTTCCCATGGAGGGCAAATATGAGTCTCATCTCGAGTGCCAAACGTGCGGCTACAAGACGAAGCCGCGCGAGGAGACCTTCTGCACCATAACCCTCGCTGTGCCTCAAGTCATGTCCACGTCTCTCAGCTCTTGCTTTGACGGCATCTTTAAGACGGAATACATTGACGACTTCAAGTGTGAAATGTGCCGGCTCCTACAGACTGTAGCCAATCTTGAGCACGAAGTTTCGCGCTCCAACTCGGAATCCTTCAAAACCAACGCCCTCGACAGCATCGCCAAGCTCAACAAGGCCATTCTCACGGACCCAGAGCAGCCCCCCGAGGGTGTCGACCTCGGCGACATTCGCTACGCGCCCAAGCGTCGCATCGCCAAGACGACCCGCATGACGATATTCCCCAAGATTCTCGCCATCCACCTATCGCGCTCCATTTACGGCGTCGGCCAGATGACGCAAAAGAACTCGGCCAAGGTTTCGTTTCCAGAGCAGCTGCCCCTCGGCGGTTTGGCCGATCAGCGCCGGTATAAGCTTCTCGGCATGGTCACGCATCGCGGTGGGCATAACAGCGGCCACTACGAGGCCTTTAGGCGGCAAAATGTCTCGCCGCACTTTCCTAATCAAAACACCTTTATGCAGTCCGAAGTTTACAGCAAGACACCTACGCCACTCTCTACACCGGTCATGAGCGCCAAGAACGCGGACAGTCCCGCCACCTCGACACCCGACCTCCTCTCTCCCACCTCTACCGCAGCCTCCTCCACACCCTCTCTCGACTCCGTGCCCATGCAGCCCCCGCGTAGTGTGCCCTTGTCCGCCATGCCGGAAAGAAACAGCCCCGTCGTCAATGGTCGCGATCGCGACACCGACTCCAGCAGCCTGCGGTCCGTCGCCGCGTCCACCAAGTCGGCGCTGTCACGGCTCGCCTCGGGCAGGCACGACGGCGGCAGCAAGTCGGCGTCGCCCAAGCTGCGACCGCAGTCCCAGCCACAGTCGCAACCAGCGCATTCGCTCGCGGGGAGTATGAAGCGCGCAAAGCCCAAGAAAGCCAAGCAGCACCTGGATCGCTGGTGGCGGGTGAGCGACGAAAAAGTTCGCGAAGCCAAGACGGGCGAGGTCCTGAGCATGCAAAAGGAGGTGTATCTTTTGTTTTACGAGTTGGAAAAGTAGAGAATGCAGGACCTTATTGTTGAATGTTGATTATAGAATACGGTACAGCAAAGTACCTATCTTGGGTTGAGTTGGTTGTAGAGCAAGGCACAGAGCCTAGAGCACACTAGGACGTACATAGCCGCCATCATTGGACATAACAGATGCTTTCTCTTGCCGGTTCGGGACTTTGAAATCCGTCAAGAGATCCTACATTCGCACACCATTCAATTTGCCCCCGCCCCGTGGCTTGTGCCAGCTTTACTGTAACACGACGCACCATGTTGTAATAAGTGGTAGTAGCTGCACTGATGAGTCAGCCAATCTTGGGACTGAGTCGAAATCCTGTGCGCCAATAATTAGGTTTCTTTTTCTCCAGCCAACGCGCTGGCGACGATCTTGTAAAGAATTAGCGTGCGGCTCATTCCAAAATTACCAAAAGCCGCCAGGAAAAGGGCTTTTAGTTGGGAAAGGAGTCGCTGTTCTTCGAGCCAGACCTCGGCTGTTTGTCTAAACGCGAGCCTCGCGTAGACGACCCCTTAGCTGGCGACACCATGCGCACGATTGCTTTTTGCAGGATAAGGTAAAGCAAAGTACTCGGTGGGACGATTCGTTGGAATTTATTCGAATTTCATTCCAGCTCATCAGCATTGAGAAATCTGATCATTTTCGACGAGCCCAAACGCAGCATTCTTCACATCCCTGTTGGACAGCACGGTGGTCCACCATCCATCATGCTCAACATACCAAGGCGCCTTCGCAAGCGCCTGCTTCACACCGCAGCGCTGTGCCTCGTATGTTTGAGCGTATACTACATCATACTGCCACCAGACTCGTCGATCCGGCTAGCGCTGCGGTTCAACGCTGTCCGGGCGTCGGCGGCCGTGCGCGAGGCGACAGAGGACAGGGACGCCTGGCTGCGGCGGCCGGCGCCGTACGAGCTCGACCTACGGCAAGATGTCGGGTATCTGATCAAGACGGGCTACGGAACGAGACACCGCGTGCCGCTGCAGCTGGCGGCGCTGCAGGGCAGCTTCGGCGGCGGCCTGCTGGGCGAGGAGGGCAAGGACTACATGGTGGTGGGGGACTGGACGACGGTGGATGACGAGGATGCCAAGAAAATTGGCGTGCCGGTGCACGACGTGCTCAAGATGGTGCGGGAGTATGGCGACGGGGACTGGAGAGCGCATCACCGATTCAAAAAGTACCAGACGCTGCAGAGCGCGATTGTGGCGGGCGACGAGGAGACGGCACTGGGAATTGGGCGCAGTGTCGGCTGGGAGCTGGATGCGCTCAAGGTATGTTGACAGTGAGTGAGTCGCTTTGAATGCTTTACTGATGAGTAGGTAGTTTGCACCGGGCATGGAGCTCATGTACAAGGCGATGCCTAACAAAAAGTGGTATCTCATTCTGGATGACGATACCTTTGTTGTCAAGTCGACGCTGAATCTCTTATTAACACACCTGAACCCTGACAATCCACATTACCTCGGTAATGCAGTCGGTGATTTCCGCGGCCGCTTCGCGCACGGCGGATCGGCCATTATCTTATCCCACGAGGCCATGCGCCGACTCTTTCGGCGCCAAGACGTGGTGCGACAGGCGTACCTGGAGTCGCTCGAGGAGAAATGGGGCGACAAGCTGGTGGCGACGACGTTTCTCAAGCTGGGCATCTATCTGGAGGAGCGATACGCGCACCACTTCAACGGCGAGGCGCCCGAGGAGACGCGCATCACGTACGAAAAGTACTGCGCGCCGATCCTATCGTTTCACTCTCTGCGGACGGAGGCGGCGACGACGCGCGTGAGCAAGGTGCTTGGCGCGGCCACGGAACCCGTGCGCTGGGGCGAGCTCATGGAGCTATTTGGGCCGACGGCGACAGCGGCGGCAGCGGGGAGCGCCCAGGATCACGTTGGGCCGACGGACAAGCAGGTCAAGATGTGGGGCATGGTCAAGAAGGCGGCCGATTGCCAGCACAAGTGCGAGGTTGAGAATGCCAATTGGTGTCTGGCGTGGACGTACGACACGCGTGGGGAGGCGTGCCACGCGAGCCCGTGGATGGTGCCGGGGGCGGGCGGCGCGGAGGGCAAGGTATCAGGCTACAACAAGGAGGCCATGAAGCGAATGCAGGCCAGATGTCCCCGAGATGGGCGCGTATGAGACAAAGTGTGCCTGCATTGTCTGGGGGGGGGGAGGGGGGTGGGCTACTCGGCAACGCGCGGGGCATCAAGTGTCGGGCGATGATGCACGGGCTGTGGGATATGGGATAAACTCAGTTGTGAGGCAGCGACGATTGCCAGTTTAGCGGTGTGCATGGGTAATGAATAGACAAGAAGTCAGAACAAAAATTGTATAATAGGAATTGACGAAGAAGACGTTTGAAACTAGTTACGGATAGATGAGCTAAATTTAGAATGGCTGTAGGGCGAAATTGTGTTTATAGGACGACGATGGGAAATTAATAAGCGAGCAGGGGAATGTGCATGATTATTAAAGGAAAAGAATAGACCAGAAGAGAAAGGAAAAAGAGAGAACAAGCAAACCGTTCATTACCAGTACCCGTACTAGGGTGTGAGGACTGCATGGGTCGATCACCGCTCCCCCTCCCCCCCCCTGACGGCGGTTGCACGTAGAAGGCCATTTGGAAGCCACTTTCGAAGCCTGGAAGCGACGGAGCGATGTGGGCCAAGGAGGCTGATCTCTTGCCCGTTGCTTCGCTCACAGCCGGTGCAGTAAAATTCGAGGAGTGGGCGGGATATCTGCGATGCAAGGGTCCCGGGGTGGCGCAGTGCGGTTGACGGGCAAGGTTGGCGATGCCGAAATCGACCAGCGGCGAAAAAGCATATGTGGCTCTGTCTGATCTGGTGCTGCAGGTAAGCGCTGCAAGGTGCAATATAAATAGGTAGCAGATTTCTTGTTTGAATCGCACGATTGAGAGAGGTAGTTATGGGCCGGCGGCACGACGAAAGGGAATGGGGAGGGGGGGGGAGGGGGGTGGGGGGTGGTGACACAGGAAGAAAATGGCAGCGCTAACAAGGACGGGGAAGCGCCAAGGTTCGGCTCAGAGCGGCCGCTGCCAAGATGCCTCGCTAAGAAGGACCCGCATGCAATGGCGACCTGTAGGTAAGTCAACCGTAAAGTGATGGATGAACAATGATTATGCGAGTCATAGACTGAGATGAAATTTTTTTTTGGTCGTGTTTTTCCGCTTCTCATCGAGGGGGACTCCGAAGTGGTGACGTAGTAGCGGTGATTGGCCAAGGCATGCCGTACAATAATTTGGGGGTTGCAGCGTCTGTCTTGTGTGACTTGGCAAGGCCAAGGCGTGGCATCAAGGGCCCAGGCACCTCTTTATGTCCTACCTTACTTACTACAACACTAAACAGGTTGTTCATGTAAGTAAATTTAGGTACTTGCATACTTGCTCCCTCGAATAACGACAAGTTGCTGCCCAGTGCCTGCTCCCTCATTCCACAATAATAACTCGATATCCCTGTACCGGGACCGGCGCAGCCGCCCCCTAGGATTAGGAGCCTCCAAAAATAAGCTCTTTCCCCTTGCGGCCCCAGGAGGGAGGGGAAGGGGGGTGGCTCTGGGAACTTGCTATAAGTAGGCATGACCGAACAAGCAGCAAGGGAGAGAAAAAAAAGAGAAATACGGCAGACTCCGCTGTACAGACTGGACACTGGTATTAACTGAAGAAGAAAGCATATCGGCGGAGGAATGGCATTCATTCGCTTCCGATTGGGTCGGCGGCATCTAACTTTGTTACTCGTTCATCGTCGCGCAAAGATACAGTGGCTGCGAGGGACCAGACTCGGCGCTAGGTAGTTAAGGTCTCTACCTACCTACCTAAATAGCCTAGCCGGGCTAGCAGCCCAAAAAAAAAAAGAATATGCAGGCCTCAAACCAAGTCAAGGTCGCTGGGCCTTTTTTTCTCTCTTCCTCTTCTTTGCTACATCGTCATCTCGACAATTCATTACCACCACGAAACTCGGGCGCCAGCCATCTCACCGGCAATCCCCTTTGCACTGGCCCGTAGGTCAAAGGGTCCTCCAATCGTTTTTTTTTTTCATTCTTGCCGTTGTAATCACTGCTTTTTTTTTCTAATTCTTTAAATTCTTCGCCGGCGTCCACTTTAATTTTTTTCTAATAACCATATTCTGCTCGTGGTGGTGTTGCTCTAGTGTTTTCTAGACAACGGCCCTTTTTTTTTTGCTTCTTCGCCCATGTCGACACTTGGCTCCATAGCAAGGCTTCTTCCTCATTTTAATCCGGCCAAAAAAAACACACACCCCGGACCCTAGCCAGCAATGGCGCCTGACAATCCAGCTGGTGACGGCGATGCTGGTACCGTAACCTCGTCCACTGCTCCGGCATCGTCGACTCTGCCTGTCGGTCCTGCTACTGCTGCAGAGCCACCAACATCCGCCGCCGGTCATCCCTCCTCTTCTTCTTCTTCTCCTCCTGCTCCAGGGCATCACACACCCGCGCCCCCGACCTCCGACCCTCCCGCGACCAGCTCTGGCCCCGAGCCAGCAGCCTCTACCGCTTCAGATTCTTCTCCGACAGCTCTCTTTGCTACTACAACCGCTACCGCTGCCGCTACCGCGACCCCGACCGCTGCCACGACCACGACCACAACCACAACCACAGTAGCCGACACGCCTGCTCCGGCCGCTGAAGCTGCTCCTGGCAGCAATCTCAACGGCACAGGAGCAGCGCAGGCTTCACCCGCCTCTACCGACTCCGAAATGTCCAATCATGCCTTTCTTCACGGCCGCTCAGCTGCTGCTCCCGCGCCCTCGCATCCCTCACCCTCCTCGCGTCCCACGGGTTACCGCACCGACTCGCAGACGCATTCTCCGGCGGCTCCCTCGACGACCTCTGCACCACCACCGCACACGACGACTCCCGCGACGCAATTCGCGTCCTATTCGGCCGGCCCAATCTCGCAGCCTCCCGATGCCCAGCGACTCGCCCACAGCAACGGCCCCAATGCCGTCACGTTGCCTAGCATGCGGACCATTGATGCCATGAGCCATCAGCAGCAGCAGCAGCAGCAGCAGCAGCAGCAGCAGCAGCCGCCTGGCACCCATCCACACGCCATGAACGGACCTCTGCAGCCCGTGTCTCCTTCAGCTCAGTCGTACTATGCGCAGGCTGCTGTCGGTGCTACCCCGAGCTTTGGGTTACACACCGACCTGGGCCGCTACACTCTGCCCCCCCACGACCCTCGCCTGTCAGGAACAAGAGGCTCCAAGAAGGTTGGTTTCCTTGTTTGCTTTCACGCCATCTTGCTCGCCAGTTGCTACACGGCCGTCCAATGTGACACTGCCAAATGCATTGTCGCCTGCTGTTGCCTTATCCCCAACTAACCACGTGGAATTTACAGGAAATTAAGCGGCGAACCAAGACAGGCTGCCTGACCTGCAGAAAACGACGAATCAAGGCAAGTTTACAATATTCGCAACAGCTCTCCAAGTACATTGGCCGAGAACACACGTGCACAAACATCATCATGCTATTCTCTTTCCCTTTTTGTGTCACGAACTGCCATGCTGCATATCTTTTTTTTTTTCCTATGAAAGTCAACCTGACACTCCAAGTGGAGTCTGATTGCCCGGGTCGGCTCAAGGATTCGATCGTCCCGAGACGCAGCACCTCACATTCGACAGGCCGTGCCGTGACACAATACGCATGGCGGCATGCAATGCCGTGGCAGATCTTTGGCTATATCGACATGACAGCCTTGTGCTGACCAGCGACGTTGCCGCTGCCGCTGCCGCTGCTGCTGCCAAGCCTTGTCATCCAAAGTTTTAGGCTGCTGGGCTTTCATCAGTCAGCAGATGGGGCGCCACCACACCTTGAGCTCCCCACCAAAATAAACTCGCATCCCGCGCTACTCAGGTCGCGATGCATATCAACACCCTTGGCACATTTCTTATTGACTTTGTTTCTTGTTGATTGTCACATTTCTCGTTGGTGGTCATAACGCGGTATACTAACTTGCGCCGCCCTTTTGGCACACTTCTTTCTAGTGCGACGAAGCTCACCCCACGTGCAACAACTGCAAAAAATCGAAACGCGATTGTCTCGGCTACGACCCCATCTTCCGCCAGCAGCCAGCAGCTCATCCCGGCTCCATACAACCTGCACCCTCACCGACCGCATCGGTTCCCTCGTCCAACTCGCCGGGCTCGGTCGCAGGAAACGGTCGCCAGCTGAACTCGTACGCTGCCCAGCCGTCTATGCTGCCTGTTTCATACCCGTCCAACTCTACCCCTCCCACTGCAGCTGTCAGCCCAACTCCCAACGCTGCCTACCATTCTACTTCGGTCACGGCCGCGCATCAGGCTACCTCTGCAACAGCCTCGCCTCGCTACGATTACTCATCCAGCTCCAATACTGCTTCAAGGACAAATCAGCCCGCTACTGCATTTGATCCCGCTCGGCACGTTGACCACACTGTAAACAACCAACTGGATCATAGGATACCAGAACCACGTGAGCATAGCCCTTGCAATCCTCACATGGATCCCAGACCGATCACGCAACTTACACCCATTCCAGGTCCAAAGATGAAGATCCACCAGATTATCGACTCTCTCGGTCCTACCCCCACCCCGCCTCAAGTTCCCGCTAGCGAGGAGACGTTTAGCGAGATCACTAAAGTCTACCACGAAATGTATGCCACTGCGCTCGCTGCCTTCTTTGAGACTACCTGGTACTATTTCGCCGAGAATGGCATCATGTCCTTTCCTAAGCACCCTCCGCTGCTTGAGCAGATGGCTTCGTTTCTCAAGGTGCTTGAGGCTGTCAAGGCGAATGATCATACGCAAATGGCTTACTCGGGCATTCTGGAAACAAGAATTGTGTGGGAGCTCGCTTGCACCGCTTTTCAAACACCAGAGCGCAGCAACGGTGCCATGCGCGTGAATCTGCCCCCTGAAGGTGACAGCGCTGAGGCCCGAAGCCGGTTGCAGGTGGTGGACGCTTTGCTGTGCGGCGATTACCTACCCAACAACCCACTTTCCCCCCCGGTAGCCGACTCAGACGCTCAAAGGACACGCCAGTTTGACTTTTGGTACAACTTGGCTGATTTCATCCGACACCGCGACCACCCCGAGTCGCCTCAGGCCCAGCAGGCCCGGGAGGAGGTCCTGGGCAGGATGCGCCGTTTGCTTGATGCGCGCGAGAATCGTGACGTGCTCTACTCCATTGCCGTGGTCCGTCATCTGTCCCCTCGGTTTGGACCCAACTACGTAGCATCTCTGCCGCAGCACCACGACGAGACGGATCCAAAGAGCCGCCTGGCGGTGGCGTCCAAGTTTATTATGAATGAAGCGCAAGTGACGGGAGGCACCACCAACGTCGTTAGGCGCATCAGCGATATTGCCTGCCGCGCATTTGTGAATCCCGGTGTTAACATTGCGAGAAGTGCCTGATTTGAGCGACTTGTGATACCCACACCTACTACGAAGAGTCTGCGAACCACTTGCAAGACTTGTACTTGTGCCTTGGGAAAAGAATATGCATTTTGGCGTTTTTACATTTTTCATTATATCCCCTCCCCACCACCGTCATCCTGGGCACGGCAGGTGCGGGTTCTGTTGTCTTTTGAGAAAGCAACACACAAGCAAAAGAGACTGTGCAAAAAGATTGCGCGAGGAGTTTTACTAGATTCTTTATGGGGATAGGAGTCATTCCGTTTGTCTAAATTTTCTTTCCACATCGGTTGTTACATGTATATTATCTATTGTTTTTTTTTCGGCGCGAGGGTTTGGACAAGGGAATGTTTATAGATAAAAGGAAAAGCACACGGGATTCTGCCTGGCTCTGCCTTTTGTTTTTTCTTGCCGTTCTTTTTTTGCAATTTACATCGCTTACTGTTTTGTCTAGCTCTTTTCAATTTTGAGCAGATGGATGGCGTTTCATGGACTACTACAATAGAAACAAAGGCAATGAATTGCTACAGGATTTAAGAATCTGAATTAATAGAGTTGATAATTGCTACACCAAGCCCTTTTCTGGTTCCCACTTGTGCAAAGTCTGGTCTATGACGTCAAAGGTGCTTGCCCGGCGCTCGATTGAGGGAAGTGAGGATCCTCGAGTTACATGCCGGCATTGTTGCCGTTTAAGCAGCGGGAAGTTTCTAACCTAGGTTGTGACCAGAAATAAGAGAGAGGGTCGATAGTCGAACGCCGACCTCGCTCGAAAGGGACAGTCATTTACGAATGTCTCAAACGTAGGGTCGACGTATAAGGCAAATTTTGGGAGACTCTTAGTTTTGGATTGGTATGAAGTAGTTGGAGACTCATCCGTGTGGTCGGAGGGCATGGACCGTGACCGTCCAAGATGGAGCGTGTTACTATATACAAATACCATGACAGCGTTTATACATGCGAAAAGGGTATACTCTATGCAACTGTCTATACATGTGGAAGGGGTATACTTTGTTCAAATATATGTACACGAAAAATGTTCATCGACAAAACGTCACTTTGTAATCTGGCCAAACCAGATGTCGTCTGACGGCCGCATGCCTGTCGCGACGCCCTCGCGAGCGCACAGCTCCCGCTGCTCATCGTCGACGGTCCAGCTGCGCACCTGGTCGCTGCCGACGAGAAACTGCATCACCATGCCCGACTCGGCATGCCAAGTGTTGTGACAGTGAAAGGCCCACAGCCCGGGGTTGTCGAGGACAACGCGCAGGACTACCCAGCCGTAGCCTTCGACGGTGACGGTGTCCCGGCGCAGGGGATTGTCGAGGATGTCGTGCTGCGACAAGTAGGACGGCAGCTCATGTGCCTCGGGCGGGTAGCCCGTCTCTCCCTGGATAAGCACGTAGAACTTGTGCCCGTGAAGGTGGAACGGGTGGGCGCCGTCGTCAAAGTTGTTGATGACGAGGTCGATGGTGCGGGTGCCCGTCGTCTCGAGGACGTAGTCGCGCGCCGGGTCAAAGACGGTGTCGCTGATGCGCATGGCAGCCGAGCGGTTCCCGGACGAGTCGGCGCCGCCGGCATTGATGTTGTCGAGGTAGCGGTGCAGAGACGGATGTGTAGCGTTGGCGTGCCACGTCGAGCCGTTGAAGAAGCCGCGGGCGAGGGCCCAGTCGCCAATCATAAAGTTGGCGCGGACAAGGACGTACTCATCGGCGGGCGGCGGAGATTGCGTATCGACGGGGTGCAGGGCGCTGACGTTGAGGTCGCGGCAAATGACCTCGATGGCCTCGGGCCAGTCCTTACTGGTGGGGTCCGCCGCGACGGCCGGAAGGGGCGTGTCTTTGGACTGGTAGCGAATAACGGAGTGCAGTTCGGGCACGAGACGCTTGTTCTCCGTGGTGAAGCAGTGCGTGAGCATGCGGGCGCGCATCCAAAAGGACGGCGGCACGGTGGTGGTGGCGGTGGAAGTGACATTGGTTTCAAGAATGACGCTGTATCGCTGCGCGGGCAGGATGTTGAGCCTGTGGAAGGCCTCGGGGTGGACGTCGGTGCCGTCGACTTCTGTCACGTAGAAGGGGTGCTCGTCAAACTGAATCTGAAACTCGGCAAAGGCGCCGACGTTGATGAGACGCAGCCGGTGGCGCTGGCCGGCGGTCAGGTCAAAGACGGGACGGGAGACGTTGGCGGCGTCGCACCGCCAGCCGGGAAAGTCGGCGCAGTCGCGGACGCCGCGGCCGTTGACGAGGGCATTGTCCGGGACGGGCTCGTCATTTTCCATGTCTGGCTGAAGGTAGTCCATGAGCAGCTCCGCCGTGAGGTTGTGGTAGTGGTCCTGGACCATGACGACGCGGTCCGAGACGTAGTCGAGCTCCTGCAGCGCGGTGCGCTCGTTCCGGGCGTGGATGACGACGGGACCGAGCAAGCCGTCGGACGCCTGGGCGCTGTGGTGAGCGTGGTACCAGTACGTGCCGGACTGGCCGCTGATGGTAAAGGTGTAGGTAAAGGACGATTTGGGAGCAATGGGGCACTGGGTCACGCCGACGGTGCCGTCCATGAAGTTGGTGCCGTTTTGGAAGAGGCCGTGAAAGTGAATGGCGGTCGCGTTGACGGCCTGATTGTCGACGTGGACGATGATGGTATCGCCATCGTTGCACTCGACAAGAGGGCCTGGGAACTGATTATTGATGAGATACATGGGACGGTACACGCCGTCGGGGTTGAGGTCGGCATTGGTGATGGTCCAGCTGTACTCGCGCGTGGTTGGAGCGGCGTCGTAGTCCCAGGACATGTCCAGAATATACTCTGAAGGGTCCCTCAGCCGCGGGCTCAGAGGCATCTCACGCTGCGGCGCCGGCGTAGATTGCGGTTCCGGAACAGCCTCGTCGACCGAGTGAGGGTCCTCGATCTGATGCTCATCTTGCTGGCCGTGGTTACTCGACGAAGCGGCGTTGGAAGATATGCCAAAGGGGACGAGAGCGAGGCCGAGTATTGTCACGACGAATACGAAGAAAAACAAGGCCATCTGCCAGCAAGACCAGAGTGCGCGGCGAGAACGGGGGTTCCAGGCGTAGGGCAAGCCATCGTGGAGGGGCAGCCGACGGGGGACGTCAGTCATTGCAGCCGGCGGCAAGGGGTCAGGTTGCGCATGCTATCGTTTTGTGATTTTCTACGACAGCAATGAGGAGAGGAACTGGCAGGTGCGAGAAGACTGCAGCGCAGCAGAGGGACAAGACCGATGAGCCGGGATGAGGGAAAGAAGTAGGCGTCGTGAGGTCAGAGTAGATGAGTACTCCGTATCCGTAGATTGGGGTGGATGGTGGATAGGTGGATGTTGAGTAAATGGGGCGCTGATTTTTTGGTGTCGAGAGATTGGTGCAGCCAAGCGAGCAGAAGCCATATTCCAGGTTTTTCAGAGGCATAAGCTTATTATAAAGTGCGCTAAAGACATTTATTAGCTCCTCTACAGATTACAATGCTAGTTAGTGCAAACGCTTTAAAGGTGAGAGGAGGGACTGGTGGCCATCTGACTCGGGCTTGGCGCCATAAATACTAGGTAATAAGAATCATGTATGGGTATAATCCGTACATATGCAGCATTACATAAAATAGTCGATACTTTTAAGTCTTGGCCAGATGGTGCGCGGCAACTAGGTAGGGTAGGTAGTCAGTTACCGGCTGGGCGCCAAGGTTGAGGGCTGACGGCATGGGAACGATGCTGGAGCGACCAGGCCATAGGGAGCCGTGGCATTACCAATACTCGGTACACTATCAGCTATTTGACAGCCACAGGATAGACGATCAATCAATCGGACGGCGCGGCTTGGCAGCGTTGGGAGTCGATTGGTCGTCTTGCTCTGCAAATCTATCAGTATGCTGTACCTACAGCCTGACCGGGCCGAGTGGTCGCCATAAAAGATAAGGACGACCGCGTGCTCTCAGCTGGCATACTTGGTAGTGGCTGTTGGTGCCAGGGCGAGCAGCCACCCAAACCACGTTGGCCGTTTTCTGGGGTGTACCGTCTTGGGCCAATGTTCCGACGAGGCGTCCGGATAGACGGCACGCACGCGATACGTAGGGAAATAATAGACCTGGCGTCTCCGACTGTGCAAACTTTTCTTCACTCGATTTGCGTTGATTGCAAGGATTTAATATCCCAACGACGAGCATCAAGGATCGTGTGGTAGCGAGTCGCCGAGACACGTGCGGCCGCTCAAGTTTTTAAGACGGTCTCGCTCGCCTGGCGGGCCTGGACAAAACCCCAGTTGCCCAGTCACGCTAGGCCGGCCTACTGTGGGGACTTTTGGGGGTAAACCGTAAATGGGGGATCAGCTTGTGGAGAAGACAGGGGAAAGCGTTGGCAAGAAATGCGACTACTGTATGAATAGATTTCGAGGAAGCAAAGAAGAAAGGAAAAAAAGGAAGCAAAATGATACAAACAGGGCCATCAGGGATAATTGTCTCGACTTATGCCTATATTCTCTTCCTCTCTATAGGTGCTCTGCGCATGCACGGCACACTTAACCAACGTGGTCCCCGCCGAATTCCCGGCCCCATCGGCGGACATACATACACCGAACCCCAACATGGTCATGTGGAACTGCAAGCGAAACAAGTCCGCCACCATGAACCAGTCAAGGTCCTCGCATTTAATCTGACCAAAAAGACGAGGCTGCCGACTACTTACAGATTTTATCATCCAGGCATTCCCCGGATTAGTTAACCAGCATCTCCGTAGTAGTGTGGCGGGTCTATTACACCTTTTTGCTGGGCCCAGCGTCGGTCTATGCAGGCAGGCCATGAGCAGCTGCCGTCATTCAACCTACGGCAAACGGCTTGCTCACCCGCCTTGCCAATGTAGTAATAAGTGTTTGTCAACCCACCTCGAATCATTCTTCCCCTCCATGCCGACTCACACCACTCCTCTTCAGCATCCTTTTGCCTCTCCTGTCGCATCTCATCACAATGCGCTTCGAATTGCTCGGCGCCCTTGCCGCCCTTGCTGGCCTCGCCGCTGCCGACAGGAGCTGCGGCGCAAACTGGGAGACGCGTTACACGGCCACCGGCGTCCAAGACGTCGCCGCCGCCGCCGCCACGGCCAAGACGTCCAGCCCGACCAGTAACGTCCCCGGCAAGGCCTTTGACCGACTTGTCATCATCTACTTTGAGAACCAAAATTATGACAAGTCCATTGGTGACCGTACGTAAATCTCCCGTCTGTCCTTCCAAGTACTGGTAGACCAGTAGTGACTGACTATATACCTGCCTAGCCAACTTTAACTGGTTTGCCAAAAAAGGCATCCTTTTGAGCAACTACTTTGCCGTCACCCACCCCTCGCAGCCCAACTACATGGCCTCCATCGCCGGCGACTACTTTGGCATGCAAAACGACAACTTTATTCGCTCCCCCCGCAACATCTCCACCGTCATCGACCTGCTCGAGTACCGTGGTATCTCCTGGGGTCACTACCAGGAGGACATGCCCTACTCGGGCTTCGAGGGCATGGGATTCAAGAACCAGCAAAACGGCAAAAACGACTACGTCCGCAAGCATAACCCCGCCATCATGCACGACTCGGTCGTCCACTGGGAGAGCCGCCTGTCACAGATCAAGAACCTCTCTTTGATTGACACATCACGCTCCGTCTTCCACAAGGACCTCAAGGACGACAAACTGCCCCAGTGGATGTTCATCACCCCCAACATGACCTCGGATGGCCACGACACCGACGTCACCACCGCCGGCGCCTGGTGCCGCACTTTTTTGGAGCCTCTGCTCGACGACAAGAATTTCATGAACAAGACGCTCGTCCTCGTCACCTTTGACGAAAACGAGACATATGCGAACCGCAACCAGATTCTCGGCGTCCTGCTTGGTGACGCCGTGCCCAAGGAGCTGGTCGGCACCACCGACGACCACTTTTACAACCACTACTCGGAGATTGCCACGGCCTCGGCCAACTGGGACCTGCCCACGCTCGGCCGCTGGGACGTGGGAGCCAACGTCTACAAGATGGTGGCGGACAAGACGGGCGACAAGCTGCGCGCCTGGTCCTCGCCCGAGCAGCTGCAGGGCATGTACTTTAACTACTCGCAAGCCGGCCAGTTCAGCACTGCCGGCGGCAACAAGCGCTTCCCCGCGCCCAACCTCAAGCTCGACAATGCCGTCAACGGTCGCAAGATTCACCCCCGCGTCAAGGAGATCTGGGCCAACAGCCAGGCCCCGACCTACTACGAGGACACGGTCGAGGTGCCCGACGGCCTGCACCCTCCCAAGGGCTATGAACCTTCCAAGAAATAAACGCTGCTGCATGTATTGGTGGATTCGATTAAAATGAAGAATGTAAATAGATGCATACGACTTTTTTGCATAAGCGGGTTGCCATTACTTGATAACACTATGACACTAAAGAAATTTACCATGTATCTCATGCCATATCAGCCGTTGCCGATTATGACGTTTTGCTATGCATCTACGGGATACTGAGCACTATTTTGTTAGCACACAACATTACTCCGTACATATCTAGGTCATGTTCCATTTTCCCCCATCTCGTAATATTATTCATCTCCATTACTGGTAGCGTTCGCTCAACCCACACCACCCACACCACCCACTTCTGCCCCGGCCTCTTACGCACCCGATGGCGTCGGCTGATCCTCTCTTCACTGGCTCGGCCGACCCTGGACAAATGGTGGCTTGGCATCGCGGGCCCGAATCACGTCCTCGCCATTCCCAAGCCATCTCACCACGCACGTGGGGTGCTCACTTGCAGGTTTCTGGCGGGCACGTTGCTCTTTCTATCGTTCATGCGGAAAGCAGAGAAAAACCAAAGGTCGCCCACATGCCGAAGCACACGGAATTCGGCAAGTAAGCCAGGTAGGAAGAGACGAAAAAAAAAAAGGAAAAAAAAAAAGGCAAAATAAAAAGGGAAAGAAATTAAAACATGGAGATGAAAGCGACAAAAAGACAGAAATCTAAGAGAACAGCCCTCTGTTTGCTCCAGCACCAATTTCTGCAAAAAACATCCTTGCCCGGGCGCACACTCAAAAGACCTTCCAGATTCGGCACCGCGCTGTTACCAGTAAGTCTCCAGAATGTATTTCTGCGCAGGTCTCATGCGCTGCGGTCCCATGGACCCAAGGTAGGTAGCAAACAGACACCTTTCTTCGTAATAGGTAGCCCTCAAGGGCCTCTCAGACCTTTTGAGCCAGTAAAGCGCCATCATCTGGCCCTTTTCCCTCCACCTCGACGACGGCCCGGCATTTTTCTGCATCCAATACCACCTCGCTCCTCCATCATGTGGGCCAGCGTCGTAGCCTCTCTACGCGGTCAACAAAGTAGCTCCCGCCTCTTTGTTTGCCCGCTGAGTTGGGGATCTGAACATTTTGCTACTCTTTTCTGGTCATTTCTTCTCAACTGTCTTCAGACTTTGTTACAGCCCATGTTTAATCTCTCATTTTTTTGCCCTCAACTCGCTGGTGATTAGGTGTTCTGTGCTCTTCTGTTGGCAGCTACTCAAGCACGGCTGTCAACTAACACGCTGCGGCCACAACCCTTGATGCGGAGGCGGCTGTTGAGACATATTTACAGACTACGCCAACTACTCTACAAGATCTGTTTGGGTCAACTCAATCTCAAACAACTGATATTGTAATCGTTGTTCTCGCTCGCCCTTGCCTCCATCTCCCATCTCCCGCACACCACCTAAACAGACACCACCCACCAACGACCTACTCGCACACGGAATGGCCCTCTCCAAGAACCCCGCCCTCACGAGATTCCTCTCCGACTTCACCCTCGGCTTCTCTGACGGTCTGACTGTGCCATTTGCCCTTACCGCGGGCCTCAGCTCTCTGGGCAAGGCCGACACCGTCATCTACGCGGGCCTCGCCGACCTCTGCGCCGGCAGCATCAGCATGGGCATCGGCGGCTACCTCTCCGCCCTCGACGAGCTGCCCGCGTCGCCGACCAACGACGACGGAAACGACGACGAGGAGCTACGCGGCATGCTTCGCCGACGCAGTAGCGACGATGACGGGAATGCCGCCGCGTATGAAAAGGGCGACGTGACCACCCAGCAGGAACTGGTCGTCCTGCGCCACCTCGAGCCGCTCTGCCTGTCCGCGACCATGGCAGCCAACGTTGTCGCCACGCTTCGCGGTCAATCAGGCGGCCTGGACCGCGCCGTCGCCGGCATCGAGACGCACAACGACGACGTGGTCGGCACCGTCGACGCGCCCCTGCCCATCTGGCCCTTCGCCTCGGGCCTCTCCATTGCGCTGGGCTACGCCATCGGCGGGGCCATCCCGCTGCTGCCGTACCTCTTCGCCGCTACCGTCGGCCTCGGCCTGCGCTGGAGCATCGGCCTCTGCCTGGCGGCGCTGCTGTCGTTTGGCGCCGGCAAGAAGTGGCTGCTGGGCGGCGAGCGCGTCCGCTGGCAGCAGTGCGCCTGGTCGGGGCTGCAGATGCTGGCTCTGGGCAGCGTGGCGGCCGCGGCAGCGGTGGCGGCAGTGCATCTGCTGGGCTCGGTTACGGAGACGCCGTGATGTGCAGGAACGGGGTTGGGGTCAAGCGGCAGGGTGACGGTGATGACGTTATGGAGCATGGAACGGCGTTTACTTGGCTTTGGCGTTTTGCTCGGCAACGGTGGGCCGTATGAGCTTTAGAGAGTCTACTGTATATGCATTGGTATAAAAGTATAAATTATTCACTAATATTTTTCGGATCAAAGACATGTAAAAGATGATGAGTGAATCGTCGGGAAAAAAGTGATGCACGGCTTCACATCCCTGTAAAGCTAGCACTTTCAATTAGTACGCAAGTACGTTCCTCCAGAGCTTCCGTCTTCTCCAGTCAAATTATATGACCATTCCATCTAATTATCATCAATTTTAAGCATGACCGATGTAAAATCATCGAACTCTCCTTTTGAATACTAGTAATTATTCAAAGCCTATAAATCCATCTTTGAGCACACATGCTCGGCTGATCTTATCTGCCTTGTAAGTTGTGCAACGAGCATCTGGCGTGATGCCCCACCAAAAAAGGACGATCTACCATCGCCGTCTTGAGAGCTGCCATCTTCCAAGCTCTCCTTCACCATCATACATCATCCCAAACCAATTAGCCACGGACCACTTCACCAGCCATGAATGTTGGCCGTGTCGTCTCGTCCAACTCCCGACTTGTCTGCCGCGGCTGCTCTCGCCGTCTGACGCCCGCCGTCCGTCGCGCCTACTCTGCTTCTGCGGCCCCCGCCCAGGACATTTACGATGTCGTGTGCGTCGGCGGCGGCCCTGCGGGCCTGAGCCTTCTCACCGCTCTTCGTACGAAGACGCCTTTATCACCAACGTTAATGTTGCAGCTTCACTGACGTTGATGGCACTGCAGGCGCGAACCCCGTCACCGCAAACCTCCGCGTCGCCCTCGTCGAGGCGCAGGATCTGTCCAAGGTCGCAGCCTTTTCGCTCCCGCCGACGCAGTACTCGAACCGCTGCAGCTCGCTGACGCCCTCGTCGGCGCAATTTCTCAATGAGATTGGCGCGTGGTCACACATGCAGCGCGACCGCATCCAGGCATTCCAGGAGATGCAGGTCTGGGACGGCGTCACGGGCGCCCGCATCGAGTTTGACTGGCAGCACCGCGGCGCCGGCGCCGTCGGCGACACTCTGGCGTACATGACGGAAAATCTCAACACTACGTCGGGATTGTTGAAGCGCCTGCAGGAGCTCGGCGGAGTGACGATCCTGGACAAGTCGCGCGTGGAGGGCATCACCTTGGGAGAGGAGTCGGAGGACCTGGACCTCAGCGGCTGGCCGGTCGTGCACCTCGCAGGCGGCAAGTCCCTCGCGGCGCGGCTGCTCGTAGGTGCGGATGGCGCGAACAGTCCCGTACGGGCGTTTGCGGGCATCGAGGCCCGCGGCTGGGATTATAACCGACACGGCGTCGTCGCCACGCTCGAGCTCGAGGGCGAGGGCTGGGGCGGCGCCCACACCAAGACGGCCTACCAGCGCTTCCTCCCGACGGGGCCTGTTGCCATGCTGCCCATGCCGGGCCGCTACGCGACGCTCGTCTGGTCCACGACCCCGGACAACGCCGCCATCCTCAAGGCTCTGCCCGCGCATGATTTCCTCGCTCTCGTCAACGCTGCATTCCGCCTGCCGCCTGTCGACGTGGCTTACATGCACACACAGACGGGCGGCGGACAGCAGGAGGAGCTTGCATGGCGCACGCAGCACACGCCGTTTGACGCGCACGCCATCCCGCAGGCCGCCGTGGCCGTGCAGGACGGCAGCGTCGCCTCGTTCCCGCTCAAGCTGCGCCACGCCGACACCTACATTGGCGAGCGCGTCGCGCTCGTCGGCGACGCTGCGCACACGATCCACCCGCTCGCCGGACAGGGCCTCAACCAGGGCCAGGGTGACATCCAGAGCCTCGCCCGCGCGATCCAGTACGCCGTGGAACACGGCCAGGACCTCGGCACGCAAATGGCCCTGGAGCCGTACAACAGTGAGCGCTACGCAGCCAACAACGTCGTGCTCGGCGTCTGCGACAAGCTGCACAAGCTGTACTCGGTCGAGAGCGGCCCGCTCGTGCCGCTGCGGTCGCTGGGGCTGCGCGCCGTCAACGGACTGTCGGCGCTCAAGGGATTCTTAATGGATCAGGCGTCGGGGACGGGCGCCAAAGTGTTTTGAGCGCTGGTTCTGCGTCAGTGGCAGATTCGCTTCGTGTATAAACAATCATGTACAAAAATAAAGAATGACAGTCACCTGCACTAGCCATTCTGCTTACAACTCGCTCACGATTTTGCTATAGAAGATGGTGCAGATTTATGATAGACTGAAAGAGACGTTTTGTTGCGGAGTATATACTGATTCTCCTAGCCAGCTATGACTACAGACAAAGGAAAATTAAAAACCATTCTACATTGCTACGCCCCCGTCTAGAATCTTTTACCGATCAACCTCACCTAGAGAATCGTTAGTCAATGCTTCATTATGCGATCCATCAGAGAAAACTCACCGAACACGAGATCCATGGTACCAATAACAGCGACAGCATCGGCGAGCAAGTGACCCTTGGCGACGTGGTCGAAACCGCCCAGATGGGCGAAGCCCGGGGCGCGAATGTGGCATCTGTATGGGCGCTCGCTACCGTCGGAGACAACGTAGACGCCCATCTCGCCCTTGGGGGCCTCAATGGCGGAGTAGGTCTCGCCGGGCGGCACGGCGTAGCCCTTGGTGTAAAGGAGGAAGTGGTGGATAAGGGCCTCCATGTTCTCCTTCATGGCGGAGCGGGGAGGGGGCGAGATCTTGTAGTCCTCGACGCGGACGGGACCGGCGGGCATCTGGTTGAGGCACTGGTGGATAATGCGTAGCGACTGGCGAAACTCCTCCATGCGGCACAGGTAGCGGTCGTAGCAGTCGCCGTTGGTGCCGACGGGTACATCAAATTCCACCTTGTCATAGGCGTCGTAGGGCTGGCTCTTGCGGATATCCCAGGGCACGCCGGAACCGCGCAACATAACGCCGGTAAAGGACAGATTTATAGCCTCGCGGGCGGGGAGGACGCCTACGCCGCGCAGACGCTCGATCCAGATGCGGTTGTCCGTGAGCATCTCTTCGGTCTCGTCGATGCGGTCGCCAAACTGGGTGGCCCACTGGTAAATGTCGTCGAGGAGGCCGACGGGGATATCCTGATGGACACCGCCGGGGCGGACGTAGGCCGAGTGAAGGCGGGCACCGGAAACACGTTCGTAGAATTCCTAATCAACAGTCAATTGCGTGGATTGCGTAAAAGGCGCAGCGTTGTCGGCAGCTTACCATGAGCTTCTCACGCTCCTCGAACCCCCACAGGAAAGGCGTCAAGGCGCCGACGTCCATGGCGTGCGAGAGGACGGACATGAGATGGTTCAGAATACGGGTGATTTCGCCAAACAGGGTGCGGATGTACTTGGCACGGTCGGGGATCTCAACGTTGAGCAGCTTCTCGACGGCGAGGGCGAAGCACTGCTCGTTGGTCATCATGGAGACGTAGTCGAGGCGGTCAAAGTACGGTAGCGCCTGGAGGTACGTCTTGTACTCGATGAGCTTCTCGGTGCCGCGGTGTAGCAGGCCGACGTGGGGGTCGGCGCGGATGATTTCCTCGCCATTGAGCTCGAGAATCAGGCGTAACACGCCGTGAGCGGCAGGATGCTGGGGGCCAAAGTTGACCGTGTAGTGCCGGACCTTGCGGTCCTCGACCGAGTTCTCCTTGGACCGGCGAGACTTTTTAGGCTCGGCGTTGTGGAGCCCGTAGATGTTTTCGTTGATGGCAAAGTCCTCGTCGACGGGGACTAGCCGGGTGCCGACGTGCTCGGCCGTGGCGTACCTGCGCGTACACGTCGTCGATAAGGGGCGGGTAGCGGCTGTGCGGAAGGCGGCGGCGGCAGGACGGATGGCCAGCCTCGTGGCAGCGCCGCGGGCGGCCAGTCTCTGCAACGTAGCCATGGCGGGAAAGACGGAGGATCCGGGGGCGAAAAGACGACAGAGCGGCGTATGTGGAATCGGGTCGAGAAATCGGGCAGTTCGTTTGGGGTGTCGGGGGAGCTGAGAGGATCTCACAGAGCCTCTTCCTCGAAGTCAATGGCTGATCCAGTCGAGGGATAGCACCGCAAAGGCAATTGACCGATGAATATCGAGGAGCCTTTGGAGTCGTGGTGGTCGAGCTGTTTCGCGAAAGTGTAGCTTGCTGAGTGCGAGTGGATTCCCGCAAAGGCCCGGATATTTGTTGATGCGTGGGGATGCGGCCAATCACGACAGGAGCATTAGCACATTCATTGACAAAACCTGGCCAAATTAGGTACAAGGAATTGCGCGGTAAATGCTCACTAAATTGGGGTACTTCAGCCAAGCAATACTAGAATGACACTGCTACTTAACTAGTATATACGGCCATAGGCAAGTATAAAATATCACGTCTAAACAGTAATTATTAGTAGGTAATAAGTACGGCCATTAACCTTGAATATAATAACCGATACATATTTTCTTAGACATATTGTTCGCTTTCTTGAGCAGACACATCCACCCACATACAGCGCCGTCTCCCCGCGGGGAAGAGTTAGACCCCCCCCCCCCCAGAGCCTTGCTCAGCCTTCATTAACAGTGAGTAGAAAGCGCAGCGGAGAGGAAGGAAGGAAGCGGGCGCATGAACTGTTTGCGATGCGATGAAGCAACCCTGTTCCTTATCCAGCCACATGACAAGGCTGTCGTCAGCCAGTTGGCAATGTTGGCAATGCCATCAACGCTCGATCAGCTTCAGCTTGGCGAGCGATCTTGGACTCGGACGATACGACATTGCCTCTGATCCTTTCAGGATCTGTCAGAGTCAACAGACCATATTTCTCAAACGTTCTTCGCGATGAACTCGACGAGCACGTCTTCCAATTGCGATGCCTCGCTAGGCCCAACGGCGAGCCACTGCGGGGCAGCGTCGCGATTCGACTTTACCGTTGCCTTTGAGCACTCTGCCCTTTCCATCACTCCCTATGTCATTTTCTTGAGCGCCGCCATACCGCGACTTTTCTATCTCTGGAAGCATAATCGCAAAGTAGCCGGCCGGCCGCTCCACCTCGTCAAGCTCGCGAGTCGTCCCACACTCCTTTATATCTAACTTCCGACTGACCGTTTCTACCAGATCATCGGCATCACTTTTGTTGCTCTCCAGCTCACCGTACTTGTTTCCTGGTCTCTATATCATGGCCCCGTCTACTCTAGGTTTGGTATTGTCTCATCCGCACTGGGCCTGGCGACGGCGCTCGTCATGGCTGCGCTCAGCTACCTTGAGCATGAGCGCACTGTCAGGCCTTCCACCGTCCTCTGTGTTTACCTTTTATTGTCCATTCTCTTTGATGCCGCACAGTGTCGCACTCTCTGGCTGCTCCACGCGCAGCAACCCGCGCAGCAGCGCGCCCTGCTTCCCGCGCTCTTCACGGCGCAGCTCGCCAATAAGGTCCTAATGCTGCTCGTCGAGTGTCTCGGCAAAACGCGCTATCTTATGGGCCCCTGGCAGGCGCTGAAGCGCTGTCCTGAAGCCGTGGCCAATGTCTTCAGCCGATGCTCGTTTTGGTGGCTGAATGACTTGCTCACCCGCGGCTTCAGCGCGACGCTAGACCTGGATACGCTGTATGAAACAGACGAGGCACTACGCTCCTCAAAGCTCGTCTCTGAGTTTCAGGGGCGTATAGTGGAAACAAAACCATCCAAATATAGGCTGCCGTTGGTCATCGCGGCATGCCTCAAGGTGACGCTCATCAAGACGGTCATTGCGCGAGTGTTTGTGACTGGCTTCAAGTTCGCTAAGCCATTCTTACTTCAATACATTATTACATTCGTGCAAAACGACCAGAAGGGTGGCGAATACCACAAGGACATTGCCTTCGCTCTTATTGCGGCGACTGGGCTGTTGTTTATTGGCACGGCGGTACGTACTGCGATTGCAACACTACGCGGCTGTGTACTAACTCCGGCGAACATAGGTAGCGACCGGGTTCTATAACCACCACCTGAACCGCAGTCTTGTCATGATTCGTGGGGGCCTCATCTCGCTCGTCTGCACCGAGTCCCTGGGCGTCTCTACGGCTGTGGCTTCCGAGATGGCTACGCTCACGCTGATAGGACCGGATGTCGAAGTCGTCTGCAACGCCTGCTCCGGCGTGCACGACCTTTGGGCGAATCCCGTTGAGATTGGTCTCGCCACTTGGCTTCTGGCTCGGCAGCTGGGAGTCGGCTGTGTCGGGCCCGTTGCCTCTGCGCTACGTAAGATCGCGTCACTCCATACCTCTGCTAAAATCATCTCACGTGCTGACATTTGCGTAGTCTGTTTCATTCTCATGAGTCAGCTCCCGAAGCGCATGGGGCCGGCCATCAAGGCCTGGAACGTCGCCATTCAAAAGCGGGTGTCCGTCACATCACGAGTGGTCGGCTCCATCCGAGAAACAAAGATGCTGGGCCTGGTGCCAGTCTGCCTCGACTACATCCAGTCCCTTCGCGTCTTTGAGCTCAAAGAGTCGAGGCAGTTCCGCATGCTCATTGTGTATATGAACCTTTTAGGTATGTAGCAGAGGCGTATGTCGAAGGCCGTGACCAAGTTGACGGTATATCAAGGCAATCTGAGCCCTTCTTTGGCTCCCATCTTAACGTTTGGTATTACTCTTGCCGCCAAACGCCACGCTGCTAATAGTGGCCTCGACATCTCTACAGTCTTCACATCACTGTCCATTATGGGCTTACTGATGTCTCCCTTGGCCAACCTGCTCTCTTCTTTCCCCAGCTTTGTTAGTTCTTTGGGTATCTTCGAGCGTTTCGAGGATTTACTCAAGCAGACCAAATTTCACGACACAATTGTGAACCATAACCGTGATCGTGGCACTGCTCCTTCGAAGAGCACACACTCTGTCATTGAGCTCAGTCGCATACCTGAAAATCGCATCACTCTGCGCAAGGCTTGCCTTTCAGCCGAGATTGGCGGCGAGGCTCTTCTGCACGACATTGATCTGACTATCAAACCTGGAGAACTTTGCGTCGTCTCCGGCAAAGTCGGCTCTGGTAAGAGTCTTCTCTTGCAGGCACTTCTTGGTGAGCTCCCGGTCGTCGATGGCAATGTTCATATTGATGTGGCTCGATTTGGATACTGCTCCCAATCGGCCTGGCTCTTTAAAGGGACCGTTCGCGACAACATTGTAGGCTGGACGACGTCCGATTTTGACGAGACGCGGTACAACACCGTCATCAAGGCATGCGATCTGGTCAAGGACCTTGCTCAATTAAGTGATGGTGACATGACGGTTCTGTCAACCAAAGGTGACTCCTTGAGTGGTGGTCAGAGACATCGTGTGGTAAGCTTCTGACTCTGCATCCCTGTATAATCCTTCAATATTAACAGCAATGTGTCTCAGGCACTTGCACGGGCTCTTTACGCCGCACCGCCTGTCTTTGTGATTGACGATATTTTTGCGAGTTTGGATCCGACGACGCGAAGATATGTCTGGGAGCAAGTTTTTGGCCCATTGGGCCTTGCGCGAGCGCTCGGTAGCGCTGTGATCATTGCTACCCACTCAGGTGAGTTCCCGCCTTTTCAAGCACGCATATCTCCTGCTGACGTTTCGCAAGTGCACATCATGGAGCGAGCAGAACACGTTGTTATAATGGAACATGGCCGCATATTACGACAAGGCCCTTACACAGCCGCTCCTATCCAAAAATACCCCGCCCAGGGAAATAATACGGGCTCTAGCGACGAACAACCGAAACAGACGCCGGCAGCGGCGAACAGCACGAATGACGCCGCGGTAAGCAAGGAAAAAGACATTAAGCAGCAAATTGACGACCTAGTGCAATCGCAGGGTGACACGTCGCTATACTGGTACTACTTCAAGTCTGTTGGGTGGAAATATGGTCTTATAGGACTATCGCTTGCTACGAGTGTAGAGGTGTTCCTTGTTATGGGGCGTAAGTTTGGATGAGAAACCTTCATAGATAGGATTTACCACTAACATGAAATGCTAGAAATTTGGCTGAAATGGTGGACCGAGTCCAACTTTTCCGGCAACAAAATTAGCGACGCTATGTACTACGGTGTATATTGCCTATTCGGTTTGGCAAAGCTTATCTCGTTGGGGTTTGACGTTTGGTAAGCCATACATATGTGAATACTCTGCAAAAAGCTAGGCTGAATGGTTCTAGGTTCATGTTCATTGTGATTATCCCCAGATCAGCTCGCAAGCTTCACTGGAAATTGCTCCGAACTACGTTGCAGTGCGTTTCCAGTCCTATTGAGCCACATGACTACTGACAATGCTCTCCTAGGGCTCCAATGTCATTTTTCGCATCCAAAAGCATCGGCAGTCTTGTCAACCGATTCAGCCAGGACATGACCCTCGTTGACCAAGATCTGCCCATCGCCGTCTTTACTTCTCTCAAGGGTCAGCTGAACATCACAACCCCCCCTTAAATACTAACTCATCAGCTAAACAAACGACGCCAGGTTTATTATCCGTTATCGGTTCCGGTGCTCTCGTCATGCTCGGCTCCGCTTACCTCGCAGCTACCATCCCGGCTGCGCTGGCCCTCCTCTACGCCCTGCAAAAGTTCTACCTGCGCACTTCGCGCCAGCTACGTCTCTTGCAACTCCGCGCCTCGACCCCTTTATTCTCGTACCTCGTTGAGAGCGCCGAAGGACTCGCCACCGTCCGCGCCTTTTGCTGGGAGATTCCTCTACAGCACCAGGCCGTGTCCCTAGTCGACCGCTCCCAGCGTCCGTACTATCTGCTGTATGCCATTCAGCGCTGGCTGGCGTTTGTCTTGGACATGATGGTGGGCGGGTTGGCCGTGATACTTGTCGCGCTGGCCGTTGTGGTGCGGCAGTCCGGACCCGGGAGCGTGGCCGTCTCGCTTTTTAACGTCTTGGGCTTTAGCACTGTGCTGGCGCAGCTCGTCACATCCTGGACACAGCTCGAAACGTCGCTAGGCGCAATTGCGAGGCTACGAACGTTTGAGCAGACGACGCCGCGGGAGCTGCAGAAGCCAGGCACAAAGGAGCCGCCGTTCGACTGGCCCTCGCGGGGCGCAATCGAAATTCGCAACCTCTGGGCCTCATACAGGAGCTCTAATCTGGCGCCGGCTACTGCATTCGATCCAAGCACTAGTGTATTTTCGGATGCGCCAATCGGCGAGAATGATTTGCCAGTGCTGCGGCAGCTCACTGTGTCCATCCGACCTGGAGAAAAGGTCGCTATCCGCGGGCGCACTGGTAGTGGTAAGTCCTCACTCGTGCTCACGCTCTACCAGCTCCTCCGCTATAGCGGCACTACAATAATCGACGGTGTCGATATCTCTCTCGTGCCACTCGACACGCTCCGCACGCGACTCATCAGCGTACCGCAAGAACCCTATCTTTTCCCCGCCACCATTCGCTTTAATCTCCGCCCAGGCGCCTGTTCGTCTTCCGCCGACGACGAAAAGCTGCTAGATGCATTGGCTCAAGTCTCGCTCAGAGACACTGTCCTCGCCGTTCCAGGCGGACTCGACGCCAACGTCGCTGACGTATGCCTTTCACAAGGGCAGAAGCAGCTCTTCAGCCTCGCGCGCGCGCTCGTTATCAAAAACGACCGGGAGAGCTCTGGTGGGATCCTGGTACTCGACGAGGCTACGAGCGCGATGGATACTGCGACAGAGCGCTTGATGATGGATGTAGTTGAGGGTGCCTTTGCGAATTACACGGTACTGGCGGTGGCGCACCGGCTTGAGAGCGTGCGTCAGTTTGATAAAGTGCTGGTGTTGGATCAGGGTGTGCTAGTGAGGATTAGTACACCTACCGAATTGATCAGGGAGGATAGCGAGGTATATGACCCCTATAAAGATGTTTAATATGTGTTCGAACAGTACGTACGCCTGTTGTGTGGCGGCAAGGGTGAGCTGAGCTGCAGGCCGGAGCGGATAGGCAACCTCGTACATCTACTACTTGACAACTACCTCCATATCCAGGTGGTAGCGAATAAGAGATGCATGGAGAAACGTTTTGATGAAGCATATTGGTACTATGATGCCAGTAGGAAATGGCGTGTGAGCCCGGTTTCGAATTCGGGTAGCTTGCTTGCTCTCGATATTTATCATCAATAATAGTCAAGATTCTCAGAAAAGGCCTTGGCGCTGAAATCCAACTTGACTGCAGGCACCAAAGGCTGCGACGTGTGTCAGGTGCATGCGATCTGGAGAATAGCCAATCAATGTACGAGTACTCGATGTACGGGTACCGAGAGTAGCTTCAATGTACGAGTACTCGATGTACGGGCACCGAGAGTAGCTTCAATGGCCAGAAAGGTATTGTTTAATCTCTGCCAAAGCTGTGGTTGATTGGCCTCGAAGCTGTCACGGCTGTTGTGCGAGGTAGTAATGTACTCCACTGACGAACCATTTCCACTCAATCTGTTGCAAGCTTGTTCGGCTGTCAGCCGGAAGCCCACCGCGGACCGCTTGTTGCCACAGACAACGGCGCGAACAACACCACCGACGACTGGCTGCCCACTCTATCATTTTTTTCGTTTTTTTTTTTCCTCGGGCAACATTTCATCACCATCTAGCCGCACGCTGGCATTTTTCTTGCCTTTCGTCATCTCTTACTGCTGAGCAGAAGATCTTTCTCCCCCCCCCCCCAATCAGAGGACAGATATCTTCTCCTCTGCTAGCCTGCATCTGCTGCCAATCAGCTCCAGTCCACTATTGACCCGTGTGCTTTAGCTGTGTCTCAGGTGCCCGAGCTGCACCTCGATTTGGCCACGCTACTACAGCTGCCAAACCGGATTTCCGGCGCCGCCCCTATCATACAAGCATTTCACTCCTTCAAATCCGGCATCGTCACGCAGAATTCGCTCATCATGGCCGACTCGGACGATTATCTGCAGGACGGCTTTAATCCGCGCAGCGTCACCATTCCACGTTTGCGATCCATCCTTGTCACGCACAACATTGATTATCCATCCACTGCAAAGAAGACACAGCTCGTCGCTCTGGTCGAGGAACACGTTTTGCCTCAGGTCCCCAAGCTGCGAGCTCAGCGAGCTCGCGCAAAGCGCTCCAGTCTTGGCATCGTAAATGCCGGCAGTGCGCAAGATAACGGGCTCTGGGATGATGACGAGCTTTCGCCACCCCGCCCTACCTCGCGACGTTCGAAGTCTCCACGCAAGAGTTCCGCGCGTATCAAAGTCGAGGAAGAGGAGCCTGCTACCCCTTCATTCCGAGATGAGCCTAGGCGTAACTTGCGCGCATCACGCTCGGCTAGCAGGCAGCTCTCCCACGGCCCGGAGGATGATGCCCACCTCTACGCTGCACCTGCTTCTTCTCGCCGTTCCAGTCGCCGAACCGTCACGCCTCAAATAAAGCCTGAGCCTGTGCCCGAGCCCGAATTTGAGCCAGAACCCGAAGTTGAGGAGCAGGAGGATGAGTCCGAAGAAGATGAAGAGGAGAATATCGAGACGGAGGATTTTGGAGAGGAATCGACACAGTACGAAGAAGAGCCGAGCGTCTTTACCGATGAAAACCCCTTCCAAGGCGGAAGCTCTCCACCTCCAGTGCAGACGCCCAACCGCCGGAGAACCGTGAGCGTCGAGCCCGTAAAGAGCGCAAAGTCTGCTCGTCGTCGTACAGCGCTTGGAACAGAATCCACTCGCACCTCGAGACGGTTTGAAATGGCGACACCCCCTAGCCGCTACAAAACCCCAGACCATCTGCTCGAGCCGGGCGAAGAGTTCACTCCCGACGAGCAGTTGGAGCTTGAGGATGAAGCAGCTAGCGGCGACGTAGCAGCTATACACCGACAGGCCGTCGTGAAACGCAGGCCCCGTCGCAACATCAAGACTCCCTTCTTTGTACTCTTGATGGCGCTTTTTGGCGCTTATCTTGCCTGGTTTCGACAGGAAAAGATGGCTGTTGGATACTGTGGCCTAGGACGGCCTGCGAAACAGATTATTCCGCCAGAGATTCCCGTCCCAGACATTATTATGCCCTTTATTGAGCCAGAGTGTGAAACGTGCCCCCAACACGCCTTCTGCTACGAGGACTTTACCGTCCGATGCCAGGATGATTTCATTTTGAAGCCGCACCCACTTGCCCTCGGCGGACTTATTCCTCTGCCGCCCACTTGCGAGCCTGACAGTGAAAAGGCTCGACGTGTACAGGCAGTTGCTGACAAGGCCATCGAGGAACTCAGGGATCGTCGTGCAAAGTACGAGTGCGGAGAGTTGACAAACGATGCTGGCGAACAGCAAGACTCTCCCACTATTGCCGAGGAGGAACTCAAGGCTACTGTTAGTCAGAAGCGCAATAAGCGCATGAACAGCCAAGAGTTTGACGAGCTTTGGGAAGCTGCCATTGGCGAGATTACCGGCCGAGATGAAGTCGAGGCTCAAACGACGACGCCCGAGTAAGTCTTCCATTGTTTTTATGTTACCGCTGCATCCCCTTGTAGCAGCGCGTGCCCCGAGGAATCCACGTTCTGACCAGATACACTAATCAGATCCCCACCTGATCCTACAGATCGCCCAATTCCCCCAGTGTTCCAATTCGAAAGTTATCGTCCACCTCTCTCGCTCGCCTTCCGTTCCGCTGCGCGGTCAAACGATCCATCCGCAGCGGACTGGCAAGATATCGACTCCCAATTGGACTTTTGAGCATGCTTGTCCTTGGTGTACTATATCTTAGAGCCAGCTACCGCAAGCACCTCGCTACCTCTGCTCAGATTCCGGCTCTTGTGGACACCGTACTGGGGAGACTGGCCAATCAAAAGGAGCTCGGTGATGAGGATCTAGACGAGCCCTATCTGTTTCTGCCTAACCTGCGAGACGACGTTCTCCGCTCTGTCCACTCGCTGGCCGAGAGAGACCGCATATGGCAGCGCGTACGAGCTGTGGTAGAGCAGAACAGCAATGTTCGCACAAGCCAGAGAGAAGGTCGCAGCGGCGAGGTCGGCCGCGCTTGGGAATGGATTGGCCCTAGCAAGGGTGAGGGTGCGAGACGACGACGCAGCGGGCGGGTCTCGTGGGCACCGTCGGACATGGGCGAAGAGACGCCCGAGTCTAAACCAGATGTTCAAGTCAAAAAAGAAGTCAAAGAGTGGGATGAGCCAAGGCCGATCTATTAATCAGATATCAGAATAGTGTGCCCCGCCTATTTTTGACTGGGCAGAGATGTACATTTGTATTATTGTATCACTGTAATGTTACCAGCTTGATCCTATACTACCATAATTAACCCATTCAATTTCTTTGTTTTTGCGCCAAAGCGCTTTTGCAACATCAAGGCTTTGCAAAGTGCATACGTTGGCAAGGTATTGGCCTTGACTCGAGGATCTACCCACGAATCAGACTCTTAATACGGCCATCAACGCAATCCACACAACATTCACGTCAAAAACATCGGATCATTATAGAGAGACTTCAAGTCTCGTTGTATTGCTAATGCACAAGTGTTGATATATGCACAAATGGTGTTGTGACAAAGGGGATAGGTGGGCCTTGTTATCTATTCTAGACGAGCCGCTTATTGGGCCTTGGAGCTGACGATCTCTGCAAGTAACTTGAATTAGCTCGCGATTCATGAAACAAATCTGCACGGTTGCAACATACTCTCGACGTCAGCGACGCTCTGCTGCAGGATCTGCTGCAGAACCTTGGGGTTCTCGAGCTCCTTCTTGACCTTGGCGATGATGGACTGGGCGAGCTCCTTCTGCTGGCGCTGCTTGACCTGGCCCTCATAGCGGACCCAGGAGTCGAGGACGGTCTTGGCCTCGGCGGCCAAAGCAGTCTTTTGCTCGAGCTCGAAAGCCTGAGCCTCGAGCTTGGCGGTTTCCTACAACGCACGTGCCAAGTCAGCAATTCGATTCGTTACTGGCCGTAATCCCGTCCCCATTCATCAAGAATCCGTCCCCGTCGTAGTCGCTTACCTTGGAAACCTCAAACATGGCCTTGGTGATGTCGACGACGCCGCTCATCTGCTTGACGCCCTCGATGCGGGTCTTGACGGCCTCGGTGTGGTCGGCGCGGGCCGAGTTGAGAATGTTCTTGATCTTGTCGTTCTGGCTCTGCGCCCACTCCTTGTAGGCCGGGCCGCCATACTTGATGAGGCCGCCCCAGATGGAGAGCAGGCAGACGGCGATGACCGTCTCCTCGTTCATGACGTAGTACTCGCTGCTGAGGGCGTAGATGCTGAGGCCGGCGCCGGAGCTGAGGATGGCCGTCTTGCTCAAAAGGCTGTTGCCGGGAAGGCTGTCGAGAATGCTCTGCGCCTTCTTCTTGGGCTCCTCGGCCGGCACATTGCTGGTGCTCGCATGGCGGGCGGCAGCCAGAGCAGGGAAGGCTCGGCGGGCGATGGTAGGTCGGAGGTAAGGAGCGGCGCCTGCGCGGATGGGGGATGGTCCCCCGAGGGGTTAGTATCGCGGCCAATTGGCCTCGGAAAGGGCGAAAAGTGCGCAAATCGACGTACCGGCAGCGCTTCGCGCCAAGCGGGAGGCCATTGTGAGATGAATTCGACGGTCGACGGGGGGGTACGGGGTAAACGTGTCGTTGATCGGGAGCTTGGGAATGTGATTTGAGGTTTTATCGCGCTAACTTCTCGGGATGCTGAGGGTGATCACGTGATGTAATTGCTGTCTACTGCGCTACACCCACACTCTGATGGCAGCGCTCCTCGGCATTACGTTCTGGGGGTTTAGCCGACTCTTTCCCGCGCATTGAACCCACTATTGTCTGATTGGCCCAAGCTTAAGTGCTAAGCCAAAAGATTTCATGGATCTTTAGCTTATCGATATAACTTTTTTATCCCAGTTCACTGTGATAATTCGCCATACCAGCACCGCAAAATTGTTTCAATCTAATTACAGGGCTTACTAGAAGGCCAGTTCAAATCGCCGGATTGTCTCGCAAGGTATTTCACTCGCTCGACGTGGACTGCTCTCGCCACTTCAACTTCCATCATGGCTCCCACGGGCCAAACAAGCAGCTCCAAGCGCAAGCGTAGTGCTCCCGCGGAAAAGATCACGAAACGTCAACGTGCCACCTCCAGTGAGGATGAGGAGGACCCGAATGCCGAAATCCTGCTTTTGGAGCAGGGAATTCTCGAGTCTAAAAAGAACTATAACAACATTGCCGTTCTTCTTCGAAAGGCCGCAGACTTCACACCTGGCAACCCAGAGGCTATGTTGTCGACTGTCGCACTTTGCCGCATCTTCATGAGACTCTTGGCCCAGGGCTCTCTTGTATCCAAGAAATCCTTCTCGGAAAAGGAACAAGTTGTCGTAGGATGGCTGCGGGACCAGTTTGGTCAGTTCAAGAACGTCCTGCTGGATCTGCTCGGTGAAGATGATGTCGCCATTACCGCTCTCACCCTTTGCATGCGAACTTTAAAGGCAGAAGGGGAGTTTCTCAGAGACGAGTCAGTCTATGCGTTCCCTCGCGACTTTTTAGGGAAAGTTGTCAAGAACATCATCGCAAGTGAGAACGATGAGGTCCGCAAGATGTACATCGAAGAATTTGCGGAACAGTACGATGATATTCGCTACTATACGTTTGCTTCTGTGGCGTAAGTCAACACAATTTTACAATCTTTGTCTTTGCTAAATTTGTGTCCAGCTCCGGAATCAAAGATTTCGCGGACGACCAGCATAAACTGAAATCGAGGCTCTTCGAGAGCGCTTTTGCACTTCTCTCTGTACTGGACGGCGTGCCGAGCTCGGCAGATGAGTTGGAGGACTTCTACGTTCACAAGCCGGAGAAGAAATCGCATTATCTGCGCCAGCCCAACCAGCACAAAAAGCAAGGTCAGGAAGCTTGGCTTGCCCTCATGAATATCGTTGAAACCAACGACCAGCGCAAGCGCTTGCTGGCGCTAATTGCTGATGTCATCGCGCCCTGGTTTGCCACGCCTGAGATGCTCTCCGACTTCCTGACAAGCTGCTACGATGCGAGTGGATCGATCGCACTCCTCGCCTTGTCTGGTGTCTTTTTTCTCATTCGAGAGCGCAACCTTGACTACCCTTCTTTCTACACCAAGCTATACTCTCTCCTCAACAGCCAGATTCTGCACTCAAAATATCGTGCGCGCTTCTTCCGACTTTTGGACACGTTTCTCGGCTCGACTCATTTGCCCGTCGCTCTCGTCGCCAGCTTCTTGAAGCGACTTGCTCGCCTGTCGCTGAATGCGCCTCCAAGTGCCGCGGCCTTTGTCGTTCCGTGGATTTACAACATGCTCAAGAAGCATCCGTTGTGCACATTCATGCTTCATAGGGAAACGAAAGATGAAGAGGTAAAGAAGGAGCTCCGGGAGCACGGCATGGAGGACCCTTTTCTGGCCGACGAAAGCGACCCAATGAAGACCCAGGCTATTGAGAGCAGTTTTTGGGAGCTTGTCCAACTACAGTCGCATTATCACCCCAACGTCGCCACTATTGCAAAGATTGTGGCGGAACAGTTCACCAAGCACTCGTACAACATGGAAGATTTCTTGGACCACTCTTATGCAAGTTTATTGGACGCTGAGATGGACAAAGACGTGAAGAAGGCGCCCGTCGTCGAGTTTCACATTCCAAAGAGAGTATTCCTGCCGCAGGATGACGCTGCAGGAACTCCCGACAGTCTTTTGGTGAAGCTCTGGGATTTCCAAACCGTTGAGGCTTAGTGGCTCTAGCGGTAAGGGCGAAAGATTACCAAGAAACTGTATTCGAATGGGCATAAGCGACATTATCTGCATTGTATTTGGAGTTTATTTTGGTTGGGAAACTGTTTTTGTATATACACCTGGCGAATTTCGTTCACAATAATTATAGACACGAATCTTATATTGCCACACAGAACAACGCTTGAGCTACTTCCCCTCCTATCGCTTGTGTTCTTGGGCTCGATCGCCATCAAGCCCAGTCTTGATTTCTGTATGCACTTCACTCATGACATGAGTCTTGACGAAGACGCACGAAACGACACCGACTACACCAAGCGCAGTGTACAGATACCAGATGTAACGAATACTATCCGAAAAGGCATCCTGCACTGCGCGCTGATATTCTGGGTTCTGAATCGTTGCCACCAAGAGCACATTGGCACCGGCGTCACTGCCTTTGAAGGAGTCGGTGATATTCGAAGGGAGCCCGGCAGCGACAAGACGTGATTGCTGCACGTTCATCCCGTTTTGGAAGAGCACACCGCCGAGGACGACGGCTACCGAGGCTGACATGCTCCGGATGAAGCCAAAGGTGGCCGTCGCAGCGGCCGTCTGACCGCCCGACACGTTTGCGTGGAGTGCCAGCAGCGGCGGGAAGAATAACATGCCCATGCCGAAGCCTAGGATGAGTTGGTACGCAATGATTTTGGCGAGAGACGACGAGCTGTCAAAGTTGATAAAGAGGCCAATGCCTAAGGCTACGAGAACATTACCGAGTCGAATGATTACAACGTATCGGCCCGTCTTGTGAATGAGGAACCCGACAGCGCCGCTCATCAACGAGGAGCTAATCACAATGGGAAGAAACAAGACACCGGAGTGCAGAGGAGACGCGAGCTTTGTGGCTTGAAAGTACAGCGGCAAGAACCAGCCCCCTCCGGTCACAACGGCAGAGTGGCAAAAGTCAATGACGAATACGGCCGAATTGTGCGCGTTTCTGAATATGTCGAGGGGCATCAGAGGCATCCTGGCGAAGCGTGCCTCGCAGTAAATGAAGAGCGGCACGGTGACAATGCCAAAGACTAGCAGGCAGATGACCTGCGCAGAGTTCCAGGCAAACGTCACGCCGCCAAAGTTGAGGCCGATGAGAAGCATGAGGGCGATGCCGAGGACGCAGACGGTGCCGCCCCAGTCAATCGCCTTGACGCCCACCATGGTCGAGGTGCGGGGGTTGTGCACGTCGAGAAAGAAGACGAGCACGAGGAAGGCGAAGCCAGTGAGGGGCAGGTTGATCCAGAAGATCCAGCGCCAGGAGAGACTCTGCGTCAGAGCGCCGCCGAGGATCGGTCCCACGGTGCCCGCGACTGTCCAGACAATCTCCAGCAGGCCAAGAAAGAGGCTTCGGCGTCTGCGTCTGGTGTTAGTTGAGTTCTGCCACCAAAAGGATACATTTGTAGGATGCGGGGAGTAAGACAAGAAAATGCATGAAAACGGCGGCAATGCCGGGGAGATTCTGCCATTTTGAAAGGAACGTACGCACCTGACACTAAAAATGTCGGAAATGATTATGTTGACCATCTGCAGCATGCCGCCTCCGGCCGTGCCCTGGACGGCCCGTCCCGCAATCAGCACGGGCATGCTCGCGGCCGCTGCGCAGACGACGGAGCTCGCAAAAAAGAGCGCCAGCGCCGACAGCAGGACAGGCTTGCGACCCCAAATGTCCGACAGGTTAGCCCAGACAGTCGACGCCGCCGCGTGGCCGAGCATGTACGCGCTGCCGACCCAGACGTAGCCGCCCGCAGAGCGCAGGTCCGACGAGATGGTGGGCAGCACCGTCGACACGATGGAGTTGTCCAGCGCGGAGCAAAAGAGCACGAGCTTTGGTTGCGATTCATCGGTCAGCGTCCTGCGCATGAGAGGAGAGAGGGGAAAGGGGGGAAAGGGAGTCCGCGCGGGGGTGTGTGTGTGTGTGTGTGCTTACCGCCAGCGCCATCATGACCAGCGAGACGCGCAAGTTGCTGCGTCCCTCCATGGTCGGCGTTTCGTTCACGGCCACAGTCATTTGCAAAGACTCGCCGACATCCTGGTTTGGGTTGTCGGCTTGGCTGAACGGTTGTGTTTGGCTCATGGTGGTTGTTTATTAGAGTTGGAAAAGGGTAGCGGGGGTTTTCGTTTTGGTGAAGATGGAAAACGCCGTGCAAGTCGTCGTTGGTAAGAGAACAAAGAAGAAGAATTCTCTGCCACCACTCGACGGGGTACAGGAACCCGCTTGTCAAAGCCCTGATATTCATGACTGGAATTTCTCAGGCCGCAAAATGGGGGAAAATTTTACATTGAACCATTTTCAGAACCCTAGGCTTTCATGAAAGAAACCAGCCAGACAAAACCGAGGAGCTGACACAAAAATGCCCGCTGAAAGTTACTGTTCAGACATTTCATTCTCTATGATTCAGTCTTTACAGTTGCTGAAATACTTTCTCTACCTCGGTACCTCTTTAAATTACTCCCTTTTTCTTATTTATAATACTATCCTTACCTATTCGATATACATAGTTGCTTGGCATCGCACTTTTATCCCATGTTGCTGTAAAGCGTGATCGTCGTCATTTTGTGTCTGGAAACAGAGACTCGGAAATGTCAAAGTTGTTCGTTTTGAAAGCAGTTCCTCCTGATAGATTTGCGTAACAATGCGACCTGATAATTCTACACTTGATTCGCCAAGTAGCTTGTATTTGCATAGGATTGAGTGGTGCATCAGCCGCTGCTGGCGGACATGCCATTTGTCTCTGTCTAAAGTCCGCAGTCGCCTATCGGCCATATACTTCTTGTCTAGCGCCATCAATTTTCCAGTCCCGCATAGGGCATGTCAATTCCAAACGTCTCGAGCAGAACATGGGACATGGGCAAGGCAGACGACCACGCTGGCTGGACGGCCAAGCCGCACAAGAAAGTCTCGCACCTTATATCAGTCGTCAGTCACTAGCTTGCCGCTTCTCTCAGTGATGGATGCCTCTTTCGCGCATGATATCTGCATGCTTCAAGCAAAACTGTTGCAGGGTCGTCCCGTCATCATGCGGTACCAGCTATCTTATGCTACCCTGGAAGAACTGATAGACGGGGCGATTCCAATAACAGGATACTCGGCATAGTTAGTTGTAGAGCTGTCTGTCTGCGATGAGTTCCAGGTGCTGATTCACAAAACGCGGTGTGTTAAGCCGCTGGTTTCAGAAATGGACCTCTGAGGTCTAGAACGGTAACCCATGACTTGCGACCGCTGGGAGCTGGTAGCTGTCTCCCTGCATGCTAACAAACCGAGCGAATGGAAAGAATACTTTTTGAGCTCAACCATGAGGCTGGCAAGAATCTTTGAAATGCTGCACTTTTCGTCGTGTGATGCTGCCTGACGATTCCAGGGCTCACACGGTTAGCTCTTCCACCGAAAGAAGTTTATACCGACTACGAGCCGCGGTTCGGGTGTGGTGATTTTGATGCTGCCAATATGTACGTGACGAGTACTTTCACTACTGTGAATCAATTACGACTTCGATGCAACGACACACCGGTAGGACTACAGCTGGTGGAACGATAGGTGAGGCAGCAAGTCTTTGGCTCGACGAAACTAGTGGCTGATGGGCTGGCAAAGAAGCAAAGTTGACGAATGAGGGTTCTGTAATGCCCGTTGATGCTGAGAGCTAGCTAGTTGGCGATGGTGTAATTATTAACTAGAACCCCTTGCAGGTCACGAAGCTGTGCAGCAAGTAGGTACCTAAGTTTCAAACAGTGCATTCGACAAAATCTGCACTGTCAAAGCACTGTAACAAGCTGCTGCAGTGGACCTCGAGCCACTCACCAAGATGCCATAATTAATTAGCGAAAGGAAAACCAACAACAGGACGAATCACGACAATTAGCTAGCAAATTCACCAGCAAGAGCGCGACACCGTGCCTTAGTTAGGTGACAGAATTCTCTTCTCATGCTGGCTGGCTGGAGCCTTCAAGAAAATCGGCAAGGACCCGCCGCCACTTAAGCCATTCTGCAGCTCTAATTGACTGTATAGAACTGAGATGGAAATCAACATATACATGTGGCGTTGAGCTTTCCTTGCAGATAGAGACTGGCCGAAATAAGAACAAACGCTTTCTTTTTTTTGGAAAGTAAGTGTAACTAGATTTTTCATTGCAGTGACATCACGAACTATAAAACGACCCACGCCCGGACAACGCGCTTCACTGCCTTGGCAGGTGGCAGCTTAATTCCCCAACTACCTGAACGTTAGCACCACTTTTGCAGCCCCATCGCCACCATACTTCAACTTGAACCGTCCTAGTCAGAATTGAATTTCCCATCTCCTGTATCTTTTTGGTCCTCGCCCAGAACATTTCTTCTTTTTTTTCCCACCGACGTCGACCACCGTACCGCATGTACATTTCGCAAGACGAACGTTTCGAATCCTGTCAGTCGAAGCTGGGCACTTCGCTTCGATACCCGACGATTGGCACACCATACGCAAGCTAGCACCTCCCACCGGTAGGCGCCGTCACGACTCCATCTTTCAACCACGATAAATAGGCATCTCCCCTCTCGTGCCTGCACCTAACTACAAACGCGCGGCTCATCGACATGGCCAGCAATCGTTTCAGGCCCCTCGGTGATGCCTCCGCCAGCAACCCCCCCGCCCCAACGTCTGCGCCTGCGCCAGCGCCAGCGCCCTCTACAGTCGTCACCGGCGCAGACTCATCCGCCACCGCAAACTCGGCCCGTGCTTCTCGCAAACGGAAGGGCCACCGCGGTGGCAAGAAGAAGAGGTCTCGTCGCAAGAGCTTTGCTCTCTTACACGGCGACAGCCACGATGAGACGGACAGAACTTCTTCTGCCGACGGCTTCTACAATCACCCACAAGGGACCGTCAGCACTGATAGTATCGACAGCCAGATTCTGCTAGACCATAGGTGCGTATACCCCCCTCGCAGTGCCTCGTTGCATCTCTCGTGTCTACTAACCTCTGTAAAGAGAGCATGCTCCCATGCGCGTTCGACGTTCCTCAACCGTCACCGCCGACCGATCGCAGAATCCGCCTCTCAGCGCCAGCAGCAGACTGCGCTCTGTCCAGACTCATCACAGCAGCGATAAGTCCAGTCCTGCCACTCCATGGGACGAGACTGCACCCTTGCTTTCCGACTCGGGCAGACTAGGTGCTCCTGGTTCCTCCAGTTATGGCGGTGCAGACAGCCGAACGCACTGGACTAAGAGTCGCAGGTCGTCGACAGTCTCATCCACCACCAAGCTGGCAGCCGCATTTGGCAGAAAGGATCCCTATCATGTTAACAATCCCCCTTCGGTGCCAGGTTCTCCTACCTTTGGTACCCTCGACCATCACAATGACATGACATTTGGTGATGTCATGCTGCGAGACGAAATGGCTATGCGAACTGGCAGCCCCAAGCGCGCTGCTATGGACGAGGACGAAAACTTTTTCAACGCCGAGGATGCGCATCGTCACGATAGTCCTCATACTCCGCACCCTGATGCCGAGGCTGACGTCTGTTTCCCTACCCACGGCATGTCCGAAATGGGTGATGACGACGGCACGACTCGTGACGACGGCCACCACCATAAAAGTCGCCGCCGGCGACGACAGTGGCCAGACTTGTCGGTACTCGAGGAGTGGAGGCAGTTTGAAAAGGAAGATAGGAGCGAGGGTCGCAGAGCAAAGAGGATTACGGAGCCGCAGCTTATTAACGGCCGTCTGCGCCCGGTTCGCAAGGGCTGGTTTCAGACTGACGAAGACGTTCCTTATCGCTTCACCTATTTCAACGAAGAATTCCAGAGTACCATTCACAGCCACACCATCTCAGAGCTTGTCCAACCCGGAGGGACCTTTCGTGAGCTCTTTATTCCCGACCATCGTGTTCTTTCCGACGATGAGTTCGATTCGGGCGATGATACCATGTCTGTTCCGTCCCGAGCTCCTAACGCCACTGCTGGGCTTGAAGTCGATTCTCACCGCTCGACTCGCCAACATTCAGTATCCGACTCGGCTCGTGGAGCATTCTCCCCGCCTCAGTTTGCACAAATGACACAGACCCAGCCTGCGGTAGACGTGCCTACGCGTGAAAGCTCCAGGGCGCCTTCCGCCAGGGCACCATTAGCTAATACAGGTGGACTACGCAACTCGGAAAGTATTACATTCAAGCCTCTGCCGGAGCCCCTCGATCTCGCGCCCAAACCAGAAAAGCCTATCCGATACGGAGACCGACCTGTATGGTGGCTCAACGTGGTTTGCCCCACGGAAGAAGAAATGAAGGTCATATCCAAAGCATTCGGCATTCACCCTCTTACCGCCGAGGATATTATGCTGCAAGAGGCGCGTGAAAAGGTCGAGCTTTTCCGCCACTATTACTTTGTCAACTACCGGACCTTTGACCAGGACATCAACAGTGAGAGTTTTCTGGAGCCCGTCAACATGTACGTGGTTGTCTTCCGCGAGGGTGTTCTCAGCTTCCACTTTTCCATGACGCCGCACCCGGCCAATGTGCGGCGACGCATCCGCCAGCTGCGCGACTACCTGCTGCTGTCATCGGACTGGATCTCCTACGCCATTATTGACGACATCACCGACGTGTTTCAGCCGCTCATCCAAAACATTGAGGACGAGGTCGACGAGATCGACGAGGCCATTCTGCGCCTGCATTCGCCGCTGGAAAACGCCGACGAGAAGAGCAAGGATGATGGTGCGACTATCACCGAGGCGAGCGGCGACATGCTCCGGCGCGTGGGCGACTGTCGAAAGCGCGTCATGAGTCTTTACAGGCTCTTGGGCAACAAGGCCGATGTCATCAAGGGCTTCGCCAAGCGCTGCAACGAGCGGTGGGAGGTGGCCCCGAAATCGGAAATAGGGCTTTACCTTGGCGATATTCAAGATCACATTGTGACCATGACTTCCAATCTGAGTCACTACGAAAAGTTTGTAGCCTGCTGACAGGTTCCTCCGTCACCGTTCTGTGCTAACTCGTGCTCGCAGAATTCTTGCCCGCGCCCACGGCAACTACCTCGCGCAAATCAACATCCGCATGAACGAGCGCCAGGAGCAGACGGCCGACGTCCTCGGCCGCCTCAGCGTCATTGGCACAATTGTGCTGCCCATGAACATCATTACCGGCCTCTGGGGCATGAACGTCTGGGTTCCCGGCCAAGAGGACGAGGGCAATCTGCAGTGGTTCATGCTCATTACGGCCGGCCTGCTGTGCTTTGGTATAGTCTGCTTCCTCCTCGCCAAGCGCGTGTACAAGATCGTCTAAGCGGAAAAAAAAAAAGAAGGCGACGACATCTCTTGCAGTTTGCTCAATATTTTGGCAAATAGATGGCGCGTATTCTATTCTTCCTTTCTTTTCTTTGATTCATTTTCAATAAGGCGGAGTTATTTTGGACAGACGACGAAAGATCAGCTTCTTTTTTGTATTTACAGGATCCGTATTTACGGCAGCGCGCACTAGTGACGGTGACGACACAAGGTTGAGTTTTTGCAGCGGCATTCATTTTTATTTCTTTTTTTTTTTTCGCAAAAATCGAGCACTTGTGTCATGAAAAGGTTGATTGGAGTCAAAGAGGAAACAGTACAGTTCACAAATCTGACTTGACGTGTTATGTACATTAGCGTCTCATAGAATTGCAAATCAACACTTGTTTTTGCATGCAACCTTGTTCGTCGAAATGTGTCACCTTACCGAGAAAGCAGTTCATTAGCAGCTCTTCTCTAGATTCTTGGGCTAATTCTGTATCCAGGAGAATAACGCGACCTCCCTCAAGAGTATCGCAATCTGCCTCGCGTTGTGAAAGCCTCCCCGCCTCGTTGCCAGTAATCGAAACGCCAAACACCGTAAATCCATGACCTTTTTTCTTTCCCAGAATACTTTCTCATTCTACAAATGCTACCCAAAATCATCGTCTTGCTTGACCGACAAACGCTGAGCGAAGAGCCATGACCTGTTGTCGTTCCGATTCGGGCAGCATATCAATCTGCGCCTGCGGAAGCTCCATCAACGCGCGCATAAGACCTTCTGTATCCTGCCCGGCGGCGGCAGCAGGCGCGGCAAACGGCATGCCGGCACCACCTACCGGCGGCGTGTTAGTCGCGGCCACCTGCGGGTAGCCCGGTACCGCGCCATAGCCCACCGGAGGTTGCTGCACAGGAGGCGCGGATGGCGCGGTGCCTGGCTCGACGACCGACTGGATTGCCTCGGGCGACACAAGACCCATGAGCAGCAGAGCCTGAAAGACGGCGTACGAGAGCTGCGGCGCCTGCTGCAGGAGCTCAGCTGCGCGTTGGGGATCTGACGAGGCTAGCGCCTTCATCTGCGTGAGAATGTCGAGGAGTTGCGCGGGTGGGAGCGTGTTGAGCGTGCGGGAGATGGCATCGGTGCAGGTTAGTCCCGGGGGTATATCCTTGCCCGGGGGCAGCGGCGGCAGAGACGAAGGCGGCTGGGCCATGTGTGAAGCTCCGTTTAGGGTAGTGGTAGCGTTCTGGAAACAAATGTTTGTTAGCGTCTTTGCTTCATGTTTCAGCTCAAAGAGATCGTTGGGATAAGGTTTGATGCAACTGACTGGTGTGTAATCGTCGTCGGCGACCTTTTGCTCGTGGGAAAAGTCGACGCGAAGCTTGCGGCCCATGATTTCGTGATCGTTGAGGTTTCGGACGGCCGAGGAAGCAGAGTCTAATAAGTTGTAGGGACAAAAAAGACGTTAGAGATTGACGCAAGGGAGGGAAAAATGGAAGCTCGTGAAGATGCGCTGGGATGTGTTGTGTCGTACCTGTGTCTGGATATTCGGCAAAACCGAAGCCCTTGGGGCGACCTGTCTCGGCGTCGTAGACTAGGCGGAAACGCTCAACCTTGCCAGCGTCGCTGAAGATGTCGGTGATTTGTTCCTCGGACAGTCCTACAGGAAAGGGGTAAGCGGGACAGATTAGCTGCAGTTTCGACAGTGAGAAGGTGCGAGGCCGGCCAAATGGAGCGTCGCGAGGCAACAGCGACCCTGGCCAGCTCCGCCAGACGTACCGTATGGGATGTTGCCAACAAAAACAACGCGCGAGGGTGGGCGCGTCGACATTTTGTGTTGCCCTTTAGCCTCGAGGCCGGGGTAGATGCGTTCTTGGACTTTGACACCGGCGACGCGCAAGTGTAAATCGAATCGGGCAACCGGGGAGCTGTCGACCTGTGTTTGTCGCGCTGATCCTCGTTGCTCGTCGCGGTAGGCCGAATCTAAGCCGTGATGCCCAGTCTAGATCAGAAAACCGTGGCAAGTTTGGATGGATTCAAGTGTAAGCACAGAATTAGTTTGCGGGGCCTCAGTGAATAATTGATCAAGGTTGGTCGAGGTTGTTGATTGGGCATTGTTCATCTCCAATGCAGCTTGGTCGTTGAAAGCTCTTGACTCTGCCAGGTACCTACCGGCGATTTGCCGGCCACCAGTAAGTAGGTGGCCCACGTAGCAAAAAAGGTGGGTCTACGTAGCACTAGTCTTAATCTAAGTAATAATTTTACTATTAAGAGTTCTACTCT